TAAATATAATCTTATTTTGAGTGTCAAGTAAATTGAAATTAAAATATAATATTAAAATGAAGCCACAATACTACAATTGAAAACATCCTGAAACACCAAACAATTCTCTTGCGCCTCTCCACAGTGTTCCTTTGAAAATCCTGAATTGACTTAATTTCTTTATTTATTTTTTCCAAACGCTCAACGCTGGTTTCCTTTTCCTAAACAGAAATATAAATGTCATATATTTTATTAGGGAAAATCATTACAAAAATGGGCTGAAATATTTTGTCTAAAGGGGGTAATTTGCAAATAAATAAGAAATTAAATTATTGTAGGAAAAACATTATCTAAATTATTTACAACATTGAAAATGTTATCAGGTATTTTTTCTGATTTTATTTTCGTTCTAATTCTATAATTGCGCCACAAAAATAATAATGCTCGGTGCCTTCTGAAACGTAGTGTTAGGTTCCAGGAAACCCGCTAAACCGCCCCGCGCAACTCGGCTTACGGCTCTGATAATCCACTTACTTAGAGTCAGTAGAAAAACTGATAATCTTCTCTGTTTTGTGTAAGATGCAAAGTTACTTACCCTAAATTTGGATATAATTAAACCCATAATGGCTTAGGAATAAGCAGGTTATTTCTTATCTCAGCTTTCAATTGTACACAACGCAATATCCGCTAAGAAGATTTATGAATCATGGAAAAAAATATGCAGAATAGCATAAATGTGGCAATACTTTTTTAATAGACAGGACCGGCGTTACAGTTTATGCCGCTATTTACAGGGCGATCTTTTGACATCACTTTGTATACAAAATAATTGTATGTAGGGGGTTACATACATACAATGATTTTGTATACATTTATGAACATTTACCGATATGAGCAAATTCCAGTTTTCCGATTCTGTAGCGCCGGCCCTGATGTGATACTATGTTGGGAGTGGCAGCAATGTACAAGAAGCGACGATCTCCATTGAGCTTACACAAATGCAAACATTCTCACAATAAAATAAAAATTATTCAACAGCCACAAATATATTGCCTATCAAAAAAATATTTTTATTTTCATTGTCAATTCGCAGATCCACAATTTGTCAACCTGTGTAACCGAATCCCAAAAATCATCAACATCTTCCATTAATGATCTATTATAATCTATAATTTTCATATTGTTAGTTTCATACCAATTTTAACAAAATCTATGTCTTTTATTGTCATGTATGAAAATCTTAGAATAAAACTTCTCCAATTCAAAACCAATATAAAATATTACATACATCAAAACAAATACTCTGTATGTATTAATAAAATACAATTTTAAGTAAAAAAGACAGAAAGATTAAAAAATCCCACAGGTCCACAATGCATTATTTAAATGCGTAAGTTAAAGTAAAACAAATATTCTTATAACAACCATTTTGTTTATTCGGTATTTAGAGTATAAAATGTTTCAAATTTAAAAAAAAATGCAGTATTCATTGTGAGGAAGTTTGTACTTGAGATTGTCGTTGTTCGCTGGTGATATTTAGAATTTCTTGCCTTGCAAGAATTGGTAGATGACTGAGAAATCTTTGTCGCCCAAGCCATGGTTCATCATAGCTCTGTAAAGTTGATGGACAGCTGCGGTCATTGGAACTGGAGCGTTGGCAGCCAAGGCGGCGCCTTCGGCGAGACCCAAATCTTTGGCGATCAATTTAACCATGAATCCACCATCGTAATTCTTGCTAGATGGAACGTTGGGGAGGATTCCTGGATGTGGGTTGTAAGTCTCCGAAGACCACGACCTTCCGGTGGAGACGTTGATGATGTCGGTCAAGACCTTGGGGTCAAGTCCGTACTTAAGACCCATGTTCATGGATTCGGCGGTACCGGCCATTGTGACACCAAGGATCAAATTGTTGCAGAGCTTAGCAACCTGTCCGGCTCCTGGGCCGCCGCAGTGGAAGATGTTTTTGCCAGCCTGGAGCAGGTATTGTCTGGCGGTGTCTACGTCTTTGATGTCACCTCCGATCATGTAGGTCAATGTGCCAGCAGCAGCACCGGTTACTCCTCCGGATACGGGGCAATCGATGAAACGGTATCCGTTGTCTTTGGCGATGGTGTGGAGTTCCTTGGCGGTGGTTGGTTCGATGGTGGAGCAGTCGATCATGAGGGCGTCCTTCTTGATTCCCTTGGCGATGCCCTCGTTACGGAGTACGGTATCCTTGACGACGTTACCGTCTGGTAACATGGTGAAGACAACGGAAACATCGGTTGCAGCCTCCTGTGGGGTTTTGCAGACGATCGCACCGGGTACGCTCTTGGCGGCATCAGCTACCACGTCGAAAACTTTCAGTTTCCTTCCTTGCTTAGCCAAATGGTTGGCCATGTGGGAACCCATGTTTCCCAAACCGATGAAACCGACATTGTTGGTTATCGTTCTGGCTGTTAGAACAAATTCATTCTTTTAGTATTGCATATAAAAAAATCAGTGAACAGCATCTCATAAACATTATCCTTTAATTTTGAAAAATCTATTTGTTTCTAACAGTTTTGTTTCTCAAAATTATTTATATGTTCTAAGTTTTTACTTTAAGATCTAAAACATCTGAGAATAATTGTACTAAATTATGTAATAACAGAACTTGAAGAGTAACTGACTTTAATCTTTCTGACATAGTGAAGGTCGTATAATTTTTACTTTAAAATATAATGATTATATTTATATAAAAACAAAAACAATAATAACTTGTAAATATTAAAATCAAATAATTAAAATATAATAAACAGTAACATAATACAACTGTAAATGTTATGTGAAAGATTATATAATATTATAACTTGAGTGTTACAGTATTTAGCTGGAATTGCTTAACTATACAGAAATGTTTAACTTTTCTATTCAAATATCATATGTAGTTTCATATTTTATATTACTCATTTTTGTTTAAATTTTATTGTTGATTACTATACGTGGTTATTTGTTATATAACATTTCGAAATTGTTATAACTAGTTCAGATTATTATTGATCCCTATACTAATGGATAAAACAAACATGAATCGACGCTTCAATAGTGCAAGCAAGTCAAGCAATGTAATAATAAACGTTTGATAACCGGAGAAGGTCACACCATATTTACATTTGACTATAATCGTGACTAGGGACTTATTACACCTAAAATTCGCTCCAATCCGACAATTTTCTTGATCCCGGAGTAGCGTAAAACACGGCTTTGGAAGATAATTTTTCCGTCGTTACATAATTTCTTATCTTACATACACACAATTTCGTACTCTTTGGATTATCTTCGATCACATTTCGCATACGTTTGATAATCATCACTTAAAAACCAAGGATTTTTTTATGGAAATTATACAACAACTTAAATAGATTAAATAATACAATAAATTTGATTTTTTTTTCAGATTAACAGATATAACTATAATTAAAGCGCTGTTTAAAATTGTTTAATTTTATTGAATATGTTTTGAATACACAGGAATACGTACTCAACGCACGGTTTCCTGATCACCTTGAAAACCAACGGATTTTATTTTTAATAAACTCTAAATAGCTGAGTGTCAATGAAATACGCACCAATTTTACGCACATAGATGATCAAATTGGAAAGAAAACCATACAAACTCGGAAAATAACATACCGAAATCGTTACGCAACAAATAATATTTACGCTGTGCAACGCAGATAAAGCGAGCGTGAAAATTAGTTTATTATAAAAAAAAATCTTGTTTGTACGATTGGGACTTGTACACATTACGATATTAAACATTTCGTAAGAGTATGTATTTGTCTTCTCCGCAATTACGTGGCTTATGTAATTGATTTAAAAAGCCCTTTATAACTATTCCAGCAGGGATCAAAACCCTTTGCGTTTGGAAGATAGAGAAAGCATATGGAGAAATCTCATTTATTCATGTAATAGTTATAATACGAAGCTACATAAATTTCTATAAACAAAAATAAAATAGAAAGAGAAAAAAAATACGTATGATAATATCCTATGCTAACTGAAACAGATGGCATTGAATACATATCACTGGCATATTGTTGAGTTCAATCTAATTGAAATTCCCATTCGATTTATTAATAAATTCATAAACGCTGTAATTATATTAAACTAGATATACGTAGAAACTACATGATTCTATAAATTGAGTTAAAATTATCTGACTTAAGTCATAAATTTAAGTAACTTATTTTAAATCAAGTTTTTATAAATATATAATAACTTCCAAGTTATCTTTATTCGTTAAGGTAAAAATATGTAAAGGGCAATTACAATCAATGAGAACTGTAGTTCACTTACTTTGAGCGAATCTTTCCACTCTGCAGAGTAAAACCGACGTCCTTTGAAACATTTTAATTCTTCTTCTGATTCAGTCTCAATGAATACTGATAAGATTTAGCGTTCGTCGTATATAATATAACGTGGATCTAGTAAAAGTGGACGTCCTAATTTATTCGCGTTTGACCTCGAAGCGCGCCACATCCAACTGATTGGTTGCATAACTAAATTAATGTAAATTGTATCATGAAAAGGCTTATGGACAAATGCGTATTTATATCAATAAGTATTTATATCAATAAATAAACATACAAGATTAATATCAGTCTTAAAAAATGAAACGATTTTATACAGGTTTGTAATTCGTAAAAAATATATTTGAATATATATTTTTTAATATTTTTATTAATGATATTACGAGCTAATTATAATACATTATTGTAATGTAATGGAAATAGTAAATTGTAATTTATAATTATATAAAGATTGTATATTGGTTTGCCTATCTAGATGTTAATTTGTTTTGACTTTAAGAAACGTTAAACATAACCTATATTAATAATTATTGAGAGTGTTTACCTAAATTAATTATTTTTTGTTGAAATATGCCGAGAGATAGGTAAATATTGTAATGCCATAGATTAAATTATTTATAATTTATTTTTACATATTTTAGGGATGTTTCGCACAGATCCAGGTATGAATCAAAAACCAGAAGGAGTCGTAGCAGGACAAGGTCAAGGGATAGACGTGAAAAATATGAATCAAAATCCAGTAGGCAAAGGGAATTTGATAGTAAATCTAGGAATCAGTCAAAAAGCAAGAACAAGAAAAAGAAGGATGATAGAGCAAGGTCCAGTTCAAACTCGAGTGCTGACAGTAGCAGCAGTGGAAGCTCAGATACTTCAATGAAGTTGTTGAAGAAGCTGGAAACTGAAAGGCTACGGCAAGCAGATGATAAGAAAAAGAAAAAGGAACTTATGAAAGCTAATGAAACACCAGAAGAAAAGAGGTAAATATTTCTATCCACCTATAATGATTGAATTAACTTTTAAATCAATTGTATTTTTAGATTGAGGAGATTGAAGAAAAAAGATGACAAAGAGAGGAAAAGAAAGGAAAGAATGGGGTGGGATAATGAATATCTGCATTATACCAACACTGACAATCCATTTGGTGATGGTAATTTGTTGTCTACATTTGTTTGGACTAAGAAAATGGCTAAAGATGGTTTAATTGGTGCAAGCCATGAGGAATTGGAAACCAGGAATAGGTATAAACAGGAAGAGAATAAGAGAGAGCTTGAAAAGGTATTTTTTAGTGCTTATTTTAAGTCATTTGTTATACATACATTTTAAATTGCAATAGGTCAAGAAGAGGAGAATTGAAAGGGAATTGGAAAGACAGCAGAGGGAGGAAGAGATGCAGTTAATGCAACGCAGTAAAGAAGCTGCGCAATTCGAAGAATGGGAGAAGCAAGAGGATCAATTTCATTTGGAGCAAGCTAGATTAAGGTCGCATATAAGAATACAAGAAGGAAGAGGTAAATTATGTTGCTTTGTAATGATTTCAATCATTAATATCGGTTATTTTAGCGAAACCAATTGACTTATTGGCAAAGTACATAAACACTGAAGAAGAGGTTGATGCTGTGGAAATGCATGAACCGTATACATATCTTAATGGTCTGCAGACTAAAGATCTGGAGGATCTTGTTGAGGACATTAAAGTTTATAAGGAGCTGGAAAGGGGGAAGAACTTGGATTATTGGAACGACATTACTGTGATCGTGGAAGATGAACTGCACAAAATGAGGAAGCTGGAGAAACAAGATGAATACGATATGATGAATCGGCGTGAAGGAATCCATCAGTCAGTTGCTAAAGATGTTACTAACGTATTCAAGGGAAAGACGTCCACTCAGTTAGCCCAATTGCAAACTTCCATTGAAACGAAAATTAATGGTAAAGCTGACGGAATCGATATTGGGTATTGGGAATCTTTACTCTCGCAATTAAAAGGTTTGTAATAACAATTATTAATTTTGCGTCATATTTACATTTCATGGGTTTTAGCTCATATGGCACGAGCTAGGCTGAGGGATAGACATCAAGAAAATTTGAGAAAGAAGTTGCAGGTGCTTAAAGCAGAACAAGGCGTTGTGCTTCCAATTGCACCTGAAGCAAATATCACACCTCCTACTAAAGATGTTGTTAGTACGTGTGAGAACGATTCTGAACCTGGTCCAAGTTCTTCGAAAATAGAAGATGAAATTGTTGAAAGGTGAGATTATTGAAAATATTTAGACATTTCCGTAATATAAATATATTCTTGTTATGTTTAGTGAGCCAGAGGATGTCGGTAATATAATAATCAAGGAATGCTTTGCCTCGTATGAAGCTGGTGGGTATAGTCCGAAATACCTATCGTCCAACGATTTAGAACCTGGAACAATTGTGGTTAGTGAAAAGGATGATGATAAAAGGATACAGTATGCAAGAGTGCGCATTTTAGGAACTGGTAATAAAGACGAAGTGAGTATCTATTACTTTTATATCTTGGAAAACCTTTTAATTTCTGTATTATCTATAGATCACGGTATCCAAGGATGATATGCTACTAATCAAAGAAGCGCGTAAAGGTATGGGCGATGACGAAGCTCAATTTTCGGTGGAATCGGTTTTGGATAGCCAAATTTACTTGTGGTCCGACAAGTATCGTCCCAGGAAACCGCGATACTTCAACAGGGTGCACACTGGCTTCGAATGGAACAAATACAATCAGACCCATTACGACATGGACAATCCACCGCCGAAGATTGTGCAAGGATACAAATTTAATATATTTTATCCGGATCTAATAAACAAAAATAGTACACCGGAGTATTATCTGGTAAGCATATTGTTAGCAATTGTTTTTGATAAATGTTAATTATCGTATTTCTTAATTTTAGACACCATGTCCTGAAAATAGGGAATTCGCAATTTTGCGTTTCCATGCTGGTCCACCCTACGAAGACATCGCCTTCAAGATCGTAAATCGGGAGTGGGAGTATTCGTACAAGAGAGGTTTTCGGTGTCAGTTTCACAACAACATTTTCCAACTGTGGTTCCACTTCAAACGTTACAGATACCGCAGATGAACATACTATTTTTATACGGAAATACTTTTATTTGTATACAATATAAAAATCATTTACTTGGAGATTTAAGTACAATTAATAAACTAAATATCTTATTATTGAGCGTTAAAATTTAATTACTTTTTTGAGTTTCCATTTCGATTTGTGATACTTGCACTTCCGGCAGTACTTCAGTTGCAGTATTTTCAGTTGTTCTATGTAAAAACCGCGGTCCCAATTGCATGATGAGCACTGCACCAATAGGCGAAGTTATGATAATTGAAATAACTGCAACGATTATAACGACATTCGAGTATTCGATCAATTGTTTGTCTCCTAAACTCCATGCGATATCCAAGGCTGCTGGACCCAAAGCCGCCTATAAGTATAAAATGATAATATTCCTTGTTTTAAAATCTAATGCTTAAAATTATACCTGTACAGTTGCTTTTGGAATCCATGAAATCGCCACGAAGATATTTTCTTTTAAATTCAAGTTGCTACATTGCGTCACAGCAAATGAAGTTACCATTCTAAGCTATAAATGTAATTAATGAATGAATATATTTTATTCAAATAGACTTTATTACCAGAAGAGCTGCTGTCATAGCTATAGTACCGTATAATACAGTGTAACCTTCGAGGATTTCGAAGTTAACTTCCATTCCGATGAGACCGAATGAGATTGGTTCAAAGAATTTCCAGAGAAGAATAAAGTTTAATCGGACCGGATTCTAAAATGGCTTTTATTAGTTTACTTATTGATAGAAAACTAGTATATCTTATACGTTATTGTCCCATCCTTCTTTGCGCCAACCTAGGCTCGCCACAAAAGCAGCAACTATACAACCTAAGGCCCCTGCTCCACCATAACCTATTGCGTCGCTTCCTACTGCAGACAGGACGCAACCTAATCCTAAGAGTAACGTTCTAAGTGTAACCACATGATCTTCATGTTTGCTAGGAACCAAACGACAGACAAATCCCCAAACAATTCCAAAGCCGAAACCTATGGCCAGCACTATAGGTCCTTGTAATATTTGCATCACCAGAGTACCTAGATTGCGAATTCATTGTAATTAATCATCTTGTTCAAATATTGACATACCGGTGCTGAATATTATGCCAAGTACTATCCCAAAGAGCGCTATGCAAATAATATCGTTGAAGGTTGATGCTGCGATAACCAAGGTGTGGACGCCTTTGTTAACACCGTAGCCCATATCTTGTAATTGGAAAAGACACGGAATGATGACAGCCGGAGACACTGCAGCCAAAAGGAGCCTGAAAGCACCGGCAAACTAATTTTCAACAACATATTGTACTTTCGAAATATATGAAGCACCCTACCCAAGCAAAACACCCCATAACCAAGGTAGATTCAATAGAAAGTGCGATGCCACAGCTATAGCGACTACTTCAACAGCGACCGGAACAATGGCCAAGTTCAGGATCATCCCTATTAATTTCTTCAGAGCTTTTGGATCCATTCCTAAACCGGCTGGTAACATTATATTCACCAAAGCTAATTGCCTAAAAATACATTCAGTTATTGTAATTACTATTTACAAAATTGACAGCTCAAAATCTACCTTAATACGCTTGTGAAATTTCTATAATTTCCGGTGATATGCAGGAAACCCACATTTCGTAGAAGTACGCCTACTAAGAGCATTCCCACCATTGGTGGGATCTTCAGGTAAGCCACCAAACATCCCACAATTTTAGCTAATATAAACAAGACCTATAATATAATGCCATAAAAACATTATTAAATTAAATAATAAATGTATAATTATTTACAGCTAAACTGAATAATTGGCTTTCAATTCCTGCATATTTATCTCCAAATAAGGAATATCCAATGGCCCAAAGCACCAACGCCAATAAAATTAGTGACGGTATATATGAGTAGCCAATCCATATTTTTCTGATGAAAGATTTCGTTTTCATAATTGTTTCCGATTTATTGAATGTACCATATATCGGTCTTTCGCCAGGCATTCCGTTTTCTATAGCGTCTTGCACCATTTTCTCTGCTTTTTGTTGATGCTAGAAGAACAAACAATAACTCTTATAAATCGGAATCATATTTACTTAAATAAAAATCATGCAATTATAGATTTTTACCATATAGTGTAAAACAATACTAATTATATGTAATGTTTATTTTGTTATGAGTTATTTAGCAGATATACTTTTTATTGTTTACAATTTTAGAAATAAAACTGCATGGAATTAATAGTATTAAAAATTTATATGAAAATTATAATAAATATCGTTATAATTCATGTAAACTAACAAATATGTAATTTAATCCTTTAACCGTTTTAGAGAAACGTAAGAATGAATCTTTATTAAATACAGATGTGATAAGTATTGTGATGTTTGTTTGCAGCTATAACAGATTAAATAAAAAAATAGATAAATCGAGACATTTACGAAATGTTCAAAACAAGTTAATCGTCAGAAGTTTAAATTTATTTCTTTTAATATTTTTCCTAAGTTAATGTTAGAAAAAAGTAAAGTATAAATTTACAGTAGCCATGTTGTCCCTTGCTTAACCTACTTTAATTCATGTTTTCATCAAACAAAAATTGTTTGTACATGCATATTTATAACCATTTCAAATACTTGTTGTTTATAAAAACACTTCATTAAGTTGTATATATACATAGATACACGATTATAATATATTTGCATTAGCGTTGCAACCTTTTGTAACGCATATTTTTGCACTTTATCCATTAATCTTACCTAATCTGCAGATTATTTTTATACCTATGCTAGTATGTTGCTTCACGCACATGTAAGGAAAGCAACTGAATCTCTTTCCCACTATCTTCCAATCGCTACTTCTCGTCCAGCTTATCGAGTTGTGTACCCAAACATTTCACTACCGAATCACGCGCCAATTGAAATGTTCGTAAAGAATGCAGTTGTAACCGGACATCAGACAAACTTCGAACTCGATTTACTATATACATACAGTGGAACCTCGCTTAACGAGTTTCATCCGTTCCAAAATTTCCGGATTTTTACTCGTATAGTGAAACACACGTTTTAAAACGCAATCCGGGACTTCTTTTCTTTTCCTCACACGTTATGTGAAACGTTAAACGAGCTCGTTAAACGAGACAATTTTCTTACAATTTATTTTATTCCACTGTATTCTAGTAGTCTTTTAAAGTACACGCGGTTTGAACATCAAACGAAGGTCATATAGAGCGTCCTTTCGTCATTGTTTGTCTTTAATATATTTACTTATTCACTTATTACAGAGTTTGTTTTTCTTTTCGTTTGCATTTTTATTTAGTTTAGCAACTAATATGTATCTTCCCCCGTTCATATAAGATAATATTTACATTTTTTTTCTAATGTATTTTCAACTGAAAGCTTATTGTTTGCATATGTATATCAAAATTAATTGATACAACTTTCTTATTATTTGAAATAAATTTGATTACATTTTAATTTTACAGAATTAAATGAATCTTTATTTGTATGTTTTATATTGTATGGCATGGCTATTTTTTTAACAAAATAATTTAAGTTCTATGCATGCAAAAATATCTTTTAAATTCAACAAGAGGTTTTATCAAATAATTTGATAGCAGTGAATTTTTTAGTTGATATCAATTTATCGGAAAATTTTCAAATAATTATACAAATATATGTTATATTTGACTAATTACTTTATTATTCAATCGTTGATAGTGATGGTTTCCTATCACATATATTATATAATATTCTTTTTATATACAGCGTAAAATTATTGTAGTATACATGATACTTACAGTCATACCTTACTTAACGTTACTTCTGTTAACAAAGCTTCTATATATTTTTTAATATCTAAATTTTCAAAAAGTTAATTTTGCTTAATTCAAAGAATATAAAATATTTACAAAATTAAAAGAGACGATTTTATCTTAAAGCTAAATACAGGAACTCATTAATTCTGTATAATTACGAAATAAAAAACTGCACTGATTTATTACCTAATAGGTTTCTATTTTGCATTCTTCCATCTCATTGTGAAATAGCATAATTGAATACGGGCTCGAAATAAATCGTACATAATATCTACACCCGCACACGTAATTAATATATATTTGATACTTGCGTTTTCGTGATTGATATCAAATTTAGTACAAGGTTTTGTTTTTGTGTGTTACATTTTTAGCATTGCGTTCCTATTTTTTTATACAAAAACAAATATAAAATTCTACATTAAATTTATTTTTTTTTCATTTGTCATGTCATTATCTAATTAAGGTTCTTCTTTAGTTGTATGTATTATCAAAATTTGAGTTGTTTTAAGACTATTTCTAGTAGTACTTTAGTAAATCCAAGTTGTTGACTACTTTTCTTGTAGTCAATAATATGAATATATATTTAGTAAATTTTCTTGGAATATTCTATTTATAAGACTTTTATTTAAGTTTCAATTGAGTTTTCACGCAGAATAGTCATTAGAACGCCGTCTCATTTAAATAATAAACCATTTAATAAATTATGCATTCCTGTGGTAGAAATGTTTGTTTGAATGAATTTTTGTAACGATTCTATCAACGCGTTTCAACCTATATCATAAAATATGTTTGTTGAAAAAGTATTTCCAGTATTCGTTTATTTGTTTTAGTGTATCCTACTCTGACGTCATTTGTGCCATTAACTTTTATCCTTATAAAGGAGTGTTAGTCATTTCTATTGGTGAGTGTGAGCGTGTCTGCGCGTGGGTTATCCTGCTGGTCGGAGCACACCTGGCAGGACGAAAGAGTGGCCAGTACAATTCCGTGCCGCAGGAATAACACGTGCTTTCGATTGCGGCTATTAATACCGAATAAACCAAGTCACACGAAACAATGACGAACTGCAATTAGCATGAAACAGAGACGATCCCCAAAAGAGAACCACACAAAGACTTTCCTGGTGCTTCCACTTGTTGCGAGTAATGAAGAGATGACCAGAAATCCTGGTCTCAGATTGTTCACCAAAACTTGGCCCTCCAAAGACAAGGATGTGGAGAACAAGAGACCGCAGACTGCGACTCTGGAGAGGCCACAGATCCTCGACATCAGATTGGCCACCAAAATCGACATGTCTCTTCTACGCAAAGAGTTTTTGACTATAACCAACCTATGCCGAATCCCATTGGCCACGATCAATCGCACAAAACCGAAGACCGGAACAGCTCTGGTAGATAGACGAAGGCCTGTCTCAAATCTACCAAAACCAATATCGCCGCATTCGGGTCGAATCAAAGTGGATGAGATCACCGGTAAAGTGCGATCTCCTACCATAATAACGACAACTGCGTCTAAGAAGCCCGACGATATTAATAATAATTTGAAGGCGTTGAGGAAGAGATCGCCGGGAAAGCCGAGCCCGAAGCTGCGGAAATCGACCAAACTTTTGTTACCGGAACCTTGCACCACCTGCGGCCGACCGGATCAGCCGGAGCGTTTCCACAGTCATCCCGTCACTCCGTTGAAGCCACACGTCAGGAAATGTGAGCTGAAGGTTGTCAAAAACTCTGTTCAGAAGCCGCTTGCCATCAAATACAAATCTACCAAACCACCGAATAAGATCGTCCTGCCTTCACAAAGTGCTGAGCCCAATCTGAAGCCCATGAAGCCAACAAAAGGGCCTAGGACTTTGACGTGCTACTTATGCGGTAGAGAATTTGGAACAACTTCTCTACCCTTGCACGAACCAAAATGTTTAGAAGTAAGTGTTTTTACTTATTAATGTTTTAACGTGTTTTCGTACTACTTTACGTAAATATATCAAATTGGAATTGCAGTGTGATTTATAGTCTTTGATTAATATATTCTTTGTAAATGTTGTCTCAACATTTTAGAGTGTTTATGATAGTCTGCTGTATTTTATCGTTCGAAAACGGTAATAATACAATCTAGCTATGTCTGCGTAATTGTTATTTATAGAATTTATAATTGATGTAACATCATCATCAATATTTCAAATTATAAACTTTTTCGCTAGCATATGCAAATTTAATCTCACTTATTTAATATGAACGTGTTGCAAAATTGATACAAATATTCAAGATAAATATTTTATTTTCACAAATGTTATTTATTTCGCTTCCATGCATTACATTGTAGACGTGTAATACATATTACGTAATTTTCAATTATAAATTGTTTACATTTTAACATGTAAATAAGATGGTCTTCGTAAAAGCAATATTTTGATTTATGGCATGCATTGGTCGATCGCGAATTGCGATAAAGTTAATTATATTCAAATGTTTCCTTTTGTCGATCCTGCATTTTTTTCCCTTTCTTTCTCTCTCTCTTTATATTGCGCCCGAACAAAGCGTCCATCGTTAATAAAACGGTTTGACCGCTTTGCATAATTTAAGTTTAACCTTTAAGTTGGTACTGACCTAGTAAACCGGAATAAACGTTCGACTTCCGGAAGTCTGAAGACAACGTCGGGCAATTACTCCTGCAGACAAAACGCATTAATGATTCGTAATTTTGCAGAAATGGGAACGCGAAAATGCCAACTTACCAACCCATCTGAGGAAGAAACCACCACCGAAACCTAGTGCAAACCTGGATAAGGAGGAGTGGAACAAGTTTGCATGGAAAGCTTCACAGGTAAAGTATCGTTGTTTCACGTGCAAACTGCTGAGGACAGATATGCATATTTGATGTTCCGTCCTGACCTTCCGTTTTTATCGACGGACGGTGGCATTTTCAATGGAAATTTTTGAAATTGGAAGGTTAACAGTACAATATGTGTGCTTTATTTTCCATCTATCGATTAACCATTACTTGCATGCCATGATTCCATGAATGGCCGCACGTCCTTTTATATCCGTTAATTGCTTTCACGAAATGAAATATTATGAAAAAAATTAAATAAAAGTGGTGTTAGGTACTTTTCCAAATCAATAAAACTTGTATGCATAGCTTACAATTATACGTCTATTTCGCAACGCCTTCCTGTTAAACCCTTCAAAATAATTGGCTTCAGATTGGAATCAGGAATGAAATTGGGCTTTCGGGAATAAATGGTGTACAGCAGTAGTTCCCAAAATGGCCATCTCCGCATATTCGAAACGTTGAAATAGCACAATTGTTGCATGTCGAATACATAGCAATTAACAAATCAATTTATTTTTTTAGAATGTTTATCGTTTTGTATTCACTGTACACATTGTCAGAGTCATACATAGTCAATATTTAATTGTCAAAAGTGAAAGAGTGCCTACGCAGATTATATGATATTATATCATTAAAGTAATAAACACAATCAGAAGTAATATTTAAAAATCAGAAGCTTTTGTCTATATGCACATTGATTAGATAACTTTGTGTTGAAAACGATAAAAAATTCAATTGTATATATAAAAAGGTGCCTCTTTGGATCGATTTCATAAACTCAGTACTGAAGATCGTAGAAAGTAAAGATCATAATTTACGGGCCAACTTTATATTGATTCAAAAAATTACTTAACGTATTTAGCAGATTTGCTTAATAAATTTAATAAAATATCAGCTTCAAGAGGATTAACTAAATGTTATTTCATCGTTTGTATCAAAACACCGTCTGTAAAATAATTGCTTACATCAATATATCAATAATTAGAGACTCTCTAACATAAATCAATTTGAAGATAGTCTTAAAATGAATTTACCTAATGCTGTTTTGAACCATTTTTGTAGTATAAACAGAGAATAATCTCAAAAATTACAAGAAAAATTGTTATAAATAACAACAAATGAGGAATTATTGAAATCCAAAGTCTGTTAAAGCAGAACCTGTACTTTAATATAGATTATGGACATTTTCTTCACCATGTTTAGAGCTGTCACAAATGTGTTAACTAAAAAAAGAAACCGATAGAGCCGAACATTATTAAATCGATAGCAGCGCACCAGGTTCATACTTTTCTTTAGGATTTTTTCAATGTTATTCATGTATTTTTATTATTTTGCTTTTCTGATTATAATTCTAACTTTAATTTAAAAAAATATATAATTTCAAGCTTCATGTAATCTTAGTTATAATGTTATAGAAATATAGATTAATTAAAGTACACAAATGCATGATTGATATTTTTCTATTTGTTCACTTCAAGAAAATGGGCTGAGCATTTTGTTTTTCTTGATAAATGGGCAGCATTCCAAATTATTTTTTTGGGGAACCGCTGGTGTAGATCTTTATCGGTGCGCCGGTACAAGTCGAGCAATTTCTAGTTCGATTTGTGCTGTGCTAACATCGGGACGACCGAGGCTTGATGAATTCTTAATGTCCCTCCCTTGGAAGTTCACGTTCACATTTGTCTCAATGCTACACCATTTTGTAGTCGAAGGTGGCTAGGGCATTGCACTGCAACAATCATTAAATCATTATCGTAGCCGTCTATGCGCCACCTATGTAACCTGGCGGATTAACGAAACGGCTGTTCATAAGCCCCACCGAGAAATCCACATCGATTTGTCTTGATCCCTAAACCACTACGTAATATTACTTAATACGTTATAATATTACAAAATCGGTGAAGGAAGTGTTGAACCGATCTGTCAATTTCATCACGTGAGATTTACATAGTATGACATACTTCAAAACATTCCATTTACAATTAATATTTCCATAGTTTAACAATATTTATTACAAGTACATAAAAATAGTATGCAATCATTACTTCTTAAGGCGGAAAGAAAATCTTAGAAAAAAATCTTAGAAAATTTTGAAGGTAATTATCTCATTCATCTTGCAACATCCAGACTTTAAAGTTATCATGTTAAATTTGATTAGCAACAAGTTCGTGCTTTGAGATTTGTATCATTTAATAGTATTAATACTTCACATATAGAAATATTCGCATAAGCATTATAAAAAAAATATTATTCGAGGTCGAAAATCACTATTTAAGGGTATAAATAAGGCATAACAGCAAAATCAAAATACAATTATTATGTTTTCATATCTGAAGTATAATTATAGCATAGACAAGACAGTTAATGGGGTTGCATGAAACTAATAAATTATGTAATTATATTTTTTAATGAAATTAACTCACGTAAGTCTTTAAGTTATTAAACAAATACTTTAAGCTAGCTATCAGAACATATTAAAGATTTCTAAAGAATAACAGGTTTAGCTTTTTTGTCCTCGTGTATAGTTTTAGAATAAAGATCAAAAGATGGCATCAAAAGATATTTGTATATACACAAGTAGACGAAACTTTTCCGAAAGTTTTTACTAAAAGCACGATAACAATAATAGCATGTCTGCTGAAAACTTAACCACTTATTGTGCGTTTTTTTACTAGCATTTGTGTCACGGTGACTTATGTTTCGTGATTCGATCGCTATCAAAGAAGTTCTGTATTTACTTCTTCTTACGTTCGACAAAGGAACATTCCGAAATGCGTATTTAATTATAAACATTTATGCACATCATGGAATTAACTGCAGCGAATTGTGTATTAATAAAATGCATATGTTTAAACTTAATACCCAAAATTGTGTTGCGTTAAAATTTTAATGACAGTTTTCTCCTTGTGTCAAAGCAACTGGTGAAATACAACTACAAACAAAAATGTGCGCGGCTTAGAAACGCTGCTATAATAACATGATTAAGCAGTGACGTAGCAAGAAATTGATAAGCTTAAGTCTGCTTATCAATTTCTTTCGCATCAACAGGTAACAAAAAACCTGGGAAATTTATTTATTATTTTTTTCCGTAAAGTCTGGATTTAACCTAAGCGTAAAATTGTTGTTATACAAAGTAATTAAATAAACTGCAATGTATATACATATAAAAAGCCATATTTTGTATACTCTTTCTGAAAATAAAATACAGTGGAACCTCGCTTAACGAGCAAAATAAATTGTAAGAAAAATGACTCGAAAATGGAACGCATTATCTTATATTACATTAGTTTATATGGGGAAAATTGTTTCACTATACGAGTAAAAATCCGGAAATTTTGGAACGGATTATGCTCGTTAAGCGAGGTACCACTGTATATGTAATTGTATTTGTTATAATAGTGTAGCTACGCCACTGGAATTGTAATTGTCTCTTATATATTTGTTTAAGTTTTTATATAATGAATTTATATTTGCATTTTGATTGACATTATTTTATTTATTTTAGGCAGCTCTAACGGCTTGTCAAAATTGTGGACGAACGTTCTATCCGGACCGTTTGCTTGTGCATCAGAAAAGCTGCAAAGCACCTCTACAAGGATTTGTAAGTATGAAGTATTGACTAACATTTCTAAATCAAAACACTCGGCGATGGCTATTTTTTTATTGTGAGAGTTTAAAGAAATTCAATTGTGAAGCAATACAAATGACATATATTTCATTAAAAAAGAAAGAGAGAAGATTATCTGCCGCTCATTATTTACCGTTCTTTATTTACAAAAGAATTACAATATTTAACACACTTAGAACAGCGCGCAATCTTATCAGAATTTATCTATTTTCTAATAAATAATATAATAATAACAATTGATTATAAAATAAACAAAATAAACATAGATTTGACATCGATATTACATCAGGCACGTGATATCGACGAGAAACTTTTTGAACTTAACTTTAACATATAAAATTACATATGAAATGATTTAGTTTGTTTCGGTGGTCTCTGCATTGATTGAGTGTTTGCTCGTATTTATAATAATTTCTTCGATAATCATTCCATTGTTTTTATTCAATGGTTCCATCTCGTGCTTCTTATTCAATTCGTCCTCTAGCTGGTCTTTTTTATGTTCGGTATAAAGCCAACTGAAAATTTGAAAAAAGTTAGAGATTATTTTTATAAATTAGATAAACCAACTTACAAGAAAATCAATACTGATGGTATTGTGAGAAATCCGCCAACTAGGAAGAACGCTCCGGGAAGATAGTTGATCGTGTTTCTGTATACTATACTGTACATGGGTCCATACACCAAAGGCATCAGCGCTTCAGAGACACCGAAGAGTGAATAAATTTTTCCTACAAATATAAAAACTCTTAATTAAACGAATAATAAGATTTAACGAAATCATTACCTAATTCATCTGGAGGAACCAGCTTCGAGATGATGGATCTCATTGCAATGAAAGATGTTCCATTGAACATTTCAACAATAGCACCTGTAAATTAAACACAATTTTTAGTATTTTACTTCATTTCTGAGTGTTTTAGAGATATTTACCCATGTAGAAAACAGTCGACGAACCGGCGAATGCGAACACTAAGCACGCTAAGATTTTGCTCATGTTCGAGATCATACCCAAAATTGAATCGTCCAATTTGAGGTATTTCGAGAAGAATCCTAATGAGAACAAAGTACCTGCAAAGACATTTTTTAATTATATTAGTTTTTTTTTAAATTTTCAAAAATAATTTTACCTGTCATGTGGGCAACGAAGTTAAATGTTGAGTAAATACTGTAATCGATTTCGCTCCATTGGAATTTGTATCTAACAAATAAATACATAACGTTCATTTCACCTAAAAAAAATCAATAATAATAATTAGAGTTGAATAAACATATTTACTTGCGCTCAATAATATCAACAATTTTTATTGAGTCTTAATGTTATCGGTTATTTATGCTTATTCTGTTATTGTTTATTTAAAGAATTAATTAATATCAATGGCTTCGAAACGTATATTTTGAACGTAACGAAAATGATTTATTATATGCAACTAATTAAATTATTTGCTCAGCTAGATATTTAATTAAACACAAATTATATATAATCCACGTATCTTATTATTTTCTGCCACTAATTTATATTTAATTAGTTAACACGTGAATGTTATTAAGATGCAGTGTTTACGGACAGATTTACTCGATTTCTGAGAATATAATAATGATGTTTTGTTTGTTAAGTATAAAAAATGTTATTTACCGTGCATGGGGCCTATGATGACCATAACTAAAATCATGATTGTGCAAATTCTCTTCTTCCTGTTTCTGGCGCCCTGCTTGAACGCCACAGCCAGCGTATCCTTGACGTGCTTCATGTCGAAGAAATCGGCGAAAAAGCCTTTGTTTACCACCACCTCGTTCTGTTCCTGATCCGGATTATCCGGGCATTCCTTCACGTTAAACGATCCATACAAGAAACCGAGTGTATACATGCCCACTGCCAAGGAGAAGACCCCATAGAAACCTATCTGCTTGTAGAGGATACCACTGAGCGCTATTCCAATGGTCAAACTGACGTTGGAGAACAAATTTACAGCGCCGATTCGCAAAGTGCGCGTCTCGGTGCTTGAAACGCTGCTTATGTAACTGAAGACACCCATGAACATGGAGAACCATCCGCCAGTGATTGCGACAGGAATCGATTCAGCCAATACGACGTACATAATTGATAGTTCGTAAAAATAATAGGTGCATAGGATCAATACAAAACCGGCCGCGATTTCTCCCAATATCGGATACAGGATGCAAGGCTTCCTTCTATTGTGACGATCGCTCCATGAACCGAGGAACATGAGCAACAACGCCGGGATCATACTTTGTATGACGTTCTTCCATGCCATCGCCGTTGCAACGAGCTTCTGAACTTCAATTTCTTCTATTTCCGTATAACCAGAACTATTTCTGTCGGCCAGAGCATCACAGACTGTCCCATTCAATGCTAAATCCACGCGACAGGCCTTTTCCAAGTTCAGATTCTGCACTGCCAAACTGGACATCACGCTAGGAAGAGTGTAACATACCAATATCGGCTCCACTGATATATTTGTGAAGACCAGCTTGGCTTTCTGGCAAAAAGTCAGCTGCACCGTATCCTCTGAATCCGCTGCATCCAGAGCCATCGTCTGAAGCTCCGCTTCTATACTCTTCGACTTCGTCAACGCCATCGCCTCGTTCTACTACTATAATATTAATAAAAGCTCTCACCAACTTACTAAACACATTCTCTCTTCTCGATAGTCAATAATGGAATGACTTTTCCACTTGAAGAAAGTTATCATTGGAACGCAGAGGGAGGAGGAACAATTATTATCAACGCCCATTTCAGTTTATTTATTTAAATGTTACCCTATCAATTGTTTGTCTTGGCTATTTAAATATGATTTATGGCCGATCTACTCTGTAAACAGCCTGATTATATTTTATTTTCGAATCTGTAATGAAAATGTAATTATGATACATAACAATGATAATTAGTTTTCGCAAAATTGCGCATGGGTAGTTTTGTTGTTTAACTTTCGGATTACCTGCGACCCTGTATTCGAAAATGTTTACAAAGACCAAAATAGTCGTTTTTATGTAATCCCTTTTTATTAAGAAGCGGCCGACGCATGCATGTATACAGACGTTTGTTTGCTCAAGCCGTAAGATAACTAATTATTATAAAGGCATTGTTCAAAGGTCCGATTTGCCATTGACTTGTAATAAACCGAGCAATATCAGCTTCACAATTACATATTTCATTTTATTTACATGATTGTAATGGAATATTATGCTGTGAATAGCTTGTCCGAACAAATCTCTGACTATCTCTGTACATCATACATTCAATATATGTTTTATTAATAAATTATGTACATGCAGTTTTAGGACAAATAATGAAATTATATAATTATAACAACATCTAAGTTCTTATATTTGCCTGCAATCGTAGAAATGATTAATAATATATCTATGTAATATATTAAGATAAAAAGCATTGGTCAATGAAGACTTGATAAAGACAGTATTTCTTGCATCAATGATCGTTAACTCTTTGCCATTTCTGAATATATATATTGAGATAATTTAATTTACGATTAAATATAGTAACTATACTATACAGTAGACTCTCATATAATGCATTTGTACAACGCGCTAAAAATATTGAGAAGACTTTTTTATTTAACGCAATTCTCGTATAACACGATTTTCTATAACGCTTAACTTATTAAGCGCGTTATTCGGGAGGCTAATGTATGATTATCTTACGTTATCATTAAATACTATTTATACTAATATGAATGAATGGAGTAATTAATTTAAACGGTCGCATATTTATATTTATCACTAACAAATATTTCATTGTTTGGTTTGTCATTTCAGATGAAATCCAACAATGAACCGTTGCGAAATTACTCAAACGCAAAGTCCCAGCAACCGCTGACGGTGAAGTGCTCGGTATGCGGAAAACTCTTCGGCACCAAATCCATAAAAATTCACGAACCCCAATGCTTGAAGAAATGGCACATTCAAAACGATGACTTGCCAGCAAAACAACGCGAACCGATGGCGAAAGGTGCTGCTAGTAAAGTATACCCTTGTTTGTACCTTCATTTAAATCCTGTCGTTTTGCAGACATCGCGGTTTCCGTGAAGACAAAAGAGATCCCTCCGAAACCGGAGAACAAACGACCAACGTCAGGAAGGAAGCCGCCTATGTTTCCTTGCTACCTGTGCGGCCGTTTGTTTGGTGTAAGCTCGATTTACATACACGAGCCTCAATGTCTCAAGAAGTGGACTTTGGAGAACGATAAACTTCCACCTAACAAGAGAAGACAGGTCCCTTTGAAGCCGGACATCAAGTTTACACGTAAGTATTTCCAGGTTCCTCTTATGCAATACCATTAATCTCTGCCACACAACATTTGGATCACTTCGTTATACGCCCTTTCATGTAAACGTCTTTCTTCAAACAAATCAACATTGAAAACTCTACAATTCGTTCTTGCTTTAGTTCACAGCATCTCATATAAGCGAGCACATCTTTTGAGATATCGAAAAGTAACGTTTTCCAATGTGAAACTATTTTCTTTCAGAGGATGGGAAAATTGACTTCGCTGCTATGGAGGAAACCAATTGGCATACTCATCTTAGCCAATTGGTGCCCTGCCAACATTGCAATCGCACCTTCAATCCGGATAGAGTCGATGTACACGAAAGAAACTGCAAGGGGCCAACTAAGCCCTTGAAAACCTTCTGAGACTCCTCTCTATTAGCAAATCCTACATCTCCCGGTTTGGCCTTTCCTATTACTTACGATCTACATGAATTTATTTTTTTTTAGTGCAGAGTTTGTAAAGATGTGTGCAGTATTAATGTGAAATATACACTCAACCATTATTGTTCTCTTTCTACTTCATTGATTTGCAATTGTTGGTTCTAGGTGAAAGTTTAATTTCTGTTTGCAGCGTCCGGAAACGTTGATTTTATCGGCACGTTCGACAGGATATGGGAGAATCATCTGAATGGATTGGTGCCATGTCCGAAATGCGGAAGAACCTTCTTCCCTGAAAGAATCGAAAGACATGTCCATTACTGCAAAGGGTACAAATAGCGCAGCATAATAATATTTATTAACTCAATATAATAATCGATCTTTTATATACATTAAATTTTAAATAATAAAGTAATATCAAGAAATAAAGTAACAACATGTGTTTGTTTTTTCAATTTCGAAGTGAATAATAATCATATTATGATGTGTAAATTATTATTATCAATGCTAATAAATAATATTAAACGATTAAAATCCATTCAATTCTTGCATTCCTTCATAACGTTAGTTATAAATAGTTTGACGACTTATGTTTTATAAGTTTCCATGCAGTCTGTATGAAGACCTATATATTTGAAGAATGAACTTGAATATGAATTATTTTACAAAGAGGAGAGAGATAGAGAGAAATATACAGGGAGAAGTAGAGGATGGAAAACTTTTGTATCGAAATTCAATGCACAAAGTAAATCCCCTTTTCTTTATTCATACAAAAAGGAGCTGCAAAACCGTTGAAGGGGGCACAAGACGAAAGGTGTACTGGTAGATTTACTCGCACAAATTCAGTCACTTACCGTACACCGCTGCTGAAGAATCAATCACCTCCAACTGACGATTTAATCTCTACGCTAGATAATAATTTTAAATTCGGTCAAAGTTCCTTTAATAAAAAAATGGTAAGTTCACATTACTCATAAAATATTTCTTATTTAAATAGCAAAACTTCAATTACAAATATATTTCACAAAAATTACGTTTCGTTTGTCGCTTCGCATTTCAATGTAGCGAAGTTTTTTTTATTATATATTAAGAAATGATTTTGTTTTCTTCCTTTTAATTGAAGCGTGAAGTAATTTCCGTGCACGTCGGCCAAGCTGGTGTCCAAATCGGCAATGCCTGTTGGGAGTTGTATTGTTTAGAACACGGCTTAAAGAAAGATGGATTTTTCAACGAGGAATATCTGAAAGAGAAGAAAAGTGACGATGATAGCTTTAATACTTTCTTCTCACCCACCGGTTCCGGAAAGCACGTTCCCAGATCTGTTTTTGTGGATCTTGAACCAACGGTCGTAGGTAAATATATAAAAGGACGAATTAACTTTAGATCGAAGTGCTATATGACAAATTCTCACTTTAGATTCTGTAAGGGTGGGTCCTTATCGTGAACTTTACCATCCAGAGCAGTTGATAACCGGAAAAGAAGATGCAGCCAACAATTACGCTCGTGGTCATTACACCATCGGGAAAGAGCTCATCGATCAGGTATCTGATAGGATTCGCAAACTGGCGGATCAATGTCAAGGACTTCAGGGTTTCCTGATCTTCCATTCTTTCGGAGGAGGAACCGGTTCCGGTTTTACTTCCCTTTTGATGGAAAGGTTGTCAGTAGATTACGGAAAGAAGAGCAAACTAGAATTCGCCATTTACCCGGCACCTCAGGTCTCAACTGCTGTGGTGGAACCGTACAATTCGATCCTTACCACGCACACTACCCTTGAACACTCCGATTGCGCCTTCATGGTAGACAATGAAGCAATCTACGATATCTGCTTGAAGAATTTGGATATCCCCAGACCCGGATACTTGAATCTGAATAGGCTCATCGGTCAGATCGTTTCATCTACGACCGCATCTTTGAGGTGAATTTCCCAAAAAAAAATCAAAAAATGTTGTTAAAAACATAAAATATAACAAATACAACATTTTTTTAGATTCGATGGAGCCATGAACGTCGATCTTACGGAATTCCAAACGAATTTGGTTCCATACCCACGTATACATTTCCCATTAGTGACTTATGCACCAATCATTTCAGCAGCGAAAGCCTACCACGAACAAATCTCAGTAGCCGAAATCACAAATGCGTGCTTCGAACCCAACAACCAGGTGAGTAATACCTATTTCAAGAAGAAAATCAGTGATTAAACTTTGCCATATAGATGGTGAAATGTGATCCTCGCCGAGGAAAGTACATGGCTTGCTGCATGCTGTACAGAGGAGATGTCGTTCCGAAAGATGTGAACGCGGCCATCGCCACAATCAAAACTAGAAGAACCATTCAATTTGTTGATTGGTGTCCAACTGGATTCAAAGTTGGTATTAACTATCAACCACCCACTGTAGTACCTGGCGGAGATTTGGCTAAGGTAAGCAACCCACCTAATACTTAACAATAAATAATAACATCTGTTACGCCAGGTACAACGAGCCGTATGCATGTTATCCAATACCACAGCCATCGCCGACGCTTGGGCTAGATTAAATCATAAGTTCGATTTGATGTATGCTAAAAGGGCTTTCGTCCATTGGTACGTGGGAGAGGGCATGGAAGAAGGAGAATTCTCCGAGGCTCGCGAAGATTTAGCTGCTTTGGAGAAGGATTACGAAGAAGTTGGCGCCGATTCCGGTGGCGACGAGGAAGATTCATTGGGGGAAGATCAGTTTTAAATTTGAAATAATGCTCGTGAAATTTACTTTTTACCATATTTTATTATTGTTTCTTTTTAATTTGTTGCATGCTAATTCCATTCTAAGTTAAAACATAATAATTATACTACAAAAAAATAATTCAATTACTTGTAATTAAGGCATACAAGAGATGCATCACTTTAGTGATATTGAAAATTTTGTAAAAAAAAAATTAATAACTTTTTAGTTTTGGTTTTAAATTTACTGTTTGTATATTTTATGATTGTTCGTTGTTTCTTTTTGTTAATTACATTGCGTAACATTCAGAAGATAGAATATAAATAAATACAGCAGATAAGAATTCTATAATTGAGTTCAGTTATTTTTCAATTTATTTTTTCTAAAATTAGCTAAAGACTTAGCAAATCTAATTTTCCATACACTATAATAATTTTAAAAATATATTACAATTTCTAAAAAAATACATTGTATTATATGATAAATATTTTAGTACAGTTCATAGGTATATATAAATATTAAATTCAAAGCACAAAGTAAATCCCCTTTTCTTTATACTTACAAAAAGAAGCTGCAAAACCGTCGAGGGGGGCGCAAGACGAAAGGTGTACTGGTAGATTTGCGCGCTCAACTCCAGTCACTTACCGTAGACCGGTACTGAAGAATCCATCACCTCCAACCGACGATTTAATCTCTACATTAGAAAATAATTTTATATTCGGTCAACGTTTTTTTACTGAAAAAATGGTAAGTTCACATTAATCAGAAAATATTTCTTATTTAAATAGCAAACCTTCAATTACTGTATTTTAAATACACTTCACCACATTGTACCACAAAAAATACGATTCGTTTGTCGTTTTGCATTTCATTGTAGAAAAGTTTTTTTTTTGCTATTAATATTATAGTAAGAAATAATTTTGTTTTCTTCCTTTTAATTGTAGCGTGAAGTAATTTCCGTGCACGTCGGCCAAGCTGGTGTTCAAATAGGCAATGCCTGTTGGGAGTTGTATTGTTTAGAACACGGCTTAAAGAAAGATGGTTATTTCAACGAGGAATATTTGAAAGAAAAGAAAGTTAATGATGATAGCTTCAACACTTTCTTCTCATCCACCGGTTCCGGGAAACACGTCCCCAGATCTGTTTTTGTGGATCTTGAACCAACGGTCGTAGGTAGATACATATAAGGACGAATTAACTTTGGATCGAGGTGCTAAATAATTAATTCTCACTTTAGATTCAGTAAGGGTGGGTCCTTATCGTGAACTGTACCATCCAGAGCAGTTGATAACCGGAAAGGAAGATGCAGCCAACAATTACGCTCGTGGTCATTACACCATCGGGAAAGAGCTCATCGATCAGGTATCTGATAGGATTCGCAAACTTGCGGATCAATGTCAAGGACTCCAGGGTTTCCTGATCTTCCACTCTTTCGGAGGAGGGACCGGTTCCGGTTTTACTTCCCTTTTGATGGAAAGGTTGTCAGTGGATTACGGAAAGAAGAGCAAACTGGAATTTGCCGTTTACCCGGCGCCTCAGGTCTCAACTGCTGTGGTGGAGCCCTACAATTCGATCCTTACCACGCACACCACCCTTGAACACTCCGATTGCGCCTTTATGGTAGACAATGAAGCAATCTACGATATCTGCTTGAAGAATTTGGATATCCCTAGACCAGGATACTTGAATCTCAACAGACTCATCAGTCAGATCGTTTCATCTACGACCGCATCTTTGAGGTGAATCTCCAAAAAAAAATCAAAACATGTTGTTAAAAACATAAAATGTAACATATACAAAACATTTTTAGATTCGATGGAGCCATGAACGTCGATCTTACGGAATTCCAAACGAATTTAGTTCCTTATCCACGTATACATTTCCCATTGGTGACTTATGCACCAATCATTTCAGCAGCGAAAGCCTACCACGAACAAATCTCAGTAGCCGAAATCACAAACGCGTGCTTCGAACCCAACAACCAGGTGAGTAATACCTATTTCAAGAAGAAAATCAGTGATTAAACTTTGCCATATAGATGGTGAAATGTGATCCTCGTCGAGGAAAGTACATGGCTTGCTGCATGCTGTACAGAGGAGACGTCGTTCCGAAAGATGTGAACGCGGCCATCGGGACAATTAAAACTCGAAGAACCATTCAATTTGTCGATTGGTGTCCAACCGGATTTAAAGTTGGTATTAACTATCAACCACCCACCGTAGTACCTGGAGGAGATTTGGCAAAAGTAAGCAACCTACCTAATACTTAACAATAAATAATAACATCTGTAACGCCAGGTACAAAGAGCCGTATGTATGTTATCAAATACCACAGCAATTGCAGACGCTTGGGCCAGGTTGAACCACAAGTTCGATTTGATGTATGCCAAAAGGGCTTTTGTCCATTGGTACGTGGGAGAGGGCATGGAAGAAGGAGAATTCTCCGAGGCTCGCGAAGATTTGGCCGCTTTGGAGAAGGATTACGAAGAAGTTGGCGCCGATTCAGGTGGCGACGAGGAAGATTCATTGGGGGAAGACCAGTATTAAATTTAAAATAATGCTCATGAAATTTACTGTTTACCATATTTTATTATTGTTTCTTTTTAATTTGTTGCATGCTAATTCCAATTTAATTAAAACATAATAATTATACTTTAAAAGAAATTCAATTGCTTGTAATTAAGGCATACAAGAGATGCACCACTTTAGTGATATTGAAAATATAGTAAAAACAAAATATTAATAGCTTTTAGGTTTGTTTTTAAATTTACTGTTTGTATATTTTATGATTGTTAGTTGTTTATTTTTTTTACGCACATTGCATACCATTCAGGAGATAGAATATAAATAAATATAGCAGATAAGAAAACTAAAATTGTCTTCTGTTGTTTTTCACTCTATGTTGCTAAAGATTTAAGAAATCTAATTTTGCGTACGCTTTAATAGTTTTTAAAATAATTACAATTTCTATATGAAAAATATTTTCCTACAGTCCACTGGTTGTGACATTGGTCAACGAAATGAGATTAATTATATTTAAACACCAATGTTAGTTTTTTGATAAAACTAAGGAAGTTCTAACTGAATAATACAATTTTATCATAAATACGTTTATTTGATTCTTTTTTTTTTCTACAAATAATTGTGACGACCATCTGTGTATGACAGAATTTTAAAGTACGTAATTTATTCTGTTTATTTTATTTCATACTTTAATCTTAGTAGTTAGCGCTACAGGTGAATATATGTTTGTACGTATAATCTTTTAGATAATTTATTATAGGATGGATTGGAAGAGAAAAGATCTATTTAAGTATTAAGTCTTAATTACTCATTAATACAACTGAAGAACCTTATAAACAATTCGTAGATATTGCAATCGATGTAATAAACTCCAATAAAAGAACATAATTACAGATAAGGTTAAAAATAAAAATACCAATTCTAAATATAATACAAAAAATTTCGAAAATTTATTAAAAAAATGAACACAATAATAATAATAATAATAGTTTGTACCTTCCCAATTATAAAAGCATATTCTACTATCACAGAGAATCATGAACTATATAATCGTGATTTAAGATAAAGGGAAAAACAATATATTAACTAAGTGTTCACGGTGGCGTCGGCTTCAGTTATTGCTAAAAGTTCTACAGCCAATTCAACTTCTTTCTCTTTTTGGGCATCATCAAGCTTGTACTGGTTATACAACCACCTTAAAAAAATAATAAATAATTATTGTGGTAAGTTCAGGTGAACTGTAAATAATTTAACATACAGAAAGATGAAAATGCATGGCGCTGTCAAAATAGCTCCAATAAAATAAAATGCACTGGGGAAGATATCAATTGTTTGTCTATAAATCAATCCGAAAAGTGGACCATAGATCAACGGCATCAGTGCTTCCGAAGCTCCCATCAGTGAATAAACCTTGCCTGAAATTAAATTCATGTCATTTGATATTTCTTATTATTTTGTTAGGAATTACCTAACTCGTTCGGCGGTACCAGCTTAGAGATGATTGCTCTCATTGCTACGAAGGAGGCACCGTGTAAAGCTTCAATAGCGATACCTAAAAATGTGGTTGTTAAAAATAGTTGATAAATTGAAATGCTAATTGATTTACCTAAATAAAAGTAAATTGCTGTGGGTGCAAAGGCCATAACGATGCAAGCTACGACTTTGCAAAATGCTGCAAGAGCTCCAATGACGGCATCGTGAATTTTAAATCTTTTGGAGAGGATGTACAAGGAAAAAGCAGTACCTAAATACAAATTAATTGTTGTTAATTGAATGAAAATTATTGTTCTTCTTTAATACTCTTTACGTACCACTAATTTGTATTAAGAAATGGACAGTTAAAAATATACCGTAGTCTGTTTCGTTCCATCCAAATTTGTATCTTAAAAATAGATACATCACAGTCATTTCTCCTAATAAATAAAGAAATAAATTATTATTTGTTGATTATTATTTTTGTAAAATTGCTTTTACCATGAAGAGGGCCCACGATCAGCATAATCAAAAGTAAGCAAACCATGATCCTGCTTCGAAAATTTTTCTCTCTAGCCTTAAAGGCAACAACCATCGTTTCCTTCACGTAACTGAATTTGAAGAAATCTCTCAAACACGCAAAACGTTGTTTCTTATTGAAGTCGAATTCCTTGGAGTTTTCTTTAACGACGAACATTCCGTAGAAGAATCCAATTGTCAGCAAACCCAACGCAAAGCTGAAAGTCACGTAGAAACCGAAGTTCATCAGGAGTATCCCGCTCACGGCTATTCCAATTGGAATCGAAGCGTTAGACAAGATGGTCAAGGCTCCGATCCTCACGGTTCTTGTTTCAATGCTGGAGATGTCACAGATGTACGCGTTCGCACCCATAAACATGACGGCCCAACCTCCCGATAATCCCGGAATGATACCGTGCACTAAAATATTGAAGATGATCGGAAGCTCGTAGAAGAAGTAGGTGAGCAAAATGAATCCAATGATTGCGAATATCTCTCCTGCTATTGGAATTAGAATGCACGGAAGTCGTCTTTTATATCTGTCGCTCCAAGATCCTATGAATACCAGCACGATGCAAGGAAGAATGCTCTGGAAGATATTCCGGATGGCTGTCATAGTAGCCACGAGTTTCTGAACCGTAGCTTCTTCGTCCTTCGTGTATCCCGTCGCGTTCCTAACGTACATAGCATCGCACGTGCTATTATCATATTGCAAATCGACTCTGCACGCTTTTTCCAAATTCAAGTTTTGCATCGCCAACTCCGCCAGCACGCTGGGTAAGATGTAGCAGAGCATCAGCGGTTCCACGGTCACATTTTGTATGAACCACTTCACTCTATCACAGCAGCTCATTCCACTGGATTCCTCTTTGCTCTCATCTTTCTCCTCGATAGCAGCCATCGCACCAAAGAAATATATTTGCACTTCTTGTTCTTCGAGATCGATACGGGATATTTATCACAGGCCTGCTCAATCAATAATAAATTGGTGTTACAATCATGTAAAGTGCAATTGACGAATTTATCTGCATCATTGCGATTATATGATAAAATGTTTATATATATATATGGACTATATTTTTTATATTCTAAAAACAGTATGGTGGGATGTCAGCATCGACGAAATACTTTTATGGCTAGTGCAATATGCCTTTTTTTGTACAAATTGTAAAAAGGTATTAATCATAAGCTTCATTCGTCAGATATTTACAAAAATGCCCATACTTCAAATTGGAATCGTACACGATATTTCCAATTATTATTCAATAGTAATCAAATAAACTATTTTATCTCTAATAATTTTCGTGCGAGAAAAATAAACTGAAAACAAATTTAAAAAATTTAATATAAACTTTTTATACTATATGGTATCAAAAAGGTAAGTGTTTTATGTTAACAATATATGTAGTATGGATAATATAACGAACGCATTTCATGACTATTTGCAGGTGCCTAAATATAATGGTTGTAGAGAGAAAATGTGAATGAGTAATCGTAAAATTAGCAATGGCGTACAGCATTATCAGGATTAATGTTTGCTGATTGAAGGTACTTGAAAGTGAATTGTTTGCGCGGATAATTGCAAATGCATTTAGTACAAATTCGGACTGATAGGAATGTGATTGACCTTGACACATATCCAGAAAAAATAGTTGTTTTTTTTAAATTATCTAAAAAGTACGTCAAAAGCTGTTATATTTCTGTCAGATTATGATTATTATCTGCCGATGAACTACATTGATATTCCGTGTCAAAATTTTAATTGCAGAGACAAAGCAAATAACTATTTGAAAGTCAAAACAAATAGCAATGATATAACTACAAAGAATATATCTTTATTTTATATTAAAAACTAACAAAAAATCATAATAATTTGTTTAAAGTTACGCATTTTATGTTGCATTTTATATAGATATCAATTAAATGCCTGAACAGGTACACCTTGCACATACACAAAACACACACGATTTAAAGCATCTTAGCCGATTACCAGTAATGAGAAAACTCAGAGCAAAACCAGATCCAAACTACAATAACGTGCTTAACTAAATAACATTAAGTATAACAACACTGTTTAATTAATAATTAACGTTTTTAAGCAAAAAAAAAAATCACACAAGAAAACATCGTTCATGGCAAACAATATTTGTATATGGTTTAGTTTCTCATTGCATTAATATAATATAAAATAAATATTGTTCTATGCAGTTTCTCTTGATGAATTGTGTAACGTTTTGTTTTAAATGGACGCAATAAAGAAAATAAAACATAACAGTACTGCTGACATCAGATCAAGTTATATATAAATATAAATGATTTTTTTTGTTCCAGCGCTAATTCAATTGCTTTAGATAAGATTGTATGTAATTGAAGACCAATAACAAGCTGTCCTAGCCGTCTGGGAAATATTCCGAGTTATTCATAGATATGAGATACGTTATTTAAAAATGTATTATTACTTAACTTACTTAACCGTTGAATACAAAAAAAGTCGAATACACTGTAAGATACATGATGCATGGTGTTTACCTAAAGATAAAGTACTTGGATGTGATAATCTACCGAACATCGGTGAAATATTTAAAATCATTAAGTTTCAAATCATTTAAATATCTGTGTAATATTTGATGTTAGTATTTTTGATAATAATCATCTTATTCTTTTTTAACAATATCACTTTTAAGACGAAAAAAGATCTGTACTTTACAAAGTGTTGCAGGTCTATATTCTGTTACGATTACATAAATGTAATGTATGTTTCTTTTTTAATTTAAAATAATTATTAATAAAATAAGTCTCGTTTCAATAGGCTTCAAAGAAAAAAGCCGGCATTGCAATACTAAAGCATTTCCAATATAAAACGATATGAACTATCGCGGATAGAGAAAACTGCAGTCTAACGACAAAAATTATAAAATCATGTTATTATCTAAACCTACCACATTGAATAAACTAAATTGAATTTGTTTATAAGTTAACTAGTATAGAAAGGTGATACTTTTATATCTACATGACACAAAATTGATGATAACTAATTAATTTAGTAAAATAAGAAGATTTATTAAGGGGATGGAAGAAAACCAGTGCTCAATAGCAGCGGCAAATCGTTAACTTCGGGGGCCCTGGGCTAACACATTTTGGGGGCCCTGGATTAACACTGTTTGATTGAGCGGAGATCTAGACTAAATTAGCCGCAATAAATATTGAATATTAAATCAACATTTTTTTTAAATATGCAACCGCTAAAGGTTTTTATTTAGAAAATAGATAATTTATTTTACACTATTATTCATTCAAAAATGAAATATAATTGTTGTTTCATATTAATGACATAATCGATATTGAAGTGTACTATCATAGTCATCAATTATGACAAGTCTAAAATTAGCATTGTTTTACCGAGTGGCTATCACTATCATAACATATTTATTTTAGTATCCTATTTTCAGTTGGTACTCGGATTAATTAGATAACAATTGACAAAATAGCTATTATAATTATTCCAATTGATTTATGCAAAATACTTGAAATTCTAAATTTCATTAATTTCTTTCTTCTATCCTTTTGGTACACAATAGACTTTTATTATTGATAAGAGAAAATCCCATCAGATTTTATGATACAAAGAACCATTGATTGTTATAATATATTTGTATCATGATAATATATGTTAACATAAATCCTATAGACTAGTTCGTCTCTAGCAATCGTGAGTGCACGTGTGTCCGGGACCGACATCTAGCAGCAGCGGAATAAGTCACTTCCTAGTGTGATTCTATTCCATATTCCCTACATGCGGTCTATAAACATATTCTATATCGCAACCCAGACAATCGAATATTGAAATCCCGACGTTCGAAAACTCGAGTGTATCGAAATCCCGACATTCGAAATTCCGACGCTTAAAATCCCGACTATGTCAAAATTCCGACTACCATAATCCCGACAATCAAAATCCCGACTATATCGAAATAAATAAAAGTTATCGTAGAAATTTATAATAATAAAAGACACTGTCGGGTAAATCGATCCAAATTCCCTTCCAGATTAAAGACACAGTCTTAGAATTAATCAAATTTAAGAATATGGATTTTCTTTTTCTTCGTAGGTCTATTTACGATTAATTTAGAACCCTCAGAAGACAACAATTCATCCATTTAGCCGATGTCTAGACATCCGCTATAAGCAAAACGTAAAAACCAATGAGTAACTTAGAGGCAAAAAATGATAATTATGAAATAGCCTTAATGACTGTATTGTGGGACAAACTGTTGCAGAGGATGGAATTTACTCCATGGGGAAAATCTTCAGAAATATCTTTCCGATTTTATAAAGGACGCAAGACAAAAATTTGAATATATGATTGAAGAAAAATAATGATGTAAAAAAAAGGAACATTGCAGTTTATAGTTAATATACATAAATTAATATGTGATGTATTCAGGAGATCCACTGTCTACAGCGATGTTTTGAACGATTTTCAAGTTTTTTTTTTAAATGATAAAATGAGTAGCGATGAAATGACTGAATGTGTGAATTATCGTTGAAATACGACATTAAACATCGATATATATAAATTATTAATTGACGGACTGTAGTCTACGTTTCCCAATGTAGAAACTATTTTGAGATTCTTTTTGACAATGTCTATCTGCAATGCAAGTGGTGAACGTTCATTATCCGTACTTAAACGGGTTAAAAATTATTTACTTAATTCAATGAGTCAATTACGTCTGAGCAATTTGTCACCTATGTTTATAGAAAATGATGTTGTTCAATTGTAAGATTGTGGAAGTTCCACTTTAAACGAGCACCTCTCGAACACTGTTCATCTTTATTGTGTATTTTTTTTTACCTAAGAATGTGTTTTTTTTTCTAGTACCTAAGAATATTTTTTATTCCAAAATTAAAAAACGTTATGATTTTCTGCTTTGTTTATATTAATGAATCATCTCATTCTCAGGTTGCGCCTAGGGCATCACAAAGTCATGATGTGCCACTTAAAATTTATAAGTAAAGTGTAATTTAGCTGAAATTGCTAACATATTTTTGAGATTATCGTTTCTTAGTAACGAAAAACTGAAAGAGTACATTGCAAAGGAATTGTTCGTAATATAGATAGAGGCTTTTCCGAAGCATAACTCGTGAAGGAAATTAAAGATGCGCAGATGGAATTAATATCATAAAGATCGAAAGGATAAATGGGAAATTGATCAATGAGGACGGTAGTACAATTTATGTGCCGAGTAATTCATTAATAAGTACTTTCTATGGTAAGAGGCTTCCGAAACACATTAATATATCTTATAACAATAGAGTGGTGGAGTTGTACGTGCATAGGGTTATCCAATGCTTAGGGTGTCACTGCTATTTTCAATAGTTCAAACATACGTTGACCAGCATGCGCCAAAGACCACAGTCTGAATCTATTCCCCAACAAAGACAATCCTACTTGTCTGTACTGTAGAAGAGCACATTTAACCAATGAACAAAATCTTCGCCTAGCTGATAAAGTCTGCATAAAATACCTTAGTCAGAAAACCTTTAAAGAGGACATGGTTAATTGCTTATGTCTTTTCTACGAGGCAGACAAATTTACCAACAAGCTAACAGATAAAAACTCGTCGAGGGGTCAATATAGTCGTGCATTTCCTACAATCCTATATAGACAAGACTCTGTGCCTAGCGACGTACCAACCGAACAAATGTCCAATAAGCAAACATTCGCATATATATTAAGAACTCAATCCCCCCTCTATTTCCATCCCATTTCTTCTGCAAGAAGCATCAACTGTGATATTTACAGCTGATTCAGACTTTTACCACCCCATAAAATCGTCCAAAATATAAATAGGGAGGGAGATATCAGCCGCTGGTATTTGGAAGAAGATTAGAAGGTTCAATCGTAAGTCAACAATTGTCAATGGAGACAACAAATGGAGACAAGATTTCCTCGTTGCACTTACCCCACCAAGTTTTGAACCAGAGGTCGTATCACTACCGATCTCACAAAACCTTCTACACTCTCAGAATTGGAACTTTTAGTAAAATCCGCAAAAGCGGTTGTTCTTGATAGGGTCTCATACCGTATGATGAAAGGAGGCACACATAGTGCCGATTTTAAAGCGAGGATTCGCACCACAGGAGACAATCAACTACAGACCGATCACTTTATTATCATGCATAAGAAAGAGTTTCTGATCAAAAAGCGTCTAGACCGCTGGTGCGAAATAAATAACGTATTTGAACCTACTTTTGCTGGTTTCTCAGAGTTAGAAGCACATTGGACAACATTTATGGAGTGGCGGAAATTTATCGAGAACTCGCGGCTGGGAAGGATCTAATTGTTGTGTTCTTGGATATCAGAGCCGCATACAACAACATAGCATCGAATATTCTAATGCGGGAACTCTAGAGCTACCAGCTCCCTCCTCGGTTAGTCAATATAGTTATTGCACTAACCAGAGACAGAAACTGTCGACGTAATATCCACAGGACGACCGTGGGCAGCACTAAACTCATGGCATGTGCCGATGATTTGGTGCTGATTGGTAGCGGAAAGAAGCGCTCTTATGCTATACCTCTCTGATGATATTATATGGCCTCTACTGCACGACCAACTTGTCAGAATCCCAAACCAGTGTCTGAGAATCTGCATAGGAGCCTTGCGCTTCACCCCACTGAATATTTTAAAATGGACAAGGACAAGGGATTCATTCAGAAGAATAGTGGATCAGAGAGCCATAATCTCGGATTCGAAGAGTGCTAACGAGTCCAACAATAGCCAGTCAAAGACGGTTAAGACTAATCACTGGGTTGTTGCAATCTTGGCTCAGATAAGAAACATTGAAACTGACGGGGGAGTTGTTGTTTTATGTTGGGTGCCCAGCCACCAGGGTATCCTAGATAACGAGGAAACGGAAGCTCCGGCAGGAATAGGTCATCGACGCGAGATCATCAACATCAAGTTCACTACACAGACACATACCCGCATGTCAGAGCGTACGCAATACTAGAATGGCAACGAAGATTTTAGAGTGAAGCACCCATGGTTGTTGAGGATGGGGTTCAGCAGGAAATCGAACATTGCAGTACTCAGTCGTTTGAGATCTGGACAAATGCTAGGCTCTTTAAATTTGGCCAGAGTCGGGTGGCAGGACTCTGATAGATGCAGCTATGGGTTCGCTTGTTAACATATTTTTTGTATGCAATCAATATCGACAAGCATCCGAAACTCTATATAGTGAATTGATCAGAAACAATGTCTCTCTACCGACATCAGTTCGGTCTCTAATTAGCTAGAAAAATGTAAAAGTCTATATGTGTCTATTAAAATGTATTAGGATTGCAAAGGGCAATCATCAATTAACAAAAGTAATGGCTGGCAAAAGTGTACAGCTATGTGAAGCGGAAGGGGAAAAGAGAAGTTCATTAAGACCTAGATTTCTTTCCAATACGTAAGTCAATTTGGTTGCCTATACAATAAATTATACCTAAATAAAGTAAAATTGCAGGAAATTTCACAATTATTGCAACTATTTATTTGTAATAATTTATAAACTATTGTATAAGTTATTTAATGAATTACCATACCTTTAAATTTTTATTAAAAAAAAATTAAATATAATAACAATTTTTATTGCAACAATTATGTAATAAAACAAACAAAACATAAAAAAAAACACATGAATAGAATCGAAAATTTGAATAGAATATTTATTATATAAAATTAAATATTTTGTCCACTTCCTGTAATTTATGAAATAGTACAGATTAACAATTATAATTTTATAGAAATCTCGTTTCAACTTTAGTTTAATCATTACGTAATGTTTCTCAAAATTGTTTTCAGTATAAAAATAACCATATTAATAAAGCAAAACAATATTAACCTTTAAGAAAATGTGCTTATTATTAAATTCTATAAATTAATGTTTTGTAATAAAATTGAAGAAAACGTTCGCAAGATTATCAAAAGAAGCATTTTTTTTCTTCTTCCTAGAAAATTGTTACCTACACCTGGGAAGAACCTTTTTGAGGGCAATTGTAAAACAGCATTTTATTGGAAAATTCCCACGTTTTTGAAAGAACTGTACCTTTTTTCAAAAGAATCACCTTTCTTTCCCTGAAAGAAAAATGCCTGAACTTCCGCTACCCCTACCAAATATACAGTTTGAAAATGGTTATTTAAGCAAGCAACTGCATCGAACATTTCCAGTTTTGGTGCGATCACTGCGAAAAGCATAACCAAGGTTCCACATGTAAGTTTTTAAATTTTTGTTTCTGCAAGAAATTAAGTTCTTCTATAATATTATTATTTTGTCAAATTGCTATATAAATTTGAAATAATGTTTTAAAGCAACTTTTGCTAAGTTATAAAAAAAAGTCAAAATAATTTAAACCTTCTGTAATTTATGTAAATAACTTTTATAATATTACTTATAATATAGTAAATAACTTTTATAATATTACTTATAATATAGTAGTATTTAGAACAGTTGATAAAAGACCCACGGGTCTAAAAAGAAAGTGTTATATTCAAATCTAGATCATTTGGTATGGATATAGATTCATCGTTTTTAGCGGCAATTTTTGAAATTTGTTTTTGTCTTATTTTAGGTTGAAGTGGATTGAAGCAATACGATTGGACTAACTGTGAATCGCTTAGTGGCGCCCTCTGCCTTCGTCTACTTCGTGGGAAGAGATCGTTCGTCTCTCTACCTTTTTGTGGGGAGTGCGCCATAACTGGCGTTTGTGTTTTTGACTGTGCTAAGAAAATCCAAGAACATCCAAAATGGCAAGTGCTTTTTTATATCATTCTCTATGGGAAACTGTAGCCCTTTTCATTTTCTATCGAATGCATGTGCTATTTGTCAGGATACCTGGGAATTATGGGTGAAAAAGTTGTTAGAAAATGGGAGATTGCACAACTATATGTAATGCACCAGAAGGCATTTGTTTACGTGTTTCTTTGATATTGGGGTTTGCGTTAGTTCCTGTCACATATCGAATATTATTTAAAGTATTCGCCGGTATTAACTGCAATTCATTTCGATCCTATTTGACGAAGTTTTACATTAAATATGGTGAGTTAAAATCACGCTGACGTTTATGCACACGCGGCATTGTAAAATGGATGCATTTGTTTTACTGATCTTGCCTGATCCACCTATAAGTTATTGAAAGCCACCCCTTAATGTTGTGCAACATGCATCTCCAGCTGCCCATTTTTCAGGATCTTTGCAGATGCATATGCAATTCATGTGCAGCTGATTTTTACAACATGGACTACTCTCAAGTGCCCAGCCAATCTAATTTATGTTCTTATGTTATAGGTGAACTTCACTGTTGATGAAATCCGTGCCATGATGGACAAGAAGCGGAACATCCGTAACATGTCTGTCATTGCTCACGTAGATCATGGTAAATCCACTCTCACAGACTCCCTTGTGTCTAAGGCTGGTATCATTGCTGGAGCCAAGGCTGGTGAGACTCGTTTCACTGACACCCGTAAGGATGAACAAGAACGTTGCATTACCATCAAATCCACGTAAGTATTCAGTAATTGAGTATATTCCATATGTTTTAGTCATTACCATTTTCCTAATTATTCCATATGGATATCTATAATTATATTACAAAAAGATTGCATCTTAATCTCAAAACCTTTGACATTGGTTACTAACTGATTTTCCTTTTTATGATTCAGCAAAAATTATTTGGACAATTTCTGTGTATTATTATTGAAAAGTTGAATTTAAACTGTAGAATTACAGATCAATGACCCTTTGTCTGGACTGCCCCACCCCTCTGACAATTTAAAAATATAAGTTTATTTTTTTTTTTTTTTGTTTAGTGCCATCTCTATGTACTTCGAGTTGGAAGATAAGGATTTGGTATTCATCAAGAATATTGACCAACGCGAAAAGGACATGAAAGGTTTCTTGATCAACTTGATCGATTCCCCCGGTCACGTTGATTTCTCCTCAGAAGTCACTGCTGCTCTCCGTGTAACTGACGGAGCCCTTGTCGTCGTAGATTGCGTTTCTGGTAATTTCATTGAACCATGATTTTTTTTTCTTAATTTATAATAATTGTGGATCTTATTTAGGTGTATGCGTACAGACCGAAACCGTACTTCGTCAAGCTATTGCTGAACGTATCAAGCCAATCTTGTTCATGAACAAGATGGACCGTGCTCTTCTTGAACTCCAATTGGATTCCGAGGAGTTGTACCAAACTTTCCAACGTATCGTTGAAAACGTCAACGTTATTATCGCTACCTACTCGGACGACAGCGGCCCAATGGGAGAAGTTCGCGTAAGTAATCTACGTCAATTCATTATTCTATCCCGAGAACTTGCAGTCCGATATTTGTGTAATTATTATATTGGTTAAGATAGTTCTCGGAGAGTAAAAGGTCACTAATTGCCCTGCCTTAAACAAATTGTGTTTAATGCAGCTTCCATTAAAGTGAAACATTTAATAAAGTATTTAAATTACAAAGTAATTTTCCATAAGAGACATGTTAGTAATGTATATATCTTTTAAATTAGGTTGACCCTAGCAAGGGATCCGTCGGTTTCGGTTCTGGTCTCCACGGCTGGGCTTTCACCCTCAAACAATTCGCTGAAATGTACTCCGAGAAATTCAAGATCGACGTTGTCAAGCTCATGAACAGGCTTTGGGGAGAGAACTTCTTCAACGCTAAGACCAAGAAGTGGGCCAAGCAAAAGGAAGATGATAACAAACGCTCTTTCTGCATGTACATTTTGGACCCAATCTACAAGGTGTTCGACTCCATCATGAACTACAAGAAGGAAGAATACGAAGCGCTTTTGCCGAAATTGGGCATTGCCTTGAAACACGAAGACAAGGATAAGGACGGCAAACCATTGTTGAAGGTCGTCATGAGGACCTGGTTGCCAGCTGGTGAAGCTTTGCTTCAGATGATTGCCATCCATTTGCCATCCCCAGTAGTCGCCCAGAAATACCGTATGGAAATGTTGTACGAAGGCCCACACGACGATGAAGCCGCTGTTGGTGTTAAGACTTGCGACCCTAACGGTCCTCTTATGATGTACGTATCGAAAATGGTACCGACCACCGATAAGGGTAGGTTCTACGCTTTCGGTCGTGTCTTCTCTGGAAAGGTAGCCACCGGCATGAAGGCCCGCATCATGGGACCCAACTACGTTCCTGGCAAGAAGGAAGATCTTTACGAAAAGGCCATCCAACGTACCATCCTCATGATGGGACGTTATGTTGAAGCCATCGAAGATGTCCCATGCGGTAACATCTGCGGTTTGGTCGGTGTCGATCAATTCTTGGTCAAGACCGGTACCATCACCACCTTCAAGGACGCCCACAACATGAAGGTCATGAAGTTCTCCGTGTCACCTGTCGTGCGTGTCGCCGTTGAACCCAAGAACCCAGCTGATTTGCCAAAATTGGTAGAAGGTTTGAAACGTTTGGCCAAATCCGATCCTATGGTCCAATGTATCATCGAAGAATCTGGTGAACATATCATCGCTGGTGCCGGTGAACTTCACTTGGAAATTTGCTTGAAAGATTTGGAAGAAGATCACGCTTGCATTCCACTCAAGAAATCCGACCCCGTTGTGTCATACCGTGAAACCGTCAGTGAAGAATCTGATATTATGTGCCTGTCCAAATCTCCAAACAAGCACAACAGGTTGTTCATGAAGGCCTGCCCCATGCCCGATGGTTTGGCTGAAGACATTGACAATGGCGATGTCAACCCACGTGACGACTTCAAGTCTCGTGCTCGTTACCTTGGCGAGAAATACGATTACGATCTTACTGAAGCCCGTAAGATCTGGTGCTTCGGCCCAGACGGTACTGGCCCCAATCTTCTCGTTGATTGTACCAAGGGTGTGCAATATTTGAACGAAATCAAGGATTCCGTTGTCGCTGGTTTCCAATGGGCCGCCAAGGAAGGTGTCCTTTCCGAAGAGAACTTGCGTGGTGTTAGGTTCAACATTTATGATGTTACTTTGCACGCTGACGCTATCCATCGTGGTGGTGGCCAAATTATCCCAACCACTCGTCGTTGCTTGTACGCTTGTCTGATGACCGCTCAACCAAGGCTTATGGAGCCAGTCTACCAATGCGAAATTCAAGTAAGAAATTCAAAAATAACGATTATCCAATTTACTAATATATTTTTGTATAGTGCCCAGAAATCGCCGTTGGTGGTATCTACGGTGTATTGAACAGAAGACGTGGTCACGTTTTCGAAGAAATGCAGGTCACTGGTACCCCCATGTTCGTCGTCAAGGCTTACTTGCCCGTCAACGAATCCTTCGGTTTCACCGCCGATCTTCGTTCCAACACCGGTGGACAAGCTTTCCCGCAATGCGTGTTCGACCATTGGCAAGTACTGCCCGGTAACCCAATGGAACTCGGATCCAAACCATACCAAATTGTGCAGGTATGCATTTCAAAAATCTACTTATTAAATATTCGTAGTAATAGTACCATAAACAGACAATGCTTCCTCCGTTACTTTATAAAAGAGTTAGCATTCGCGTTTGATGGAAGATCAATATTTTATTTTAATATAAGGACTTTAAATGCATATAAGCATTCTAGTCCAAATGAAATAATATTACATTTTCTCAAAACATTAATTTTGTTTTTTTTTCTGCATATTTTTATTTGTACAATGTTAATTGTTTTTTTCTTGCAATTTTAGGATACACGTAAGAGGAAGGGATTGAAGGAAGGTCTGCCAGATCTTACCCAATACTTGGACAAAATGTAAACATCAGGGTGTTAGGATCTGTACAAAGTATTTAAAAAGGATATTCAAAATAAACAATAAAAAAATATTTTATTTTATTCTTGGGTAAAAATTATACCTATATTATTGTACAGAGGCAAAAGGTTTTTTTTTTCATTTAATTTAATTTCTCTGACATTAAAAATTTGTGGCACCACACTCATATAGAAGAAAAAACACAAGCTTATATGAAAAATTTGTTCCACACACACAAAATCAAAAAGAAACTTTATATTTTCTTATTTAATTAAAAAAGTTAAAACAATCAAACGGGAGCATAGAAACTTGTTGAATTTGTAGTACTGAATTTTACATGTTATTTTTTCCTTTGTTTTTTTTTTAAATAATAAACATCAAACTTTTTTATTATTTTCATATGCTTAATTTTATTAGTTTCGAATTCGCAGCATATCACCACTTTATTTTTTTCAAGATCTAGCTAGGTACAATACTTGAAATATGGATGTCAGGATGACCGGAAATTGTGTTTTAGGTATTTAAAAAGCACCTATTTTACTTAGTTATTCCCAAGTATTGAACAATCCGATCATGGCTTTTAATGATCGAGATTACAATGTGGGCAAATCATTTACAATTCGTCTCGTATTAATTAACATTCAATAAAGTAATTTTATAGTTGAAAATTATTTATTGAAATATTGTTAGATTTGTAAATGTGTCACAATACTTCGAGTAGTATCAATGTCACAATTCTACTGCTTTAGATTGTAATAAATTTCGAGTGATGAAATAATTTTTAATTGAAGTAAATTTCAAGTGAAAATTTACAATGTTTTTATAGCCAAAAGGATACTGAAAAAAATAATCTTTAATAATACTTCAAATAGATAAGTTAATCTAAGTAACACAACTGATATAGGATATTGTCCTTTTTCAGATTAGTTTTGTTGTCACGGATTTGACATTGGTTCTACCTTACAATACATGTTTATTAGGTAAGTTACATTTCAAATTAATTTATATTTTCTAAAAATGATGAAAACTTTCTAATTGAAGTCAGATTTCAAATAAATCCGACAATGTTGTTTAGCCAAAAGGATACTGAAAAAAAATCAAATCAATTAATACTTTTCCTCTTTTATTTTACATAAGATTAATATAGATATTTGGATTTACAGAATCACTGTTAAACCGCTTAGTTCAAGATGAGCTTTAGAGGAAGCTTTGGAAATATCAAATTAGATCAAGGTATGTTCTGGTTTAATTAATTAAAATTTCTCTATATTTCAAATGTTGATCACAAAGATTGTTCTGAATATCAATTGAAGACAACTTAATTATTCACCTAATTTTAAATAATCTACTATTAATCATATACAAAGTCTTGAAACATTCTATTTTATATTTTTTAAAATAGCTTTCGAAAATCGCCTTTGATCAATTTCCAGTCTTTCACTTTTATTAGTTTAGTTTTATGATTTTGAAGATCAATTCAAATGATGATTGTTCTCTTTTCAAATAACAATATTTGACCATATAAGAACGGCCAACTGAAGACAAATTATTAAAAAATTAATTATTGAATAGCAAGAGAATTCACTTTATTAATTCGATGTTTTAATATTTTTTTACAGCTGCTGAATCAACTGATAATAAATTTCAGGATTATTTAATTAATCAAACGTAAGTATTATTTATAGATTATAATTATAATAGAAATAACTTAAATGATGATAAAACAATTAGAGCCAATCCTATGAAAATACTTTGATTAAAACAATTAAACTTGCCAGTTTCAACTGATACACTTGACATTCAATAATGAAATCATTCATTTTTTGTGCATTTTCTAATTACTCGTTTTCTTATTACAGGTCGTTAGAGATTGTTCATTTAGTTTCATGATACTCCTGGACTCTAATGTAAGTTTCTTCTTAGTTAACAAAAATTTTATAGAATTTCTTATGATGATAAAAAAATTAGAGCCAATCCTATGAAAAATGCTTTGATTAAAACAATTAAACTTGCCAGTTTCCACTGATACACTTGACATTTAGTAATTAAGTAATTAATTTGCTTGTGCATTTTCTAATTATCCTTTTCCTTATTACAGGTCACTAGAAAATGGATTTTTTTCATGATCCTTCTGGACTATACTAATGTAAGTATCTTTTTATTTAACATAATTTTACACTTTGTTATGATGATAAAAAAATTAGAGCCAATCCGATGAAATCACTTTGATTATAAAAATATTTATATTTTCTGAGCTGAATTTAAAATTTCAAATGCAATTAAATGTATTATCAATTATACTAACTTTACTTTATTCTATTACAGATTTCAAATGCAATTATTCCTTGGATTTGTTTTTCTATTCTTAACAATGTGAGTATAATTTATATAAATACTTTTCAATAATTGCGTACATGATGATAATTTTTTATTGAAGTAATTTCAAGAAAAATGATTTTACGATGTTGTTAGCCAAAAGGATACTGAAACTATTTCATCATATTTAAACACATTTTTCTATGATAATAAACTAATATAATATCTTTTTTTAGGTGATCATTTCAATAATATTCCATTAGAAACAACGCTGATCTTTGATTAAGGTAATTTTTTTCCAATATTTTTATTTATAACATTAATGTAATTATAATGATGAAAATACACAGACCTGTTCTGAATATATAACTTTTGAGGAGCAAATAATCTCACCTGAATTCATTCATCTCTAAATGCTCTGACTTGCCGTCCAAGTAGCAATAACTAAAACAAGATTTTGTTTTATTTTCAGATGTAATCAAAGAGCCGCTTAGTATTTCCATGGAAACGAATCTATTGAATATCATTTTGCAGTCTTATTAGGTAAGTTTTAATGAGATTTATCAAATTGACGTCAATTTAAATGATGATTGTTCTCTTTTCAAATAACAATATTTGACCATATAAGAACGGCCAACTGAAGACAAATTATTAAAAAATTTATAATTAAATAGCTACATAATTCATATCATTAATTCTATTTACTCTTTTTTTACAGTTGCTGAATCAAGCGATAATCAATTCCAGGATTATTTAATAAATGAAAAGTAAGTTTTATCGTAATAATAATACAAATAACTTAAATGATGAAAAAAAAATTAGAGCCAATCCAAAAACCTTTAATTAATGTAATTATAATGATGAAAATACACAGACCTGTTCTGAATTTATAACTTTTGAGGAGCAAATAATCTCACCTGAATTCATTCATCTCTAAATGCTCTGGCTTGTCGTCCAAGTAGCAATAACTAAAACAAGATTTTGTTTTATTTTCAGGTGTAATCAAAGAGCCGCTTAGTATTTCCATGGAAACAAAACCATTGAAGGTAACTATGTTATAATTCTTGTTATTACTTACTAACTTTTAGTACCCCACAATTTTAAGCCGGCTGGAACCATTTACAATGTGGTATTCGGTGGTAATTAGTGGGAAAATTAACTCTAAACATGTGTAAGGTTACTTTTTAGATCAATAAGAAATAACCTAAGGAATTTTAGAAACATTTTCACATCAATTATTATAGCATTACAATTAAATTGAATGCATTTTCTAAAAGTTTATTTATATTTCAGATTCATTATCTATTTACGTCGCAAATGAAGGAAAGGAGTCTATTTTATATACAGGTAATTATTTTAAATTTACTAAAAATTTATTTTATTTAAAATATGATGAAAACTTTACTAATTGAAGTAATTTCCAAAGAGTTATTACAATGTTGTTTAGCCAAAAGGATACTGAAACAAACTCTCATTAATCTATTAATATTTTTACCAAAACGAAACGATTTTAATTCATTGTTTTATTTTCTTATAGATACGAATTCCAAGTTTTCAACATCTACATCAACAATATCTTTCATTAAAGGTAAATTTCTTAGATAATTTTTATTAGATATTAAAGTACAATCAAATGATGATTGTTCTCTTTTCAAATAACAATATTTGACCTTATAAGAACGGCCAACTGAAGCTTTGCACATATATTTTTTTTTTATATAAATTGTCTTCACTTTTTACTTATCATGGCATATCGTTGCAGATTGAACTACAATCATCCGACTAATGAAGATGATCCATGGATCAAAAGGTGAGTTTTCGTTTTATATATTGTACCAAAATATTTGCGTAAATATATTAATTTTATTTAGTATAATGATGAAAATACACAGACCTGTTCTGAATTAAATAATTGAGGAACGTATAATCTCACCTGAATTCTACAAAAATATATTTCAATTTAATTCTCTGTTAAATATCACTTCTATAATCTTATTTTTTTTACAGATTAATCAAATTGGGTCCAATTTCGTTGATTCAGTCTTGTTTTTTTTTGTCTTTCCTTCAACTAAACACATTTAAGGTAATTTACATTATATTATTAATTTTAATGAATCAATGTCTATAAAAATCATGTAAAACAACGTACCTGATGAAAACTTTAACTTATTGAAGTAATTTCCAAAGAGTTATTACAATGTTGCTTAGCCAAAAGGATACTGAAAAAAGCATCAAACAATAATCTTCCAATTTAATATCTCCAATATATGAAATTAAATTATTATTTTTTTTTACAGAAATTCATTCGCTCTAAATTATAATGCAGGTGAACCATAGATCTAAAGGTGAGTTTCTGTTTTATATTTTGCCAAAATATCTACGTAATTTTATTAAGTATAATGATGAAAATACACAGACCTGTTCTGAATTAAATAATTGAGGAACGTATAATCTCACCTGAATTCTTCAAAAATATGTTTCAATTGAATTCTCTGTTTAAAACCGTTTCTAAAATCTTTATTTTTATTGCAGATCAACCAAATTGGGTCCAATTATATTGCTTACTTACTTATAAAGGGCTATTGGCTAGTCTTTCCATCCACTAAACAAATTTAAGGTAATTTAGTTTACATTATTAAGTTTAGTTAAGTAGTATTGTATTTAAAATAATTTAAATCTTATTACATCAACCCCGCAATTTTAAGCAAGCTGGAGCCATTTAAAATGTGGTATTCGGTGAAAATTAGTGGGAACATCAATGTCTATCCATGTGTAAGGTTACTTTTTAAATCAATGAAAAATATCCTAAGGAATTTTAGAGACATTTTCTTATAAATTATTTAATAACATATATTTAAGTGATTGAATAAGTTCTAAAATCATATTATTTAATTTGCAGATTCGACCAAAGATGATTTCTCTTTCACAAGCGGATTTTGAAAATGGTAATTATTTAGTATCTTATTATTTGCTGATTTTGAATAACGTACCTGATGAAAACTTTAACTTATTGAAGTAATTTCCAAAGAGTTATTACAATGTTGCTTAGCCAAAAGGATACTGAAACAAATCAAATAATAATCTTCCAATTTAATATCTCGAATATGTGAAATTAAAATTATATTTTTTTTTTACAGAAATCCAATCCATTCAAATCGTCGAAATTCTCATTATAATTATAATGGTAAGTTATAAATAACTAGAATTAATAAAATTAGTAAAAAGAAAAAGTAATTAAAGTGATGACAAATTTAACTAATTGAAGTAATTTCCTAAGAGTTATTACGATGTTGCTTAGCCAAAAGGATACTGAAAAAAACAAAAAATATTCAACATTCAATTGAATATCTCGAATACATGAAATTAAAATTGTACTTTTTTTACAGAAATCCCTTCAAATTCCTAAAATCTTCATTCTAAATTATACTAATAATGGTAAGTTTTTTATAATTCAGATTAATTAGTCAAGAAATACATTTAAGTGATGACAAATTTTACTAATTGAAGTAATTTCCAAAGAGTTATTACGATGTTGCTTAGCCAAAAGGATACTGAAAAATATAGTTCAATTTGTAATTGCAATTAGGTAAAAACAAATTTTAAATATGTTTTTATTTTTTTATAGGATTTCTTAGCGGATTGCAGTGGCAATTGATGTTTATCACCATAAAATGGTATGTATACAAAATTATTTTTTAAATTTTAAACGTTAAAATGATGATTGTTCTCTTATCAAATGAAACAATATTTGACCTTATAAGAACGGCCAACTGACGAATTGTTTACTATTATAACATGACTTGTTTTTGTTTTTACTTTTATTAATTATTTATTTTCATTATTTGCAGATTCTTTCAGACAATGATTCAAACTAATTTGGGAACATCCTTTGTAATTCATTATTTCAAAGGTAATTATCAATTATGACGTTCTATAACTATTAATATCTTTTTTTATGATGATTGTTCTATTTTCAAATCATCCATATTTGACCATTATAAGAACGGCCAACTGACGTTAAAAAAAACGAATATTTTATTTATTTCGATATCATACTTCATTTATTAAAAGATTCTTTATTTTCAGACATATCTGATGTTCTTCAATCATTAGCGAATTACTAAATTTTCATTCAATGGTACGTACATATTTTATTGATAAATATATTACATGACCCCACAATTTTAAGCCGGCTGGAACCATTTACAATGTGGTATTCGGTGGTAATTAGTGGGAAAATTATTATCTATCCATGTGTAAAGTTACTTTTTATTTCATAGAAAATAACTTAAGGAATCTTAGAAACATTCAACACCAAAATAATTATTTTGAATAGTTTTTTTAAACATTTTATATAATTTCTTTGTCTTTTTTGTACAGATTTGGATTCACTTTCAAGATGCATTACTAGAGCTTTATCAACAAAATGAGGTAATTATAATTTTACAAATTATATTGTAAAATAATATCCCTTCCAGCACATTTGAGTCACTTTACAGCCGATGTTTGGGTGGTTTCTTTGTAACTGTTCGGCATTAGTGATGACATCGTGGCAGTGCGTCAATGGAAGGAGAGCAAACTTGCAGATTCATATTTAAACGATGCTACAGGACCTCTATCTTTATGTCTAATTGGAGCAAGCTACGATATGAATCCTACATTCTTTTTACATTAACTTAAAAAAATAATTTAAATTTAATATAACATAAAATAATTATTTATTTATCTTTTAAAGGTTCCTTGGTTTCTCTTCATTAGCCAGTCATGAACATTTTACCAAAAAATGTAAGTTTTTTTATTATTTATTCATTTAAGTTATTCTCAAATGATGACTAGTTATACCGCCCCAGGCTGAATGTCTATGACTGATTGGTTATATTTATCTGATTAATTTCAACATCAAAAAACATTAATTTACTACCAAAATCTTCATGTACTAATTAGTTTATCATTATTTTCAGGTTCCTACTATATTACCATCAATTTCCAGAGTATTTTACGTACAGATCATCAGAAATCTGACCAAGGTAATAACATAATTTTAATTAACAATTAATCAGTTTTTTTTTAATGATGACTAGTTATACCGCCCCAGGCTGAATGTCTATGACTGATTGGTTATATTTATCTGATTAATTTCAACATCAAAAAACCTTAATTTGCTACGAAAATCTTCATGTACTAATTCGTTTATCATTATTTTCAGGTTTCTACCATATTACAATCAATTTCCAGAGTATTTTACGAACATATCTTCAGAAGTCTGAGCAAGGTAATATAAAATTGTATTTAAAAATTTATCAGTTTTTTTAATGATGACTAGTTATACCGCCCCAGGCTGAATGTCTATGACTGATTGGTTATATTTTCTGATTATTTCCCATCATAACAAAATCTTTATCTACCAAAATCTTCATTTACTAATTAGTTTTATCATTATTTTCAGGTTCCTACTATCTTACCATCAATTTCCAGAGTATTTTACGTACAGATCATCAGAAATCTGACCAAGGTAATAACATAATTTTAATTAACAATTGATCAGTTTTCTTTTAATGATGACTAGTTATACCGCCCCAGGCTGAATGTCTATGACTGATTGGTTATATTTTTCTGATTATTTCCCATCATAACAAAATCTTTATTTTCTATCAAAATTTTCAATTATTAATTAGTTTATTTTTCCTTTCAGATTTCTACTACATTACAATCAATTTCCCATATTTTACGAGCAGATCTTTAGTAGTCTTAGCAAGGTAATAACATAATTTTCATTAATAATTGATCAGTTATTTTTTAATGATGACTAGTTATACCGCCCCAGGCTGAATGTCTATGACTGATTGGTTATTTTTATCTGATAATATACAATCAAAAAAATCTTTATTTTCTACCAAAAACTTCATTTAATAATTAGTTTCTTATTATTTACAGATTACAATAAAGTTCCTGGAAAATTTTAGTTTAATCATCTCTTAGGAAAAAGGTAATTCATTTTTTTAATTTAAAATTATTTGTTTTCTTTAATGATGACTTAATATACCGCCCCAGGCTGAATAGCTATGACTGATTGGTTACTTTTTTTTGCTGATTTACTTCATTATAATTAAATATTTATAATTGTTTAAGTATATCTGTATTAAGTTTTTTTTTATTATTTTCAGATCATCTAATACTTTTCACTCAATATTGACGATTACATCAGATTCTTCAGCAATTTAGGTACGTTATTTTATTCCAAGTTATTAATTACGTTTTTCATTATAATGATGACTTAATATACCGCCCCAGGCTGAATAGCTATGACTGATTGGTTTTTATTCCTGATTAAAAAAATGTTCGAAATATATAATAATTCTATTTATCATTCAAATTCCACTATTAATCATTTCTATTTTTTTGTTATAGATAAATCAATACTTCAAACAAACTGTAGTCAATGGAACTTAATTAACTCAAGGTATTTAAATTAGGTTGAAAATTTATTCAAATAATATTCCCAACTATTTTGAATTTTTGTACACCTTTCACTATTGTATCTTTCAAAAATGATGACTAATTATACCGCCCCAGGCTGAAGTCTATGACTGATTGGTTATGTTACTGATTATCTCCTTAAACAATTCATACTATTATATAATATATATTATATATTTATTAATTTTTACTTTGTTTAATTGCAGAAACAAAAATGCAAAATTTCATATGGACCCAACAAAATATTTCTGAAAAAGTAAAGGTAAATATCTTTTTATACTTATTTTTTTTTAATATATGAAAATGATGACTGTTATACCGCCCCAGTCTGATTTTTCTATGACTGATTGGTTTATATTTACTGATTTTATATAAACAATAAAATCTTTTATCCCAGTGGAATTACAATAAATATTTATATTTTTTTCATTTTTTACAGATTTCATTCAATATCCATCGCATAACAGAAGTGATTTATCTACACGTCCACTTAAGGTAAATAATCTTAGTTTGTAATATACATTTGTTATTTTTAGTAAGAATTATAAAATTGAATATGATGATACAAATTGATTCATGAATATTCTATGAATGATCAAAATATCAAGCTCAACAGGACTGAAACCATTCTAAAATTCTATTTTAATTTTACTTATCAATTTGATCTTGTATATTAAAAATGTATTTTCTTGTTACAGATGTGCCAAATCTATTAACCGAATCAGAATATTATCATAAAAAGGTACGTTTTTATCTTTAACAAATAATAATTTTGAAATGCAAATTTTAAATGATGATACAATTTGATACATGATAATCTATGAATGATCAAAATATCAAGCTCAACAGGACTGAAGTACTTTAATTATAAATTATTCTTAATTATCAAATTGAGCATTTAGTATTTTTTTTTTTTATTTTACAGATTTCTGTGAACTCTTGTTATTGTGGATTTTAAATAATATAATGTTAATGGTAAGCTTTTAACTTCATTATTTATAATTAAAGTAACGTAAAAATATTATATTTTTTTGTTAAATGATGATACAACTTTTTGACATGAATTGCTATGAGTGATCAATAATCAAGCTCAACAGGACTGACTTTATAAATGTCATAATATATAACATTTATTCCTTAAAACAACAATTATTTATATAATATTATTTTGCAGGTGATAGTGTAGTGTGGTTTCCTTGATTCAATTGGATGAAGAAGTTGAAATTTGTAAGTTATAAAAAAATAATAATAAATTTTCAATGTTCTTATAATGATGATTGTTCTCAAGTCAGTACTTTTCTGATGACAATTAAGAACGGCCAACTGAATTAAGATTATTCAAATATTTATTTTTAAATACATTTTAATTTTGTACTAATATTCTATTGTTTCTTGCAGATTCTGTAAAATAACCATTGGTAAGTATTTTTTTTAGTATTCGAAAATTAAATACAGTATTTTGAGTATATATTTATATTATTTTTATATACACCAAAAATACTATTATTTAATGTTTCATTATCAACATATTCTTTATAATCTTAGGGTAAATAAAATAAATACACGTTTTTAACTTTATAGAGCTTATATTTTATTTACAACTCAACTCCTTTGAAAGAAATCCCATCCATAAAATGTCACTCCTTACATTAAGTAGACTTGAATAATATAAAAAAAAAATAAACGTAAATACACAATTATCCTTATGTGGTACTGTTTTTATAAAGGTTGGCTAAAACTTTAGCGGCCGATAAGATGATTTCCCTCCTCGATACTCCTGTTAACGCCTGGTGCCATTCAGAATGGCTGACCTATAGGAAAATAACGTTCTTTGAAAAACATCTGAAATGGTTAAGCATTCAACAACTTACATGTAGATTGCTTCCCATTAAGCTACCTACAGTCACAGCTAACCCGGACCATGCCAAGGGATAATCAGATTTAGTATCTTCCTGCGCTAAATTAACAATCTCTGTTGGGACTGGTGTCATTTGTGTGAACGTTTGCAAATTGATCTCTTTAATTGGGTCATTCAAAATTATCACGCCCAAGTCATACCACCTAAAAACAAATTAATAAAATTGATTGTGTTTGCCTATTATATTATAATGTTGCTTACTTGTCTTCACCAACCTCCAAAAGGAAATTCTCTATGGCAACAACTGGAATTGGGTTTGGCAATTTAGGATTTGTGAGAACAGCTTGGATTCTTTCCTCCGCTGCTTTAACACCAGCAGCAAATCCAACTGGTTGTGCAGCAATGTTTACAGCTTTGGCCTCAATTCCTCTTCAATAATATAAATAATTATCATGAACATCTTTGAAACATTTGCAAACTTACTCAACTCTGGCTTTCCCAAATACTGACTGGAATGCTTCCCTAATTGCACTCACTTTCATCTCTTGCTTGGAAGCAACAAGTATTTCCACATCTCCACCAGTGTCTGATCAGGATAGTGTTATATTAAGATAAATAGTTTATTGTAGCTACTTACAAATGAACTCTTTCATCTGTGGGTCAAGAGTTGTTATCATGGAATCCACAGAGCTCTTGGCCTTCTCAGCAACTTTTGAAAGTATGCCTCCACTGGAAACAGCACCTTTCATCCAATCTATGAAGCCTGTATTCTCCTGTGCTGGTTCAATTGGCAAAGCCTCTGGGATCTGCACACCATGCTTGATACCTTTACTAGGTGGTATTGCAGCACTAAATTGCAAATAATTAATTTCAATTAGCTTAATAACAATATAATACCTGAACTGTGTTGGAACAAACACTTCTGCTGCTGGTTGTGGTGCAGGTAATGGAGTTGTGATTGGTACTTGTGTTATAAAGTTTGGCAAAGCTGAAGGAGGCTGTACATTTGATAAGAGATTGCCAGTGACAAGATCACTTGGAGCTGATGATGGCACAGATGAAGCAGTTGATGGTATAGAGGCTATAAGATCTGGAAACTGCTGTTAAAACCACTGACATTCAACTATTTCAATTTAGTCCTATTTACCAGTAACCGACATCCCTTCGATAATTTCAAAGGTATCTCCGTTAGAATTTTCCTGAAGCATCTTTTTGGCTAAAATATGTTATTCTTATTAGAATCTGTTACTGTTTTGATTACACCGTGGATTTTGTTGACAGTTGTCTTTTGCATTGATGTCAAATGTACGTAAATGACTCAACTTCTTATAACCATATGCGCAGAAAGATTTATGTGTGCAAAGCAAATTTTACAAATTAAAACAATCTGTAATTAATATAAATATAATATCGAAAAAATATAACAAATTTAAATATATATACAAATATATAGATAATTTGGCAACAGCCAACAGTTTATTTGAACTTAAATACAATTGTATGTATGACTCTAATTGTAAATATTGAGTAATTTTATTATTTACTTGAAGATCTACGACTGCAATTAAGTAAATTCGTATGTTTTCGTGACGTTTTCTGACATTAAGAGGGCAGCACCGATGCCCGGGCTGTCACTGTCACATACGTCAACCCTTTTGCCATATCAATCCAGTTGAATTGTTGTCTTGTTATTAAGAGAATATGGCTGATTCCGTAGAACCTCCCCCTTTATTTGAAAATGTTGATATGAAAAGAGAAGAAGCTGAAGACGATGACCTGTTTGAGTCCGCAGTACAAGTAAGTGATGATAATTTAATTAAGTTGCTTTTGGGGTACAACTGTACTGAGAATTTTATTTACTACTCAATTGGAAATCACTTTGCAGCAATTTACCCAATTAGCGTTTTCTATAGATGCATCTCTTCATGCATCTAGTAATTCTTCATTCCAAGTTAATTTTATACCAAACAAATACAAGTCTTTGTGAGAGGTTTGATTCATATGTGTTTGTTTATAACATTCATTGGGTGTGTATTTATTGAAATCAAATTCATGATAAAAGCAATCTGTAGAGTACTGTGGAATTGGAATTCCACTATAGGTCATCATCAATTTTGATTCAGATAATGCAATACTTAATATTACCATGGAAATATAAATTACTTTAATCAGTGATATTATTTAATTGTCTGGGTAACATATTAATTTCTATTATGAAATTAATATTATCTATGTTCTACTTTACTGTAACTAAAAAAAATAGCTTTATACATAATTAACTTTGAAAAATGGAAATTATTCAGTGGAAAATGAGGCCTAGGAGTTATGCTCATTGGACCATAATGTGTATTAAATGTTGGAGTTTTAAGTTTAATTTTCTTTAAAATTTGTGTTGTTAATTATGGATATAATAGATTCTTTAAGAACATAATATTTATAAAAATAAAACTGATTTTGATTTTAGATTCTGAGTATATAAATGTTTTTAAATTTAATAAAAAAAAACGTTTACTAATCGTTTCCATTTTAATATTTATTTTTATCATATGAATCCTTTTTATTCTGTTATTGTGTTGTTTGCTTGGAAGTCATCCAAAGCTGAAAAAGTATTTAATTCAAGTAAATAAACTTTGTTCAATAGTCGCAGCCATCAGCAAACTTGTGTCTAGAGGAGGACGGTCACGATCTATTGAATGGTGATTCCGATATTGGCGAAGAGATCGACAAACTCATGCTGAACGACAAATCCGAAATGGAGAATGTACCAATCAACAATCAAAGCACCATCGCTACACCAACGATGGAAGAGGTAGGATATTCTTGCGCTTAAATGTACATAGATTTTGTATAAGTTTATGTGCTCTTAGGTGGAGGCTGAGGGCGGTGATCAGTTCATCGAGATAACTATAACCGAACCTCAGAAGGTCGGCGATGGCATGGGTGCTTACATGGCGTACAGGGTGCTCACGCACACGAACATGCCATTCTTTAAGAAGAGAGAATTCGCCGTCATGAGACGTTTCAGCGATTTTTTGGGGTTGCACGACAAGTTAACCGAAAAGTACCTCAAGGTCGGCCGCATCATTCCTCCGGCACCCGAGAAGAACGTAATCGGAAAGGCTAAAATTAAGATGGCCCAATCCGAGCAGGCCGGAAACGGAAGCGATTTTATCGAGAGGCGGCGCGCCGCCCTCGAACGATACCTCCGCAGAACATCCCAGCATCCCGTCCTCATTGTGGATCCTGATTTTAGAGAATTTCTCGAATGCGACATAGAATTGCCGAAGGCGACTAACACTTCCGCTCTCAGCGGTGCCGGTGTTATGCGTTTCATCAACAAAGTCGGCGAAACTGTTAACAAGATTACTTACAAGATGGAGGAAACCGACCCGGTACGCGAAAATTGACCATAGATTAGATCATGCCGACTTTATATTTTGTTTTATATAATTTTGCAGTGGTTTGAGAACAAATTGGTGCATGTCGAAGGCTTGGAGAATCAATTACGAAAATTGCATTACAACGTAGAAGCCATGGTCTCATACCGTAAGGAATTGGCAAATTTGACCAACGGCGTTTCCCGTTCCGCAGCTATGTTGAGTGTATGCGAGGATCATAATTTATTGTCCAGGGCTTTGTCTCAATTAGCAGATACTGAGGAAAAGGTAAATCAGATAAATACATACTATATCTTCTGTTATTTATATATCAGAATCATAATATTTATTAAATTTAAATAACTTGTGTTTCATACATCATAATCTTTCCCTACATTTAAATTGTATAGTAAAAGCAATATGAATTCAATGTTTTAGGTTGAAGCTGTTCATATGGAGCAGGCTAATACGGACTTCTACATCTTGTGCGAAATGCTGAAAGATTACTTAGGTCTATTAGGATCGGTGCGGGACGCCTTCCATGAACGCACTAAAATGTTCCAGCTGTGGCAGCATTCGCAGCAAATGTTGACCAAAAAGCGCGAAGCCAAAGCAAAGCTAGAATTGCAGGGACGCACGGACAAGGTGGATCAAGCCGGCGTGGAAGTGATCGAATGGGAGGCGAAGGTCGAACGGAGTCAGGAGAGTTTCGATCGCATTTCGAAAATGATAAAATTAGAGATGGATCGTTTCGAGAAATGCCGCATTCAGGACTTCAAAGTTACATTCATTAAGTATTTGGAAAACCACATGGAGCATCAAGCTCAGGTAATGTGAAAACACAACATTTTTATGCAATCGATGCGTCATGCAGGTTCTTTTCAGCTGGTAAAATATTGGGACGATTTTCTGCCTGAAGCAAAAGCTATTGCTTGACTAGAAGATTTAAGCCGTGAATAGCACGGACAACATTCCAATTTTAGGTTCCCGGAGTTTTAAAGCAATGAATTTTTTAAAGAAATTCTTCTTTTTTTTTAGTACTTTTTAAGAGAATAATCAAGTTTTCCGTGCAATCATCGACAATATTTTCATGTTATTCATTATTTTTTCACAGGGAATCTATCTTTTATCTATTATACTTCCCACTATTCTCTTAACGATTTATCTCCTTTCCAAATGATTAGCTCATGTGTATAAAGTTAAGAAGAAATCTATTATATATTATATGAAGTATATTTTTCAATGTGGAAATTGTTGTAATTCTGTGTTGCGAATGCTGTTTTTTCTTCTTTATTTGGATGGAACCAATAGTTATGATTTCCAAGTTAGTTTATGTTATTGGCTTCTTAGAATTTTGCACACACAAAACTGGAAATGTGATATGCAGCCGTAGGCAACCCTTTTTCGTTTTCCTCGATATACTCTCTCTATATATCTCTTTTTAAACTTAAGTAAATAAATATATATTAATAAGTGTTCTTTGGAAAATCAAGCATGTTTTGAAAAATGATCCACTTCACGTAGTTACATATCCTTCAGAAATTCTTTCTTAGATATCATTATCGTGTGAAGTAAATAATTGTTTTATATATATATGTGAAATGTATATAATCTAGAGAAAACGATTTATTATGTATGGTATACGTATTATCAGTGTAGATAATATCGATATAATTAGCTTATTATTAGAGGCATATACTATGATTATTGTGTATTGTAATGCTTGTAATTTGAATAAACAGAAAAAAATAAATTTCAGTGTTATTGACATTTTCAAAAATTATTTATACCAGACATCTAAAATAAATGATAATCACTTAAACTTATATAGTTAAAGGATTTGTCATATCAATTGTTTATTGTATTTTGGCGATTATGGTAATTGATTATGGCAAATTAATTAAATAATATAAAAACATGATACAGATAAATATTATGGTGTTAGGCAGTAATCACGTATGGTTTATGGAAAAGAAGTTCTCTCCTTTCGAAATAATATCGAAAAAAATCCCTTTGACTTTTCATATTTATTATTGTATTAAGTTTTTTTTTTGTATTTTAATATATTTATTAGTCAAACATTATGATTATAAGGAACTTAATATATATTGAACAATTTTATATAAAAAGAAAAATGATTATGGCTCATAATACATTGTGATAAACATTGTGTAAAAAATCTTAATGAGTTTATGTTTATTTAGTTGCCTACAACACATAAATAATGTTTAAAAATTAGAAGAAAGATTTTATTAAATATATATTTCTTAATAAGGACAGCCTTGGTAATTTTTAATCTTATATCATTTTTTTCTTGTTAAAGAAACATAGTTTTTTAAATATTTTGTTTCAAAATGGCGCTTGGCCGGTGGCAGTGGCTGTTTTAGATATTTTGTAAGGTTATAGAATTATAGACAAAAACGATTTTCGTTAATTGTTATGGCAGATAGAAACATCGATCAAAGAATTCGCAAGCCCAGAAGAGCCAAAGGTACACCATTCTTTTATCAACGGAATTATTATGCTATAGGTGTTCTAGCTCTTGGAGGACTTTCCTGGTACCTATATGAGTAAGTATACACAATATATCTAACAGTGATGGAAGTAACTCACATTAATATTTTAGACTGTGGCCTCAAGCACAAAAACTCAAACACAGTATTCGAGAAGGGAAATTTAAATACCCAGCAGCAATAGAGCAACATATTCTGTCAATGAGACTTAGCCATGGAGATCCAGCTATGCAGAGTGTGTTGAAAACAATGTATGAGAGGAAGCTTGAAAAGAATACACTTGTACAGCAAGATGAGCAAAAGCCAAAGGAGCAACCGTGGTACAGCAAAATTCTCTCACCTTCAACTGAAAAATAATGGGGAAACAGGAAACATAAATGTTAGGTAATGACTAGTCTTGTTTAGCAATATTTTAAGAAATAAAGAGTTTTATGTGAAATTAATATTATTTTATTATTGAAAGCCCATGCCAAGGAATCTCTAAGTATTTCACAAGAGCATCTTCATCACAACAGAAGCCCCCAGAATTCAATTCACCATTTCTCAATAAGACCAAAGAAATTGTTCCAAATTTAAAAAGCGATGATGATGATGACTTTAAACCTGTCAAACCTATAAAGATTGCTAGGATCTTTACAAACCCTAAAACAGGTTCAAATGTAACCAGAAAAAAATACACTAAAAAAGTGAAAACAAAGAAAGGAGACAATTTGATACAAAAAACATTGAGCGACAATTTCGGACAAGACGACGTGAATCCAGAACATCTTCAAATTGCCTTGGCTCTTTCCAAATCGGTCCAGGATCAAGCCTGTTCTCAAGAAAACAGCAGAGATGTTCCAATATATCCGTCGACGCAAGTAATTAAAGAAAATGCAAGAGATACGCTTGCACAATTTGCTTTTAAATCGAGTAAAAGTGAGGATATTATTTGGCCCTTGAAATCTTACACTGAGGTAATAACATTTTAGAATTCAATTGTGAGTAAAATTAATTTGTTGCTTTTAGGTGAGTCGAAAGAAAAAGAAATCTAAGTTCAGTTGCGTAACACCAATATTGTTACTTCGCACTAACGAAGAGCGAGATGCTTTGATTAGCTCTAAAGTTTCATCGATTTTAGCCAATAATATCTTAAATACGCCTCCAGATGATTGTCTTAATGAGCCATTAAATGTTTACAGCAATATCTTGCAAAAATATCATTGCAGGCAATCAAAACTCTTTCAAATGACCAACTTAAGTAAATGTGATAGAAACGACTTATTTTATGTTGAAAAGTTGAATTTTGAACGTGATATAACAAAGTGTGGAGATCGTTTAAAAAAATGGGAAGAAATACCAGGAAGAGCATTGAGTCCACCCAGAATAATCAAAAAGCCTGTTCTAAGTATTGATACAACAATTGTGGACAATATAAACAAAACATTGTCAACGATGCAAAGTATGGTGGATTACTGTATTAATGATGTGCCTACAGAAACTATTGCCGATATAAGTATTTATATAAATGAAGACAATGCTACATCAATTCCTGATTTCACGGCAATTTCACCAAAAAAGAATATTGAAATTGAAAGAAAATCTATTTCACCAAAAGTAATTGGTAACGATGAAATAGAAAAAAACAATGTGAAAGAGAGGAAGACTTTTAATAGAAGTCCCTCGCCAGATTTATTTGATTCGGATGAAGCCAATCAATCACCTGTAATTCAAAAATTTAAGAGGATTGTTCCAACTGACTTAGATGTCTCCGAAGAATTAAAATCCGATGACGATGATTGCGATATATTGGATAATGGTGTCTGTTATTTTGAAAGCTTTTGTGAAGACGAAGTACTGATCTCACAGAAATGCATGGATACGTTTACCACTGATGACAAGAAATCTCCAATTATTGATGATGGTGGTGGTAAATTACAAAATACTTCTATTGTTACATTTGATTTGACTCAAGAAGAGACTATTTTATTAAAACATAATTCCAATGAATTGGAAGTTAAAACACGTCAATCTTTGAGTATAGAAAATACGTCTTTATTTCAAGAAGAAACTTTTTTATTGGAATCTAATTCGAATCAAGTAGACAAAAAACAGTATCAATATTTACAAAAGCGGGACTTGTCTGAAGACAAAGAGGAAACAATAGTATTGGATCATTGTTACATTCAAAACGATTCTATAGATAAGTTAGATTTAACAGAAGAGGTATTAAAAAGCAATACGAGTCTATCAGAGACTAAAACCTTGAAAACTGAAGACTATGACTTCACAGAAGAAAAAACCGTCTCTGTGTCAAGTTATAAAGAAGATAAAAGTAATATATCTAAAATTTGTGGATTAGCAAATCAATTTAAATTGGAAAGAAACAGTTCAATGAATGAAATGAATACGATAATTGTAGATAAACAAAACGAGAGTATAAATATGACACAAACTTTAAACAATGAACATGGATTTAAATACTTGGAAAGTAAATATGAAATAAATAATTCTATTAAGAATTATAATTTTATGGCTCTTGAAGAAGATTTCTTAAATTGCAATTCTACAATAGATTCTGAAAATGAGGAACACTGTATTAAATCTCATGATGATAATTTCTTAAAAACAAATGAAATCAATGATTTTGCTAAAAACTCGAAACATTCTGAATGCACAGAAATTGAAGATGATTCTGATAAAATGAAGCAAACAGATCACATAAATTCAAGTAAAGATGATTCTTTGAATTTGACACATTTAATAAATTATTTGCGTCATGATAAAAAAGCAGACGTTATTGATTTATGCCACGATTCCAATGACAGTGATTCGCCCGAACATCTTTCAAATGAAATTGCCACATTTAAAAGTAAGCTCTATGAGGCTCAATCAAAATCTACGTTCAAAATTTCTGAAGATGAGGAAGAGTTATGCAATGAGGTAGAGGAAGAAAATGAATTGTTGAATAACCAAAAACTTGATGTGAAAGAAATGTCGACTGAAGAATTAATCAAATCGGTGGATGATGCAATAAATAAATTTAAGAGAAAATCCATTAATGCTAATGATTCGAATGAGAGTCAGGAAAGTTGCACAATTAGCGACGAGGAGTTAAATTATTCGAGTTACTTTCATACACCAAACAAGTTAAAAACGAAATATAATCAATTAGAGTTTGATGATGACAATGACATTATAGAAATTGATGATAGTGATGACGATGGGGTTGCAGATGATTTATATACGCGTGACACGCCCATAAGTTATAATGACTTCGCAACGACCTCGAGTAGTAAAACCACGCCCACCAAAGAAAATATTTCGAAAGTAAATGTAAAGGATATTGATACAGAATACTTGATATGCGATGACAATGCTGGTACAAATTTGGATAATAATAGTTTGTTAAAAAAAGTAATTCATCCGCGAGTTAGGGATTTGAGCGCGAGGAAATCATATGGCTTCAATGATACATTTGGCAATTTATTAGAACAATCCAAATTTATTAAGCAAATAGAAAATCGACTGGATCCAGTAAACGAGAAGACGCCTGTTAAGGAAAAACCAATAGAGGTGCAAACCACACCCGACAATGGAATGATTATTAAGACTACAGATATCACCCCTATGCCCGATTATGAATCGATGGGATCACCGGAAATTATCCAAGAATTGAATAAGTTTGGCGTGAAAAAACTTAAAAGGCAGCGTGGCATTTCCATGTTGAAGTATTTATATGAATCCACGCATCCTTCATCTTATGTGCCCGAACGAGATCCAATCGAAGAACAGAGGAGTGCGAAACGAAGAAGAAAACTTATTGTTGAGGATGAATTCAAATCAAGAGAACCTAAATCAGTTGAAATTATAGCGGATGTTAATGCTGGGTATGTATATAGAAATAAGTTTTTTTTGGCGAAATCTGCTGTTTGATTTTATATCTAATGATTTTATTCTTAATTTAGAGAGACTAGGGAGGACATGATTTTTGAAAAGAAGATATCAAAGAAGATAGCTTCATGCCAAGTCCCTATGCACATTGCTTTTCATAATTTGGTTACAAGTGATCCAAATTTACAAGAAAATATTTTATTTTATGAGCCTTTGCAGGTTGAAGTCTTATATGACATGCTTAAAGAACAAGGGTACAAGTATCATTTGCAGGTTAGATATAATTAAATATGAGATATATTTATTTAATAATTTTTGTGTTTTACAGGATTTGATAACATTTCTAGATAGAAAGTGCATAACTTTTCGCTTGAATCAGGCAAATAAATAATATTTTTTATAATATACATAATAAATAATTTCTGTTAAGTATTTTAAAATAATTGTATATAACATTTTATAGTAGAAAATAAATCAGTATGTTATTATCTATTTATTTCTGCTTTAACTCTACATGTGTTTGCACAAAATCTTAAGCATCCAATATAACATTAAAATATCCAATTTGACTACTCCATCCCAAAATTCCCAAGTATTGTTAGGGCATTTATTCAGCAGTTTTGTCTTTGTTCTTCTGCTTAATTCTGTAATCAGAGAGAGCTGCTTTTATGGCATCCTCAGCAAGCATTGAACAATGCAACTTGACTGGTGGGAGTGATAACTCCTTAGCAATGTCAGTATTCTTCAACTTGAGAGCCTGATCAACAGTTTTGCCCTTGACCCATTCTGTTGCCAAGGAGCTACTTGCAATGGCTGAACCACATCCAAATGTCTTGAACTTGGCATCAATAATTTTACCATTGTCATCCACTTTGATCTGCAATTTCATCACATCCCCACAAGCTGGGGCCCCAACCAATCCAGTGCCAACATTGTCATCCTTCTTGTCCAAAGAACCAACATTTCTTGGGTTCTCATAGTGATCAATAACATTGGGATGGTAACTTGCTGTTAAAAGCTTGATAGGACTCGCGGACCTTAATAATTTGCTTGTGGCGTTCAACGCCATCGTTACTGATAGATTTATACCTTCTACAAACGTAAAATCAAATTAAAATTTGTTTGTATTTCCCGACCTCACCTAACCTCAAACTTCAGCTGACTTCAAGTGCGCACTTTAAAGTATTGTGCAATGCTTGGAAATAGATAGATAGTTCAGCTGCAATTGTCCAATTGATTAAAAGTCGAATATTTGAACTAATTTATTTTATCAAAATTGGTAAAACCATGCAAAATACATTTTTATTGGCAGTTTATATATTATAAAAACAATTAAGTTTGTGAATAATATAAATGTTAATTAGTTCAAGTAGATCATTTGAGATCATTAGTTCAAGCAAGTTGACGTTGATGTGATGTGCTGTCAGTGTATAATCATCAGATTCAAATAAAGCCCAAATAGGAAATAAAGTTATTAAATGTTAGAAAACATAGTGCCAGAAGGACAAACAAATGTTGCTCTTAATATATTTAATACTTGGTCTTCATATAAGTTATGGTATGAACGAAACTATACATGTTGAGGGGACAAAAGCCATCCAGAATGCTCAAAGTATAGTGAATTCAACCAAACAGCAACTAGGGAATATCACAAATTCATTACCTTTGGATAAAAGTGTTGATATCTCATTAAAGTTTCCTCATCCCCCTGACAATGACTTATTACAATCAGGGGCTTTACTAAGAGCATTTTATGTGGTGCTAGGAGTTACTATTATATTGCTTTCATACATTGGCTTCAGAATGTTCAGGTATAATTCTTAAGCTAAGTAGTGATTGTCAAATAAGATTATTTTGTTTTCAGATTGAGAAAAGGCACAAAACCACCAGTGATGGTTAAGAAGTATGGCATTTTAACAAATCGAAGTGATGTGGAAATGGTCCCTCTTCCCTTGAGCGAAGATGAGGATGATGATACCATCTTTGAAATAAACAATGTAAATAATAGATAGTTTATAGGGTAACTATTATAATGTATTTTTTTATAAAATAACTAATGATGGCTGTTTGAGTGCAGTTGGCAACATATTTAACAATTAAATTATTAAATATTTTATATTCGTCATTTTGTGTTTATTTGTTGTTTCTGTTATTTATGACTTTTTGAAGTGGAATCAGTTTCTAAATTTAGGTTTCATGCGCTATTCCATTAAATGCTTAGTTATGATTCATATTTCAATAAACACTAAATACTATTTATAGTTATTCCAATATGAATCATATTGATATTTTCAATAAATGACAAAGGCAGCGACAATATACTAGCGATTTATTTGTAATTGTTAATTACTTAATACGGTAGTTAATTAATGTTTCTTTATTGAATTATTGAGATGTGAGAGGAGACCGGAAATATTGCAAAAAAATATTAGAGATGTGTATGTTGGGTGGCCTAGGATGGGAGGAAATGAAATTGGCGATTGCGTAAAAAAGGCACCGGCATATGCGCAGTGGTGGATGCTCTTAATTTTTTCTATATAACCGTGGATCGGCAAGGACGTGCGGTGCATTGGATGTGTGGTTGTGGCTGGAGGCGCGTGCGCACTTTAAGGAGCCTGTGTGTTGCAAGTGTGTAGTTTTGGTGATCGTGTACTTAGGGTTTTTCCCTAATAAGTGTTTAATTTATTCGTAGAATTTTAAAATAACAATAATTGTAAGTAGACAAGGGTTGATGAAACGTGTAGACGCGCCTTGGCCGTCTATTTCTGTGTAACTTTTTTGCGAATTATATAAAACATTCAGCGAGGCCGGATTTTGCCGGTGTTTCGGGGCGATTTACCGACCATCATGAAAGTGCTACGTGGCCTTGACGATCCAACTGGAATCCCATAAAGTTTCAAATATTTTAATCGTCTATCCCGTCCACCATCCAGACGAAGACAATTTCTGCATCAAATTCACGCCTTTTTCAGCTACTCATCCTTCTATCCTTTCAACGTTCCTAGTTTGCACGAAGAGAGGGATTAATTGGTTGCGTGTCAATGCTCTCTCGCGTTTAATTGAAAATCCAGTCTGATTTTTCAAAATTCCACGTTCATTGTCCCACAGCTCTCTTCAAAGTACAATTCATTAACGCGATCTAATATAGTAAAAGCTAATTACGATAATACAGTTTCTAATTAATTGTCGGTAATTATCAACAAATTCTTTATAATTATAATATAATTTATGTTTCTTTGCAGCACTTAATATAATAATTATTTTTTTATTGTTAAAAATAATTGCATGGTAATTTAAACTGAACTGAAATTCCGAAACGAAATTGCCGCACGTTGTGAAGAAATAAATTGCAGCATTCATACGGGCTTAATCACATTTGAATTGCAGAAGGAAGATTCAATAGAGAGGGAGCACTTCCTTCTTTGCTTCGGCATGGGACAACGTCCTGTGGCCTTGTTTCCACGTTACAGATTCCAGTTTTCTTCTCGCGTTTTTTTTTTCATTTTTTTTTTCAGCAACGTCCGATGAGAATCGCATTTAACAGGCGGAACACGTTTCGTGGCTCTTGTATTATTACGTGTGTTGCGAAAATCCAATTAATTGCTGTTAAGACTATTCGATTGAATGCAGTAGCCGATAGGGAAATCCGGCTGCAGCAATGCAACAGTAAAATTTCCAATTAGATTGCGATGAAATCGGGTCGCGTAGATTCGATTTCGGTCCCTTATTTTCTGGAAATCTAATTAACCCCCCCATGTGTAGTAATCATGAATACGCGTTGAATGTTCCGGAAATACATTAATTTGTAGCACAGCGTAGAACAATTGATGATTTTGAAGTTGTTTTTTTTTCGGTAAAATGCTAATTAGGGAAAGGAACCTTTACTCGGATAGCGGAACGCTTAACGTCAGTCTTAGTATTTGCTGTTCTATCAGCATCGTGGGAATTCCCCTATTTGTCCGTTCTATTATCAATATTTCAATTTATTTCTAAATTTTATTTTAAATTTGTTTACTATAAAGTGAACTTTGCAAGGAAATCAGTAATTCAATACTACTTACACAAATATTGAATCATTATTAATAATGTTAATGCACAATAAATTCCAATGTCTACAAAATCAATGGTTAAACAGTAATCTACATATTACGTGGAACCGAAGGATGTTCAATTGGAAACAATAATCATGAGTCATGACGCATAAAACACATCGCCCAAAAAATTTAAAAGCATTCTTGTGTTAATAAAAACATCTCGAACATTAAAAAAAATATTTATTTTATAATTATTTACATTATCATGCATGTAAATAATTTTTAATAACGTCTTTGCAGCATTTGATTATAAATGCAAATATTTTGAACGGAATTTGCACAAGCAGTTTGCGCCAATTAATTGCCACAATTACGAGCAAACGTCAACGCTACTTTGACGCGTTCATTTATTATATTGCACTGATTAGAGCCGCTTTCTATACGTCTTGACCTACGAAATACTCGATAACTTATTTGTTTATGTTATCTCGATTGCATTTGCTTTGATATAATTTTACTGATTTATATTGATGAATTTCAGTTAACATTTCAGGTTGTAACTGACGACAGTCTTAGTACATTTTTACGAAAGATTACGCTTCGCTGTCTACGAGAACCACCCGACAATCGATTCCTGAGTAACTGGAACGGATCAATTTCAGATCTACAAGTGCTTAAAATATGATTATAGGAATGGCGTTATCAAATGAGCTTTGTTTCTTTATTGTTTTTTTTTGTTATTATAAATATATAAATTATCAGTAATTGTTCGCTGGTTTTTACCGGCTTTTAAATCTCTATAAATAAATACCACGTATTGAATCGAGGAAGCGACAACCGGACCGCTACGAGTTATTTATTTGTTACATAAAAGAGGAGCATGCATCTGAACTGCGTTCGACGGGAATAGATTACTTGCCTTAAAAGCAAATAAATCTTCCGCGGAATAGGAAGTAGGTTAAGCAAAACAATAGAAAACCAAGGAGTAACGGATCGAGTGCGCACACTGAAACATAAATTTGTAGAAAATTTACACTTCAATAATTCCGCTTCCTTGGATACACTTTCAAGATCCGCGAACATGCCTCTTCTTAATCACGTTCTGTAATCTATCCATCTTGCTGCATCTGATATACATAGAATTTGTCTTTTTGTTGCAGATTGAAAATGTTCGATTTGGAATCTATGTGTTTGATCGGAGGCGTCTTCGTTATATCCGCAGGCACTTTGTTTATTATCGATTATTTATTTAAAAATAAGAGTTACGAAGAGGCGGTGGCCGAGCAGAGGCAGCAGAACAGCGCTTTGTACAATTCTCAGCGTCCGAAGCCGAAGGAGAAGAAGCAAAAAAAGAACAATAAAAAGGTGAGTAACTTTTGATGTTTTGATTTGGATTTTACACAATCAAAAAAAACCTTATAAATGATGAATATGTATATTTACTATATCCATTGTATGCAAATCCAAATGCCGTCTTTACACAAAGATGGTGTCTCGAATCAATGGCCCATATGTAGTTCATATGGGTTATTAATTCAAATACAATGATAAAATTCTATTCGTGAAACTCACAGTCGGCACTCACTTAACGTATATTAATATGTACATAATACGTATTGAACTATATAGTACATATATCCGTATGAACGTAAACTAACGTCAATATGTCTAGTCGCTTTTATAGTGAGCATTTATTGTGTATATTTGTTCTGAAGTCAGATTGAAACATGTTTCGTTTTTTGCCTGAAACTCGTTTTAAGGAACAAGAATTAAATTCACGTCTGACTGAAATAACATTTAAATACGTATACATATATAAGTGAGGTCATTAAAAAAATCAATAGCAAATCCATAGGATTGCAGGATGCAAAGTGTACGTTCGTACGAATGAAGAGACGCCCAATGAAATGGGATTTCGTTGTCCAAATTACGTAGTAAATTCGCTTGATGTACGATAATTTATGTACTTATTTTATACGTCCAGTGAGCAATGACAATTATTTTACAAATAAATCGTTATGATGTAAATAGACTTTAAATATTTATGTATTTTTGTAGCGTTTTTTTTTTTGTTTTATTTTGTCCTGCCAACATTTCACAACAGTGACGGCATTATCAACATAGTTATGTTGTCGTGTAACTTGGCATTATTACATATTCCAGTTTGTGTCAGATAATACAAATTTTAAAGTCAATTTCAGGAAATTTGTTTTTTTTTAAGTAGATAATTATCGTTTCAGCGGATAATATTATATTTAATGGAAAGGATTACTGATAATAATCTATAATATAATTAAAGTTATTTATTGGTAGTTGGATTATATATTTTACAATAGATATTTTTTTTAAATCTAATAATAAAAACATTTATTGCTACAATTATCTAATTACGTAAACAAATTACAATAAAAAGGTATCATTGATCGTAGATTTTTCGCCTAAAAATATTATTTTAATAAGCAAACAACAATCTTTGATAATCAATTTTTTTGTATATTGATTCTTCAGGTAAAAGAAAAGAGGTCTTCTAAGGACAAGGAAACTGATAGCGTTGATGATTCGGAGAATCAAACTTCTGATGCTGGTGAGTCTAGCAAGTCTCACCACGTCGAGTTCACCGAGGTCACCGTCATCGAAGATGTAGCCAAGGAGTCATGCAGCGCTAAGGTGAGACTAACTAAATTTTCATCATTACGAAATATTGGATATTATTAACATGGGTACATTTATTCGTTATAAGTTTAATTTAGATGTAAATGACTTTGGGGCAGTTCGTTAACAGTTTTAAAAATATCTGCTTTATCTACTCCAACCATGGCAATCTGCTGCTTTAATTTTAGTTGTCATTTATCAGCGAATGTCTGTTTGTCACATGGCACGCGATTATCACGAACGGACAGAGAGATTTCTAATTTCAAAATGACAAAGGTCAAACCGAGTTCCTGTTAACATCGACGAAAAAAAGTTAACATGTCGTTGGCATTTGCATCCACGAACGTAACACGACGTGTCAACGCGGCGTAACGGAAGATAAGATGTTAGAGCAGTTTTCGATTCTTCTTATTTTATGTGGGGATCTCCGCTTTAAAAGCAAATCGACACGATGGATGATTCTATTTTTTGTTTTAAATTAGACATTCGATTTTCTTTTAATGCAATTTTCTATATAGAGTGTAATTATGTTGTTGTTATTTATTGATGTCTCCAAGTAGTACTAACATTTATTTTGCATGTTCTGCTTTGTCCCTTCTTTGCCCCGTTTGATCACAGAGGAAGCAAAAGAAAGATGTGGTCCGGCCCATACTGGTGAACAGGGACTCGTCCGCTGAAAATATTCAGTGTAACGTAGAACCTGTCTCGCCAGCCAATCACTTCGAGGAGTTGCATCCCAAAGACGAATTCGAGTTGTTGAATTCGCATGTAAGTTGCATGAAAATCATCATCATCATAGCAAACCAACCGGGTTTTTAACAGCCTGCGTTTTACTTTGCATCTAGAATAACTTCTTATAAATGTGTGTCTGTTGTACGTTTTATGTGCGCGTCTGTATTCTTAATGGAAACATTGCGGTTCTTCAATTTAACATCTCTAAATTGTTTACTGCGGGAAAGCAAACAACCTAATATCCCAGGCCAATTTTTATTGCTTTTGCTACACCATACATTTTTTCACGCCGTTATTTTACATTTATTTTTTTAGTTAGACCCGGACATTCCACACTTTGCCTACGCAAGCCTAATTATTCAACACTTGGCTTCTGCGAAACTTGCAATTAACTAATTTACTTATCATAGTGCATAGTTGTGCTTTCTTGGCCAATTTCATGATCATTAGATTTAACTAATCCGTTAATTTAACATTGGCATTTATTTTAATTGTATTTTTCAGTACTTATTAATATTATAGATTTATGTATACATTGGACATTGAATACCCACGTATTTATGATTTTTTTAATCTCTTCATTCGCAAGAACGTACAGTTTGCATTTGATCAGACTGTAATTTTATTTACTTTATCCTAAAACTAATCAGTTTATGTACATATTATCGAAAATACGTTAAGTAAGCCCTAATTATATATATTTTGTTCTTTAATAAATTAGTACAGATTTTATCAAACATAAAATTTCAAATATTAAATTAAATTAATTATTTTCATAAATGATTTTATTTAAACATATTTATTGGCCACAATGTGTGACTATCGACCGAAGTTTTTCAGCCCTTCTAAATAATATTTAGTTGAAAAAAGCATTTTTCATTTGCTAATAAATAATGCGTGCTTAATTTGAGTTTATTATGTAATGTTGTTAGTTTCGAGTTGTTATTATTTGGAAGCGACGCGGCGGGGAATTGCATTATTTTCGAAATAATATTTCCGCAACATTATTTTAATAATAGCAACCAGTAAATCTGCACAGAAAACAAGTACTGTACATTATTTATAGTTCAGGACTATTTATAGCCCACTGGGTAGAACCATTTATTCGTAAAATAAACTACACAAAAGTACCAATTTTTCAGCTCAATGAAATTGTTCAATAATAACATATGTTAAATTATCGGTGATAATGCGGCAACCGTTATCAACTAATTGTTTTCATTCCATTGATGACAATCGTTTTAAATTCGATGTTGATTTATTTATTTTTGATGTGTGTAGAAGGATGATTCTCCGAAAGAGTCTCCAAAGGGCAAGGGGAAGAAGCAGAATATCGAGAACGAGCCCCCTAAGCAACAAAAGTCCGAGATGCAGAAGAACAAAAAGTCTTCCAAGTCTCAGTCTAACGAGGGGAAGAAAACGGTCGATGTAGTGGACAAACCGATTACGCCTGAACCAGTTTTCATATTACCGGTTGAGGTTACTGCATCTGCAACAGTCTCTGCTAATCCTCCTCCTCCAAAAGATAAGAAGAAGAAAAAGAGCGAAATCAGTACACTTCAACAACTAGGTAGGTGTTTGGCAGGCGGTACAACGTAAGATTTGAAGATTTCATACGTTGAATTGTATTTTCAGCTGGCGATAAATCGCAAGAAGTGAATATTTCCATTTTGATGCCTTTGGTGCGTAACGCTGAAATGTCTCGTGATGAAGTTCAAATTCTTATTGATATGTTACTAAACAAGCAGCAGGATGCTCCGGTTGCCGATGAATGGAGCGAAGTAAGTCATCCGCTTTTATATATTCCATCCTGTTTAGAAGATATTCTTGCTATTGTTACTATTATTTTAATCCCGTTTGTAATCTAGTTTAACAGTCTATATGCAGTAATGGTAACTCTACACATTTACAAATTATTTTTATTGTCGTTTGGTGTCATCACAGCGAGAGAGCGTTGATACATTATTATTAGGTATTGCAATTCTGTGATATTTACGTGGTTTGAATTGATTTAGGGTAAAGCCGATCCCATTCAGAAGCTGAAGAGACAGCTAGCTGAAAAGGAAAAGCTCGTCGTTGAATTGGAAGAGTCCCTGACTGGAAGCCAGAACAAGTTGCGCGAAATCCGCGCCGATTTTAACGCCGACAGAGCTATACTTCAACAAAACGTGCGCGACCACTTGGAGAACATCAATAAGTGCAATGCAGAGCGTCAGGCCATCGAGAACAAAAATCAAATTTTGAGTAAGCAATGCAAGCACTTCAGCGACGAACACATCAAGATAATGGATCAGTTCAACAATCTTCAATTGAAACATCAACAGCTGGAAGTGCACCTCGCCCAGAAACAAGAAGTAAGCTATTGCATTACTTACGACTTGTTTAAAACCAATTATCAATTCGTTTCAGACTGAATTAAATCAATTGCAATTGCTTGAGCAAAAGTTGAAGGAGGATCTTGCGGAGAGGGAGCACAAAATTGCCGATTTACTTGTAAGTTTTCTTATTAATAAATGTGTATATTGATATTATTATTATGTATTTCTTTAATTTAGCGCATCAATGAAGAACTAGAGTCGAATCTCCACTTGGAAATGCAGAATAAGGTTAAATCGAGGCAGATTGCGGATGAGGCAATGTGCATGAAGCAACAGCTCGAAGTAATTCATGAGCAGAAAGAGGAGGAGATCAAATCTTACAAGAGCGATATAATGCATTTGAAAAGTGAACAGGTAGCCCTGTCCGAGGTTAACAATCAGCTGAAGAACGAAATCGCAAATCTGCAAACGGAAAGCGCTCAATTCGCCGACCGCATCGATAACGTTGAAAAAGCAAAGGCATCTTTGGTCGAAGAGACATCACAGTGGCACGACGAAAATGCGAAGCTACAAGAGGAGAACGCTGCTCTTTCAAGCGAGAAGGCAACATTGCAGCAGGAGAAGTCTGCCGAGGAGGAGGAGAAATTGAAACTGGCAAAGGAGATGGATGAAATCAAAGGACTGAAACTGAAACTGGAGACTGATATTTCTAAGCTGGTTGAGGAAAACAAGAAACTGCAATCAAACATCGTCGTTTTAATCGAAGATAAGGAAGCATTAGAGGCCAAGTCCACTGGAACTCTTGAAACCAACGAGAAGCAGATGGTTCAGTTGCAAGCTGAACTGACCGACGCGAATTTGAACTTCCAAAAAATGAAAGAGCAGTTGCATAAGCAACTCGAAGAACAGAGGAATAAGAATAATGTAAGTTGTATTGTTTTTATTGGTGATTTCTTTTAATGTGTAATATTTCGGGGACTAACCTTGTGCATGATTTTGCTAATAGGATTTGCGGCAAAAGAATTGGAAAGTGATGGAGGCTTTAAATGCAGCGGAAAGTAGATCTAAAGCGCAGGAAAAGCAGCCAATTATTAACTTGGATGTAAGTGTTACTATTCTTACTGCTATCACATCACTTTCCACCTACTTAACTATACGTTAGTAACACATTTCAATTGGGATTCGCGTATATTTCTGAGTTTTCTTTTCCTAATCTCAGTCTTAATGTTTATTTTCAGCTTATGATCACAAACGCAAGAGCTGAAGAGCAGCAAGCCGGTAAGGACTTTGTTCAAAGGCTGTTCCCCAGCATCCAAGTGCCATCGAGTCTTCCACACGATAAATGGGAAGAGCAAGTCGTGAAATCAGTAGAAGACCAATTGCAAAAGTTGAAAGCGGCTGCCGCCGTCGGCAAAGTAGATCATTCAGCGGATTTGGCTAGAATGACGTCAAAGATATCAGACTACAAGAAAATAATTGATGAAACGGTAAGTTTACAATAATCGTGTGAAAGGAAATTATTTATTTTTATGATATTCCTCATTTAGGAGGGAATGTTGAGCAAGCTGCATAATCACATCGAAACTGAGGAGATTCGTTGGAGGAAGGAATTGAGGAGCAAGGACGAGCAGATCGAGAGGCTTGAAGCTGAGGCTCAGGTAAATTTTGCTCAAGAAATAAATCAATATTTGTTCTTTGAAGTTTGCACGTTAACAGTCCATAAAATAATTTGCAATTCTTTTCAGCTTTCGAAACAGGTAGAATCAGAAATGGATGTCAGTTTAAATAAATCCATTGAAGTGAAAAAAAATGTCTCAACAAAGGTAAGCAGTCTCGCAATATTGTAGTTTGTCAAAACAACAACGTACGTATTGAATTGTTCAAAACAAAAACGCTATTGTTTTAGAGTCAAAACCATAGCAACCCGACAAACGGCCCAACGCCGTCTGCAATCTCTCATGATGTAAGTTACGAGCTTGATTCGACTAAGTACTTATAAACTTTCGATTCACTCGCTTTGTTTTTGGGGCTTTGATCATTCACACTACTTAATTATCAAAATAATTCATTTCTTTAGTATTTTTTTTTTTTGTATCGCACATCGTGAAACAATTATTAATAATATTTACTTTGTACTAAAAATCGCATATGCAAAGTTTGACTAACCATTATTTACATTTCTTATAACCAGCTAACGCTATCAACCGCTTCAAGTGCCACCTCATCCATAACCGAAGAGTCTGTGAAAAAGAATAAAAAGAAAAAGAAAAAGGTACAAGGTTAATGCTCATAATGAACTTACGCAGTTCGTCAGTTGTTTCTCATGTCAATGGAAGAAAAAGCAAAACCAATCGCATTTGAATTGTGTGTAACAAAATTAATTGCTTTAACTTTTATTGATGCCACGTGCTTCTCCTTAAATACGATTGGTTTTCATTGTTCTGTTCTTATCACTGTTCCTTGTAGCGTAGCTTTTGTTTTTATATCGGCATGCTGTCCATTTCGTTTATTATCCACGAAACTGGACATGTATTTAATTATTCTTTTTATAACGTAGAAATAATCTTAATACTCTATAAAATTGTTTCAGAAGATGTATTAATTAAAATTGTTTGTTTCTTTTCAGAACAACGGAAAATAAGGACGCAGTACTTTAAATACTATCTTTTTTCTAAGCCTAAACTTAGTTTATTAATTTATATTATTATTTTTTTACTCAACTCATTACTATTTGCATTCTAATTAAATAACTAAAAAAATATAAGTATATATATATAAAAAAAAACTCAGTGATATCTCATTCCGATTTACTAAAACGAAGATATAGAAATTTAAAAATAATCTTTTACAAATAAAAGCAATTGATTGTTCTCAGATCATGTGTGCAATAAACGAAATCTTTTTTTATGTCAAACAGTTTCGTAAACTAAACAAAAAACTATGTTTAACAATTGATTTTACTACATGTGTAAATAAGAATATTTATAATATAGCAAAGCTTCTGTACTCAAATTTATTATTTTATTCCTTTTATTATGTTTTTCTTTTTTTTTGTGTTTACATCTGTGCTTATATTTATATATCTATACATAAAATAGAATAGGATTTTCTAAAGGAAAAAAAAACTATAAAAAACAAAACAAACTAAGGGATAGGATGAAAATTAAAAGTTGTATTGCATCGAGGATATGAATTATTGAAAGGAGAAAATCGAAAACCATGTAACATGAATAAAAAAATTTATTACGCTAAATTAGCACTGTTTTATCATTCTCTTCCTGGAACTGTTTCCTTTTTAAAACGTACGTTTTTTTTGTATTTATTTTAATCATAAACCCTTATTCTTAGTTGGAATGGATAGCTTAAAAATTCACAATATTTTAATAAAAAAAAAGCTTTGTACAAAGAATCTCTTTTGTTTCCGACTGAAAGAATAACAAAGGAAAGAAAATAATGGTATAAATAGAACAAAACTCAACTCTTTTTGTGATAATTACTTTAGTACATCGTTTCGTATATTTCTTTTGGCTAATTGTTAATTTTATATCACATCGGGGTATAATCCAATTGCACGTACAGTTGCCGAACTCCGGCGGCCGCGAAAATCATCTGGGTGTGAGACACCACGTATTTGGGGTCAACGTTCTTCGATACCTCCAGCTTGATAGCTCCGACATAAACGTCACTGCAGAGAGTCCAGAAGTGTGGATCCTGTACGGAATAGACGCCAGGAAGGCTGACCACTTTTTGGTAACACTGCGGCAGCACATTGTCCAAGGAGTACGGCTGACGCTGCATCAGGATCACTATCGAGTCTTTTATTAAGGCTAGCACGCTGAGCGCTATCAAAACAGCGATGAACATCGAGCAGATCGGATCGGCTCTCATCCAGCCGAACATGTGCATAAGAATGGCTGAGATGATGACGCCCACACTGCCGAGGGTGTCGGCCATGATGTGCAGGAAGACACCTTTCATGATCTGAGAATTGTTTCCGGCCAGCTCGAAGTCCGATTGGTCGTGGCTGTGGCCGTGCGAGTTATGGGAGTGGTTGTGATTACCACCGTGGGAGTGGCCATGACTGCTGCCACCGCCGCCTCCGTGGGAATGGCCGTGCTGGAAGGCGTAGATTCCTACCAGATTCACTAGGAAACCTAGCACCGACACCACAAACAGTCGTTCATGTTTAACCTGTAAAAAAAATATATTTTGTAATCCTCAATGTTGAATGAAATGGTATTATAATATATAACAAAAACTGCAATTGCATTACTTTAATATCTCAGGTTACAGTTGATAACCGCTACCAAGAATGTTATTGATTATCAAGGAGACATAGTAACTGTATTATAGAAAGTTAAGCTAAAGTACTTTCATCAAACTTTCCATTTTTAAAGTCCTCGATTAGTCCGGTTATAAAAAGTGCGGGAGTTTGACAGAACTAATTGTAAATTAGAAGATGGATCGAAATCGCGGCTGGCTCAAAATCCCGACTATATCGAAATCCCGACAGTGTTTTTTATTATTATAAATTTCTACAATAACATTTTCATGGTAGTCGGGATTTCGATATAGTCTGTATTTGATTGTCGGGATTTCAAGCGTCGGACTTTAATTCAGTCGGGATTTCGAACGTCGGGCTTGCGATATATACCCAATTTAGCCTTGTATCAGGAAAAATAAAAGTGCAATAGTGCTGATAATATCATAATAAAAACAAAATTTGCATAATAATTATAGCATTAAAATGTATGTAGTTGTATTAGGCTCCTAATCATAACTGTGCTATTGTCACTAGCTACCATTGAATGTACGTATTCTCGAACGTACGTTGACTATATTCAAATTTCAACAGTGAATGTCAATAATTTTGAAACACGTAAATTGAAAGAAAGATTTTTTTATCATAGCTCCTTGGTTTATGTTGCATATCGAATGGAAATTGATAAAATTTGATCATAGCTAATGCAATATAAATACAGCAACAAGATCAGTGAAAAGGGAATTTATTTCATGAGATGCCCATTTTCATTTCGCAAACAATTGAATAATTAACGTCTTATTTGATGATCGTCATTGATACTTTTGAGTGATCAGATGATTTTCAAAACTAATTTCTTATTTTTTTTATGTAAATGATGAGCAAAGTGGAGAAATAAATCAGTTAAAGAAAACCATGTGTTTACCTCTGGTGGTTCTATTGCCCTTTCCACAGCCTCGGACATGATAAAGAAGGCAATGAACAACAAGAACAGTCCGTTCACAAATCCAGCTATGACTTCGGCCCTCACGTACCCGTAAGAGTACTTATCGTTGGCCTTCCATTTCGTAATAACCGAGGCTGCTAATCCGGCCAACAGTCCTGTGCAATCGAAGAACATATGGAAGGAATCCGAAATTAATCCTGAAAATAAAAATGTAACATAATTAAACGCAAATATAATCAGCAACGCGCACTGACCTTACGCAAATTAACCTAAATAAAGTGATCATATCATATGAAAGCGCCGACTTAGCATAAATCATAAATTTCTTTGTAAATATTTTACGTCTACAATCAAAACGCTTTAATAATGAAATATTGCACAGCTTTTGAACTGATCGCATTGGTAAGGAAATACAAATAACGGCAAACAAGCTTGTTTACATTTCATTTCTCAATACGTCACAAATTAAACTAATTACAAAATCAATTGAATACACCTGTTGCATATGAACAAAAAAAATAGAGATGAAATATCTCCTTTTTTACATTTTCTGAGGTAATTCTTATCTTAATCAAAAAGTATACATCATTATCTAACACAATCTATTTTTTATTATTCAATACCACAGGTTAGCAACTCATTACAAATAGTATTATCAATTATCTGAACATTGGAAATAAACTTTTCATGCTTGATGTTAAGCTTCTTAAAATAGTGAAGACCTTGAAATAGAAACACTTTACAGATCTACCTGGGTTTTCCCTTTCATGCTAATGAAACTTTCAATTATAGCCATGTTTTAATGCAAGTTAATATATAATGTTGGTACATACCTAAGCTGTTTGTCCATACTCCGTATGTTAGTTCAACAAAAGCAAATGTTAAGTTGAGTATCAAAAACAATAAGAGATTTCTGGAATTTTTGTCTGCAAATATGAGTCTAATCCAGTTGTACATCTTCTCTTTGATTCTTGAGCCGAAACCCCTGCTCAGGGTATCCTTGTGAGATAGAGGAAGCATCTTCAACAAACTCTGTGTCTCAAAATTGGTATTTATATGTGTGCAAATAATAAATAATTAATTGGAAAAAATCAGGAAAACAATTAAACGCGAAAATAAAATCAGCACTATTTAATTATGATACCCATATTGAAACACGTAGAGATAATTAGAAAAACAAAACACGAACAGGGTAGTTTCCAAAACAAAAATTTAAAATTTTTGTTGACGTGTTTATAATTTTCGTGTAATTTGCGTTGATTTATTGGTTAGAGTCCTCGAAATTCCTTACAGTAGATGCGAGAACTTCTCGCTAATTACGATTCGATAAGAAAAGAATAATTTAAGTTATAATTTAAGTCACATTCGCGTTTAATATTGTGGTTTAACTAAAAATTTACAGCCGAGGCCGGCTGACAAACGACCGAACTGCCATGTTGTATCTTAAATGGAATGTCAAAAAGATCCAATAGAGTAATGATATCTACTTCCTACTATAAAAATGTTCATTGAATAACAAATAATTAGTATGAAAAAACATTGTTTCATTGATTTTACACAAATTTGTAAATTGCATTCATAACATCTAGTAAATATATATGTCGAAAAGTGATCTGGTGGATTTTCCGTTTAACACTGCTCATAAGTTGGCATTACCGAAACTGACGTCTTCCTGTTTTACTGTTTCCGTTTCTTTCCTTCACAAACCATCATGGTGAGTAAATGTTGAACATGATTTTTCCTATATTTTCAACAAAATATTAGAGTTTTTCAAAGTTTTTTACTATATTTGTGAATAATAATAACGCCGTATCCTAAATACAGTGTTAATTAATAGTTTAAGTGAAGTTAAAAGTTATATTTTTTTATATTATTCTAACCACCAAAGCATGTGGCTTTTTCTGTTGTGATGACAAAACTTCGTCTATACAAACCGTGATAGTACAAACTGATTTAATGAGTCTGATTCGCAAATAATGCAATCACGTTTGATGTAACTAAGCGTAAAACATGTAATAATAATTTTTTTTGATTTATTTTTGTAGCCGCCGAAGAAGGATTCGAAATCCTCTGCGAAGCAGCCACAAAAGACCCAGAAGAAGAAGGAAGGGTCTGGTGGTGGCAAAGCCAAAAAGAAGAAGTGGTCCAAGGGAAAAGTCCGTGACAAGTTGAACAATCAAGTTTTGTTCGATAAGGCCACCTATGAAAAGTTGTACAAGGAAGTGCCATCCTACAAATTGATCACCCCATCTGTAGTCTCTGAACGTCTTAAGGTCAGGGGATCTCTTGCCAGGAGGGCTCTCATTGAATTGCAACAGAAAGGTAAATATCAATGTTCTTGCATTAACATATACTTGTATCAATAGTATTTTGGTGATGATCACTTCTTTATCTAGATTATCTATGATAGTAAAATTACTGATTTAATGAGTCTGATACAATAGAAGGCACCTGTTTGTGTTAACTATGTTCTTGAATATAATTTCTAATTGTTTTTTTTTCTACTTTTACAGGCTTGATTAAGCAAGTGGTACAGCATCGTGCCCAATTGATCTACACCAGGACAACAAAGAGTGAGGATCAAGCTGCTTAGGTTTAAACAATAATGTATTCCTTACATTTAATAAAAAAATGAAAAGTTTATATGTATTTTCTTTGTACTCTTCCTATTATTTATTATTATAACGTCAAACATTAACATTTTATAAGCTTCAAGACATAGCAAGTCCACATTTTAATAATCAAAGCTGATTTTAGTAGTGCATACTTCTGAAATTGCTATTATTCCAGTTGGTTTTGTTAATGTTGGCGAATTTGACCGCAAGTTATTAAAATGTCAAGTAAGTTTCAGTGTAACCAATATTATAATTCGAAAAACACCATAAAATAAGATTGCTACGCCTTTAAAAAAAAGTTGCTTATTTACACCGCGAAATACATGAATTGGTTGTTTTAAAATGAAGGAGAAACAAATTGAGTCATGTCTATCATGCAAAGTGATATCAATTAGTTGTTTCTTGAGTATAGGAGCATATTTATTTTATCATGGCAAAAAACAGCCACAATCTTCCAAATACATCTTTTATAGTTTAGCAACAGGTTAGATCATACAAGTTTTGTATATTATACCATATTTATGCTAATGTTATACCATAGGATCAGCTGCCCTTGGCATGGGAGAAGTATTTAATAAATCTCCATTTCGGGAGAGTCCAAACAAGCATCAGTGATTATAAGTTATAAGAATTAGATATTTTTTTATATAAAATAAATATGTTTACTTTCCCACTTTACCCAAACGAGTATCAGTTTTTGGATTTGCTGTGATTGATTGCACAGCAACAATGCATTCATTGACTTTTGTTTGCAGATCTCTTTGATCTTGTATAAATAATAGACGAAGAACCTTTGCAGCTTCATCCACTTCACGATCCTTTAGTTCAAAGCCTAAACTCATATCCTTATAGGGGTAAGGAGTTCCCTAAAATAATGGTCTTCAATGATGAGGACTACAAAAGATTAGTATTTACTTACAGTGATAATATATTCACTAGGGTTTTCAATTGCTTTAGGATTTAAACGAGTTTGTATTATTTTAGTGCAAGCCTCCAGCATAATTAATGGACTAGGATGTGGAGGAATTTTTAATATGTTTGCCAATTTCTGCACTCCTTCCTGGAATTCCCTTGATGTAACTAAAAATTATGAAATATTTTCTTATGAACTCCCCTAATTAGAGTAAAACTTACAATCAAGTGCATCTAATGGATTGTCTGGAACAACTTTGGGAGCATTTTCAACCTTTTCATTTTCAAATGAATGTTTATCATACACATTCTCTACAAAATTAATACATTATTTGTTAAAATTATGGTTATACTTCATTCACATACTGTTTTTAATGTATTCCAATTTTATAGCATATCCTAAATACCAATCAAGGCAAGCTTCTGGAGGATTCCTTTCCATTGGACATTCCAAATCTTTTGCATATTTGTCATAAAATGTTGACCAATTACTAGCATTAACATTATCCAAGGCTTTCTTGTCTTCATTAGAATAAAACTTTATTCTATTTCTTTCTAACCAAATAATAATCTTACAAAAGTCGTTTTCATCTAAAAGGAATTACTATCACTTTTAGGTTACTTAAATTATATTTTGCCTCATACCATCACAATTAATTGTTCCTTCATATCCAATTGCTGTTAATTTACGCTTAAGTGACATTATAGATTTAAAAGAGCTTTACCTAAAACTTCTTAACTATTCGCAATACTTTGAAATAACTTTATGTCACCATAAATATATCACAGGAGCTATGATAATAGAAGAGATTTGATTCAACCAGATACATACGTGTACAGTTGGTTGCCTTTTCCTTTTTACAATTCTTTAAAACAAAACCAATTAAATTTCTTATTTATTTATAATATTATTATTTGCAACCATCTACTTTTTAAAATTTATTTATATACTATTTGGAATAGTTCAAGTTATTAGTTGGTTTGCATATTTATATTATTGTAGATGGGGTTATTTATAGTACATGTGCCTTAGAAAGGTTAAGTTTTTGTTATTGAGTAGGTTGCAGACCAAGTTCTACTGTGTGTTGAAGTTAATATTGTTGAAAGAAACATGTCGAATAAAGAACCAGGACTTATCTCACTAGAATACAAGGTACTTATTTATATTAAATCATGAAGAAAAATTTAAAAAATAAATTTATGTTTTAGAATGTTCGAGCTGGAAAAGAACTTGATACCACCTGGACCTACAAGAAATTCCAAGAAAACTTTAGAGTCGTGATAGTGCGCTGCGAAAATTATGAAATGGAATTCGATTTGATTGGGATTCATCCATTCCTTGCAAATGCCTTCCGTAGAATTATGATCTCTGATGTACCAACAATGGCAATAGAGAAAGTGCACATTTATAATAACACATCAGTAATGCAGGACGAAATATTGGCACACAGATTGGGATTGGTGCCATTGAAAGCAGACCCAGGATTATTTGAATTTAAAGAAAGCGAAACATCTGAGGCTACTGCTCAAGATACACTGCAATTTGAGCTAAAAATGAAGTGTTCTAAAAATAAAGAAAATAAGGATTCATCCAGGCACGACGACATTTATAAGAATCACCATGGTTTGTATTTGAAGGATTTGTGGTTTGTCTTTTGCATTGATTATTTTTATTTATAGTTTTGTCTAAGCATATTAAGTGGATGCCCATTGGGAATCAGGCAGAGTTACACAAGGAAGAGAATATTAGGCCTATCCATGATGATATATCGCTTTTGAAAATGAGGCCTGGGCATGAGATTGATTTGCAGATGTTTGCTGTTAAAGGCACAGGAAGGGATCATGCGAAATTTTCGCCAGTCGGTAATTATCTAAGTTAATTTGTATATCCAAATTATGGATTTGCGGTTTAACGTGTTCCACTGATAATATATTGGTCACTTTGATTTATTAAATCCATTTTAGCTACTGCGTTTTACCGCCTCTTGCCGGATATCAAATTAACCAGAACAGTGGAAGGCGAACAGGCCGAAAGATTGCAGAAATGTTTTTCGCCAGGTGTGATAGCATTGAGGAAATCTGAAGGGAAATGCGTGGCAGTCGTCAACGATTCTAGATACGATATGTGCAGTAGGAATGTGTTCAAGCACGATGATTTGAAAGACTCAGTTGTGATGGGAAGAATAGAGGATCATTTCATATGTAAGTTATATTGAATAGAGAGATATAGACACAAATTACAGTCATTAATTGTTTCTTGTTTTTTTTAGTTACCATTGAATCAGTGGGCAATTTGAAATCGCACCAAATATTCAAAGAGGCAATAAACATCCTCAAGAAGAAATGTAAGACCTTGCTAGACGAAATCGATATTTCCAACTAAATGTATTTAACAAATCTGATCACTTTTAATCATATAAAAACATAAAATATAAATAATAAAATAAAATCATGTTCAGTTTTCTTTGTTACCATAAAATACATGTTTGTTTTCTGTCTATACAATTAAATAGAATAGATTTTAATTGAAACATAAATAATATAATCTTGTCACTTTCCACAATATAACAAGGCTACACTGATCACCTACACGTTTAAATAAAATATTATTGTTGTTGTTGTTGTTGAAAGTTCTAGAACTAAGTTAGTAAAGTAAAATGTCTATCACATATTTCCATGATCCGCAGAGTAAAATAAATAAATAAAAGAAAGTTAAACCACACTTTGCACGTACGATATTAGATACATATGTAAAACATGTACATACGAAACAATTACCACTCGAAGAGACATATATAAATAATATTGTAGGGTAAATTTAGGTATTCATTGCATTTAAGCATAGTATGATGGAGGTACTGTAAGGTCGCTAAGCACTAGCAGTTCGCTCTCGGTGAATTTCAATTTGTGATATTCCCAGTCCACGTGATGTGTACGTTTAAAATCTCCCAAAGTCTTACGAATAGTCGCCTAAAATGTCATTAAGTATAATTCGTTCAAGGCTGCAAATGATTATGTAACTTACAGGAATTGGCTGCGGATCGCTGAGATGTGCGCCTAGATCTTCGAAAATTCCTGGTATGTAATCCGGGACATCATACGGATGGGCGTTGATGAAACTGCATAAACCTAAAACACCTGCATGTCTAACGCAAATGTTGGAAGCAACACCTTGTCTATGTCTCAGTTTAGTTGCAGCCTTATCTTTGAATATTTCCTGAAATTTCACGAAACATTAATACATGCTTAAAATGTCTTCTTTCATTGAATACAAACCAGCAGAGCACTTTGATCTCTAACGAAATGGCAATGGAGAAGACCACTGACCAATTGGCCTGCCTTCACTCTGACTTCCGGCTGTAGGTCTTGTAGTAACTTTATGGCTACCTCTTGGATATCGTCGATCCATTTTTTATTCATGATGATGTTGGCCATATTATGAAAGACGAAGACCCCAATGAATTCGGCGATCACTGCGCGTGCCGACCAGAAGGGACATACAGACACATCTTTTATACAAGAAATTATATTAGGGATATTCTTGTAGAGAGTCATATTATTGGAGAACGTTGCCAATATACTGTTGCATATCAGCGACAATTCATCATCCACTTCGTTGCTTTGCAGCACACAAGCTATTGGTATCAGCGACACAAACTCCGGTAACGTCGAGTAATTTATTCGGGCGATGGTTCCGATCGCAAATTTACCCACTGAAAATACAATAAATAAATACATGTATTTAATGCGTTTGTAAAATGATACTTACCGACTTTAAACAGGCGAATTTTATCGGTAACTTCTTTTTTGGCAGCATCTGTTTCAGCAGTTTTTGTGTGCTCCAATTTATAAAGCGTATTTGCATAGAGTTCGTTGAGTTTGGGAGTAACAGTTTCGAAGAATTCTGTAATTTTGGGACAATCTCCTGAAGGGAACTGGAAATCTTTTAGGAACGTTGCTACCAGAGATATGTTAATCTTATCCCTGATGTTTTGGAATGGATGGCTTAAGTAGTCTTTTAAATATTCAAAATTTCTGTTTAACAGTTCGGCATTTCTCCACGACTGTTTCGCAAGTGTAACGAATATTATGTACAGTCTGGCAGATGCTATGAATGTAGTCTGCTCGCTCAGTGGGCTGTCCACAAGGAATTCGAGCAACCAATAATACCTATTTGGATCGCGATTTTCCAATCCTGCAGCAAAACACGAGGCCCAATCTACGAAGTTCTCATCGGACAGATTGTTAAAAGCCGTTCTTATTATAGGCAACAATTGCTTCCACATATTTTCGGTTTTTTCGTAATTCCAATGTTTGCAGCCGGACAAGAGACCGGAAATGATTTCAGTTGCGCATCTTTGGCTTTGCTCCTGTTTTTCCTCCGTTAATTTTTGTAAACGTGGTATAAATATTGGTAGCAATTTATCTTCAAACATTTTAAACACATGCTAAAAAAATATACAAATAAAAATACAAACATTGCATTGGAAATTCAATTCAAACTTACTTTAAAGAGAATGAAGCGACTCGAACTAAATTTATCATTGCCTTTCTTTTCCTCCAAAGACCAATATTTGATCAATAAATCCATATTCGCGTCGTTCGTGAAGAATTCATAAATTTCTTTTTGTTGAGCAGTCATTATTTCTGGATGGTCACTTATATTAGGTTGATCATTTGGTGGAGCCGAGACTGTTATAGTTGGAGGCCAACAATAATAGCCAGAATATTGGTCATGGCAGAATCTGGTTTCGTTCCATTGCTCTGTATTCTTCGGTGACGTCTTACTGTTATAGAGCAACCATTCATTATCTGCTCTAATACCAGGCGGTAATTTCGAAGATTTTGGAATTTCGCGCATATATTTCTTTGGGTCGATTTGTATTCTCACAAAATTTGGCTTGTTCTGAATCAAAATAAATACGACCGCCTTCATTGCTAGCTTCCGTATTTTCAACGATTCATTAATGAGCATAGATAAGAAGAAACGGACGACATTTGCATTATATCGTACATGGCAATGAACTAAATCTCTTAAGAAACATACAGCCATCATATGATATCTCCAGTGCCTTAAAATTGTCAAATTGTATGAACGAAATAATTGATATATAAATCGAAACTTACAGGTTTCCGGTAGTAGCAGCTTCCAGAAGCATATCCAAAATTTCGTTATAAGTATTTAAATTGTCTAGAGAACGCAACCTCAATTTCTCTGAAGATGATTGAATCTCTTCGGTGAAATCATCCAAGCAGATTTTCTTTGTACCAGCCTCGGCAAAATCGTATGCCACTTTCAATGTCTTTTCCGGAATCTCAAAATTTATGGCTATCGTCGGAAAATAAGTATGGACATAACTGACTACAGAGTCCATTAAATTAACTATGGAAATTTTCTCAGATGGTTTGGATGTGACAATCATAGGCCAAATCTCTTTAATGAACTGCCAATCATGACGCGCGATAATCGGACTCGATTTAGGACCCAGCAAGATATATAAACAACCTTTGAATTTGGAATGATGTTCTGTCGAATCCAAAGTGAGGATCTCTTTGATATACGGCGAGATGACGGTATATGCGTAAGGATATGTATGAACTGCATTGAATAATCTCAACTGAGACAATATTCTTACCTAAAATTTAATAATTACTCATCGAACGTATACTTATGCAATTTGATAATTACTTCGCTGTAACGACTAGTCGCCAATTTGAACAAATCTTCAATGACTTGTTGATGAGTGTATGTGAACATGCAGCTTCTGCTCTCGTTTCTTAATTCTTGGTGCAGCATGACTCGGTCAATTAAGATATGTCGAAGATGTTTCTTCCTTTTATTTACCTTATCCTCTAACAGTATTTTTACAGTGTGGAAATTTTTCCAATGATATTCAAAGTCACGTCCTCTGAATTTATTAAACAAAAGTAAATCGTAAATCTAAAAAGCAAATCGTTTAATGATGAAAATTCTTAGATATTTAGATATATATTTACGTTGATTATGTAGAATATACTCTTGGTATCGCCTTCATCGACATCAAGTATCTTAATCTGAACTTTATGCAATATATCCGCAACGACTTTCCGTACATTTCTGCCGTCCGGCATTTGAATTGTATGCGAACTGCTAATGATCAACTCAAAAGCCCACGGTTTTAGAACAGATTCCATACTAAAATTGTTCGTAAATAAAATATTGCAATTTTTCAATTATGAGTAAACTTACATTTTGAGGGGAGGTTCTTTCCAAAGCGGTAAAACTGTATGACATCCTAGAGAAGCGACGACAATTTTAAAGCTCTTTCTGCGCTCTTCTCTGTTCAGCTCCAATTCACCATCGGCGTATTTCTCGAGCTTTTCCAACTCCGGAATCAAATATCTGTTTAGAAGCATTTGCGCGCATTCAATTTCCTTCTCTCCCGGCATGTACCAGCTGATATTCAAGTCTTTTAATTGACCGGCTTTGCCCCATTCTCTAATTGGTAGATAATCCTTAACGCTGGTGTCGTAAGGCACTGATGTACTACGATATTCTTTTGGTTGCGTGAATGTTAAAGTCGTTGTAATTATAGAGAGCATCCTTCCACCCATAACCGTCGCTTGTAGTGATGCCATGAACAGAAGACGATCCAAAATCTGAGTAATCCTATCTATGTATTTTATAATCTCCGAATTGACATCGACAATCTAAAAATAGACAACATTATATAATATTGTCTAATATAATAAAATATTGCGTACTTCGGATAGTAGTAAAATATTATACAGAAGTTCTTCATCTAAGTTTTCTTCTTCCATGATATTATCATGCTCACTAAATAAATTCTCTATAGTATCACAGAGGTGTGGAATAAAAAGTTTAGTTGTCTCTTGAGGATTAATCCTAGCAAATATTTGACATATAATGCCTACTAATTTTCCTGAGATTTTCACTTCAAAAATCCTCGTCGTAGCAAAGTTATACATTTTCCTTAGCGCCGACTGCAATAAGTAACAATTTTATTAGTACATTTGAAATGTGTGCTTAAAGTAGCAAATACCGTAAAAATCTCCGGTGAACATTGTGACAAGACTGCTGAAAGAACGGAGATCAAAGCACTTTCCGTTACTGTTTCAGATTTATTCTTCCGTCTATCATGGTCATTTTGTTCCATGCGAGTAGATTCCAAACTATTTGATTCAACCCAAATGCATAGACGATCGAAGAATTGTAAAACGAAATCCTCGAAGCCGGCTGTTGCTTCGCACACAATGTGCTCTTCTTCTGTCAAATCAGTGTAGTATTTGGACGCCTCCGAAGAGTTCAACAGTGGAATCATGTTCACAAATTGTACAATAAAATTAAAGGTCATAAAACATTTACGGATATCGTTCGGATCAATTCCCGGCAAAAGGTTAAAAAGCAGCGGAATCACATGCATTGGTCCTTCTGGGTAATTCAATCTTTTACCCTGAACCATATACCTAAAGTATAAGTATTTATTTAGTACAAGAGCAAATCATTATAGTTGATAGCGTACCTAGCAACCGCAGTTACACTATTCATAGCTGATGTCAATTTATTCGGTTCGGTCAAGGAGTCCATGGACATGTAGAGTTTGTCTAATAAAATTGGTACTATTATGTTGGGCCTCAAGGATGCCAAATAATTGTACGTCATTGTTAGATCTTGTAGCTGTCGTGAAAAGACGGAATGTTCTACGCAAGGTTTCATGATGTTCACGAACCTATCGATGTCATAGTCGCTTAATTTATAGCTGTCGGGTATATCGAATTCCCACGACTTTGCTTTATGTCTTTCATTGTGTATACGCGTGACGAATTGCAGAGATATTTTTTTAAGAAACTCTTTGATTCTCGGAGACCACCTAAAATAAAATTATGAACAACCATAAACTTCACAATCAATACAAGAATAATGACTTACCTTCCGGAATTAGCCGTATGATAATACGATTCCAAAGTGTGCATAAACTGTTCGAGATGTTTAAAAGCCAAATCGGTAGGGCCACCTAAAGTGTATACAATCCACATAGCCATGGGCGTAATTTCGACTTTAAAAAACTTCCCAACTCCTTTATGTTTGAAGGTGACCGGTAATCCCAATGTACGCATGAACCTCACAAACATGTTAGGTATATAAGGATCCCAATCAATTTGCCCAACATTGTAGTAAGCTAGATTTGCCATTAGCCAAGTCATATCCTGAAAACATATAGTAATGTAGAATAAATGTGTTTATATAAAGTAAGAAAATTACATTTTCCCAACCAGCGGACCCAAAGAAAACGTTCCATATGTTCATAAACTCTTCAAGCCAAAGTTTATAACCCAAATGGGCTTCTTCGGGTTTTGTTATAATCGGTAAAAACGCTTCAAGATAATTGATTCCATTTTGCATATCAAAGATCGTCAATGGACAAAGCTTCGGTCTGAATTCATCTAAAACTTCCTGTGTAGCCGTTACAGGAAAATAACTGAAAATGTATTATATTAAAATAAAAGCTATTTTAAAATGTTTATCAATAACTTACATCCTTGCAGACTTAACAAGTAAATCTAAGCTTCCCTGTAAAGTTGTCATATATCGATACATCCCAAGATGTTTATTGGATTTCTTGGTAACCCTTTCCCACAATTCGTACAGCGGTCTCCAATCCAGTTGCAAATCTTCATTGCTGAGTAATTCTTTTTTTCTTCAATAAAGAAAAAAAAAAGTTTTAACAACATCTTACATTCGTTTTCGTGTCAAACTCACTTGAGCAAAAATGATAAAATAATTGCGTATCTGTTGATCCTCGTCGGTTCCAAGTTCGGAATCAAGATATTCTCGTAATATAGTTTTATCAAGCATATGTGATCTTCTTTGGAGAACTTCAAACCGTAAATCTTCATGTACCTATACACAAAAAGGATTTCATGATTTCCTTCCCGTGAACAAAGAAAAATTCTAAATTAAAGCGTTCAAAAATATCCTTACAATTTTTATGTGTTTATACGCACTCATGTACACTAGATCATCAACAACAGAAAAGAAAGAGCAAAGGCGGTTGTTTGTGCTGGGTTGAATGTTCTAATAAAGCTGCCAACAAGTTCGTCCAAAACAAATAACATGCGTTTCCATAAGTAACATTCGCGTATTTTATGAAAATCCTAACATTCAAACACATTTCATTGTAAAGACATCAAAAAGATTTGAATTGTTGTTATATAACAAAAGGTCAAATTGTTATAATTTCAAGGCAAAAAGATTCTATATATCAAACTCAATTATTTACTTACATTAATAATAGTAATAATAAATATTTTAAACTGTATTAATTGTATATTGTAATCATATACAATTAATACTGAATATTTCAAGAAACTATTATTATTTTAGAGAAGTTTTTGTCTAGTTCTAGAAAGCATGTCGTCATATGGTTAAAGAAAATTGCACAATAATAAAAGGTATGACTCATTCATATGTATTTAAAATAATCAATGATAGATAAATTATTGAGGATTTCTTTAAAAAAATCCTTAAGGTCAATTCATATATGAATAAAACAAATATTTAAATAAAAAATTGGATTATCAAAAAGGAAATTAATTTGAATGTAATAATACATTTTGCACGTTGCACATTGATGGAAGTAATCTGAAACTTTTGTATATACTTAGATCCAATTGTTTTAATTAATACCTAAGCATAGCGTTATCTTGAAAACAAACCATTGAACAATATATTTAATTGCTTGATAAATTACACTTCTTTTCAAGCATGTAGAAATATTAATTTCAGTAAACAACCATTTGGAAATAATCTGTTATTTTTGCATAATTTGCAAATTCTTATTTATTTAGTGCGGAAAAACAGCGGATATGTTTATTATTATTTAAATTAGCATATCCCTGTTCTGAGAATAAATAAAATATTTATTTTTTTACTTAATAAATAAACCACCCTTTGCATCAGCATAATTTAGTTTTATTTTTCTTACTTCGAAAAGTTTATATTTTGGTAATTTGTTACAAAAAATATTATTAAATAAACCATTATATTAGAGCATAACAAGACCTATTGGAAATAGCGCTGTAAAGCAGTAGTTGACTTTTTTTTTAAATTATTATATTATGGTTTTAATTTATATTTCTTATTGTTGCAATATTTATTCTGGAAGAAGACTTGTTTAAAATTTAGTTTGAATTAACTATGAAAATTTAATTATTAAAAACAGTTGCAATGAAATAGCGTAAACAAAATATTGTTCACATTAAGACAAAAGATTTGTTAAGTCATCATGACAATTTTTGCATTTACAAAAAAATGCTAAATATAAATATATATAGAAATTAAAAACATAACAAAAATAGAAATTGTAATGAGAAATGTAATGTTATCTTTTTTTTTAATGATTTTTTGATTGTAGCCTATCTTTACTGTATTTCTAATATATCTTTATACAACTTTCTTAAACTTTCAAAATAAGTTTACTCCCACTACAAATCTTAAATTCTTATTAGACTGCCATCACGTGACAAGTGCAAGTATGATAGTGACTGTCAAAAAAAAGTGTCAAATGTTAGGTAAAAATAACGCGGGTTGATTGAATTTAATTTAAATTGGTGAATTACAGGATTATCGTGATTGAAAAACGCGAAGGGTCGTACCCAATTGATCCTGCAAAAAAAAAGTGAACATCATCGATCCTTACTTGAACAACCTTGAGGTCCAGATTGCACAGGCAGGTTTTACTTCACGTGCCAGAAAGGCTTTGACGAGGTTAGTTTTGATGTCGAAGAAGAGCTTTTCAGATTCCTCGTCCAGTTTATCCGCATAAGGTAGCAGTTTGTTGTAAACACTCTCTTTTTGTGGTTTGTAGCCCAGCTTCCTTGTTCGCTCATCGTTATCCTCGTCGTCCATGATATTCTGTATTTCTTTTCTAAATTTCTGTTATTGTTTATTGAACCCTTAAAGGTACTTTCACAACTTCACCCGACCAATAACTGTGCACTAATGACGAAATAGTTATTCAACAACTTGCTATTTTCATATTAATTTACACTAGTCACTTCAGACATTTTTGTTTATCAGTGGTAGCAGTTGGCATTTTATGAACCAATCATATGACAATCTGCCCCACTCGTTACCGCCTCCCTGCCTGTTTCTTGGAATGGCGCCAATTTTTAAATTAATCACTGTGCATTGTAGCGTACTTGAATAACAGAATTAAATTAATACCAAGGACGGGAATGGTCAATTGCACTGTCTTAATTAAGATTTTAAGTATCTCAATGATTGTTGTTGTCTTTGTTTCAGATTAAGATGTCTCAAGTGCTGAAGTTACTTTTTAGTTCAAATTTGAAAACGTTGCTTTCAAATAGGCAAAATTCAGTCAGGACTCTCTCTAGTATAACAAAGGGTAATTTAGGTACACCATAGATCAAATCGTAAATAATAATAATTCGTACTTTGCAGAGTTGATTAGACAAAGTGGTCCAGCTACCTACACCAATCAGGATATCCTGCTTTCCAATTTGAAAGTGGCATCAAAAACTCAAAATGTTTTAGAAATTGTAAACGATCACAGCAAAATTATGAACCATAAACACATGATGCAGGCTTTAAGGTCTCTGTTTTTATTACAGAAAAGTGGAAAGTATGTTGGAAATATTGTGTAAAATATTTGTCATTAATTTATACTTTCAGCTCTAATTTATCAATACAGCAAATTATAAAGCATCCTGATTTTGAAAAGTTATGCAAATGCCTAAAGAAACATTCAGGCGCTATAGAACTGAATGATTCGATCGAAGCGCTAAAAGTGATGAATTTCATAGGAGTGCAATCTGATAGCACAATAGTTCAGGTGTTGTTGCAATTGATTAGGCATCAAATCAACGATTTATCGTTACATCAAATTATCTTCATTGATTTTTTGTTCACACATATGAAGAGTACACCTCTGGTCGAAGCTCTCCGATTGGCCCTACCTATCGTATTTGAAATCCAGATACCTTACAAATTGGACAGAGAGAATTTATTGACTATGACGGAGTGTCTTCAATACGTTTCGAAAAAGAATGTTTCCGATAAGTGTGTGGAAACTATTGTGAATTCAATTGTAAAGTATAGGGGTGACATAGATTTTCGGAACGCGATGAGCATTGTTTGGTCTATATGCGATATGGAGGCGGATCCGTATTTCGAACAGTTAATGAAGAGATGCTTGGACTGTCTGATTGTGCAATTCGATTCTTTGCAATTGACAGACATCGAGACGACCTTAAGTAAATTGGTACACAGGGTCAGCAACAAGCACACCTTCTACTACAATGACGTCTTCATCGATCTTAGCGTAAATAGAATATTAGATAATGACTTAGGATTTGAACCTGCTATCCATATTCTTCGAAGGCTCTTTAAAGTGGTATGTTTTATGAAACGTTAAGATTGAGTTTTAGTAATATTATTGTTCTTGCAGTATCACGAACACAGTAATCTCATGGATTATATTCTTAAAAAGATACATGACGATCCGTTGACGTTTGAAAACACTAGTTCCGTCAACATTTCGATAATTGTTTTCATGTTAGGAATGTGCAACGGTAATTCCAAATATATGGATTCGATTAAGGGCACGTTGCAGACTTCGAACAAATTGAAAAATTTGAAAGATATGTTTTGGTTGAAGATGGCGACCTCGCTTTGCATTTTGGATGTTTACGTACCTGAAATACTTGAAAAGGCTTTAAGCGATGCTAATATTAATAAAACAATTAATAAAGGTAAGAAATTTTAACAGTAATAGGACCTAAAAACTGAGGTGGATCTGTGTTTCAGGGTTCGTTGCTGATTACCGTAATTTATTGTTGTTGAAGCAGTCCATCACTTTGTACAAATCGGACTATATGTCGATGTTACCTGCAAATGAAGTATTAGAGCAGTTGCAAAGTAAGGTTTCTGCGGATAACGAATTTCCGCTTGAAGCCTCTCTACAGGTTGCCTTCGGGGGCCAGAATTACGTTAAGACCAATATAGTCAGTGAATTATACCATACTATAGGTAAATTAGTATAAATAAAACATTAAACATATGGTATATATAATAATTTGTTTTCAGATCATGTGGTTATGTTGAGAAAGGGTGGTTATGCAGTCGCATTTCCACCTGCAAACAATTCTAATAAACTGGAAGATTTAGATATGGGAGATAATCAAATGTATTTATCAATGAGAATTTTCTTTGTCCGTGGAATTAATTTATGTGTGTTTCAGGGTATTAATATATGGCTTGAATAATATGCATTATATGCGAAATACAAAAACAATGAAAGGATTCGTCAGTCATTCGATTAAAACGTTAGAGTCTATGGGTCACACAGTGGTTTCGATTTGCTTAGACGATTGGAACGCTCTCTCCGATTTTGAAAGGATCCCCTTCTTAATGCAGGCAATCAAGGAGAAGACTGAACATCTAGCCATAATGTCTGATTCAATTTAGTCTGAATAAAACAATTATACTTTTATTGCAGTTTGTAAATATTTAATTATTATTTTGTTATATCTCAAACCAAATAAAGTAGTGTTATTTTTTGTAATAATAATACCATTTGTTTATGAAATACATCAGTTTTTAATAAGTTCTTCTTCGTCTTTAGTTACGAATTATGAATGCATCATCTTCTTCTGTTAATTCCCCTCTACAGAGAGTGGAAGTATGTAACTTAGCTCGTACTGTGTGGTGCATATAGTCAGTTTATACCTAATTAAAGACCAGATATTTAAACATTAATAATAAGAAAAATAAATATCAGCACAAACAATAATAATAATGCTTCAGAGGTTTCTAATTTTTAAATTTGCCGCCACTGTAGTTCTTTTGATATCCGCAAGGGTGAGCTGCAGCTAACACTTCCCGTGCCGCTCAACCGCCATTTCTTTTCGTGCTAACCTTTGTGAGTGCAAAATGGGTTTCCAAAATATCTGGTATTCTCACCCTCGTAAATACGGCCAAGGATCAAGATCATGGTAAGTTTTATATATATTTCGTAACAAACTTAAATATATTGCATTTTCTATGTAAAATCTAACTTTGTATAAACATAACCGCATGGGTAGGATTGTCTGTTCACGTGTAACGTTGATTAAATTAGTTTCAGTTTAAATACACTTTAATATTATTAAAAAGCATTTTAGAAATACAGTGGAACCTGACATAGTGAGCATTTCGCTTAACGAGCAAAATTGTAAGAAAAAATGACTCATAACGAGTGACGATGAGAAGAGAAGTCCCGGATGCGGCCCTGCTACATTTTTAAAACTTGTGTACACATATTGTGTGTATATTTGAATATGTTTCATTACGTGTAAAAATTCTCGTTAAGCGAGGTTCCACTGTAAACTTAAAAAAAAGTAATAACAACAAAGATACTGCTTTAACAACAATACAAGTAAAGTTAGTTTATACGTTTACATTAATCTATTAGCTTATTTTCTTTAAAGTGTTTGAATCAGCAATAATTGTATTATTTTTTGTTACTAAAATAAATTCTGTCATTACTTATTTGTTTATTTATTTTACAGCCGCTCCTGCTCCAACGGGCATGGACTTATCCGCAAGTATGGCTTGAACCTGTGCCGTCAATGCTTTAGGGAATACGCCAACGACATTGGTTTCAAGAAGGTAACTGATATAATTTTTATAGAATTATGTTTTGAATTTTACTAATATAATTTTTATCCTTTTCAGTTGGACTAAATGAATGTTATATTCAAATTTACCGGAATTGTACAAGATCCAAGAAGATGAGAGATAATGTATAAATTTTTGTACATTTATTATAAGTGAGATTGGAATTTGTATGATTTTAGTAAAAAAAAAACATACTTATCTTTAGATAAATACTGGTCAGTTTTATTTTAATTCCTTATCATTCCTGATCATACCTACATTATCCTTTGATATCTGATATAAGGTTTATTATTATAAACAATATAACTCAAATTAAATTATGCAACCAGTTACTTAAATTAATGCTATAAAATGGATTTTGTATCATATGGAATCAATATTAAGTTGAAAGACTTTGAGACTTATTTTATCTTGATAACGTAAAGTTGACTGCTTGAATACAATGTCCGTTTTCTAGAAAATGTCCAGGAAAGAACAATTATCCTTTAATTTGGTTGATATGTTAAGGGATACATTTTAGTCCATACCATCCGATGTAGATTCATTTGACGAAGTTGTCTGACTCAGTTGTCTAGAAATTCCTGGTACTTCAAAGAGTTAACATGTAAAAGGGCTTCGTTTTACGACCTTGTCAGGTTCGGTCCAGAGATGATCATTTCCTATACAGGTTATTATAAAACGAGTTGTGATGGAATTTAAATGTTGGCCTGTTTTTTAATTGGTGTTTATTACAATCTAATCTTATGTACAAGGATGTTTTTGGAATTTACATTAGTTTGTGATACGCTGAATAAATTTCTTTGTAGCCTCTGAAGCCCCGAATCTCTGAAATGTGAATTTTGTAAAAATAATAGTACTAATAATTATTCCGGTTGATTCATAATACCGTAGTTACATCTGTGAAGAGTGAGATCAACGATCTCCTTGGTGGTCTACAAACTCTATTCGCGCCTTCCTGGCAACACAAATTTGGAAAGCAATCTAAAGCCGCTTTACATGGCCTTGGGAACAAATCGAGCGGCGGTGGAGGTGTACACTGTAAATAACTCGCGAAACTCCTCAAAGCTACAAAGAAATGTAATTAACTTTCAAATTGTGAATAATGTGTATGTTAGAAAACTAACGCTCTTCAATCCTTTTTCCTCCTGGTAATCTGTCGACCGTATGGGCAGGTGTCCTGCAATAACTTTTAGCTTTAACGCTTCCCTTTTCTGGACAACAGATCCTCGGTCTACAGTCATCATCATTGGAGCACTCTTTGATCTCCAGTATTTCGGTGAGCGGCTGAGCCGGACACTTTCTATCTACTAAACCAAAAAAAGTGGCTGAAAAATAGGAGGGTTTCTTTTTTAAATATAAATCTTAATACACTAGTTCATAGCACAAAGAGCTGAAAGTATCGAAGTTAGTTTATAAATAGCTATGAAACAGATGGCAAGCGTTAAATGGATCCACACTTGAAGTAATAGTAGTAGTTTATTGATGATTACACAATGACAATTCGCATTCAGTGAAAATAATAGTGCAATTTCATATTTAATTTGAATTTTCAAGTAGACTGCGGCAATTGGTTCACGTCCATTATATAAGTGAGCAGAATTGGTTTACATTTTTTTTACTCTTTAAATTTTAATCACCGTGACTTTCGTGTCACTGGAGCGATTTCGAACCAATTTCTTTCAAAACTTGTATCTTTCAAAACGGCAGAATTCAGTTTCGCGGTTTATCGTCGGTTAAAAAAATGCATGGCCTGAATTAACGATTTCAATTAATAGAAACCGTTTGCCGCTTAGTCACTCATATACGCTTTTCTGCAGTCGATCGAATTATCAGTCAACATTTTGTTTTGATTAGTTTGCTTCGATATGGAAGATGTCTCGGAATGTAGGAAATTATGTAATCGATTGTTTACTACATGCTCTCGCTGATTCATTAGTGTGAGTGTGCGGAGAAAGCGCGCAAGAAAAACGGTCAGAGAAAATAGAGACAGACAGAGAGAGTAATCAGCGGAGAAATTATTGTTAAATGTAAAAATTCAATGGCTTTTGCTTAAATCCTGTTCTGAAGTTTCGTAACCAGTGGTTTCATTTTAAAACTTACGAGCGTGCTTGACTTCCGGTTTAGGTGGCGCGATGCCTTGAAGGCATCTTCGTCTGCAGCAAACCAAACCTGGACCGAAGATTTTACAGTCTCCGGTGCTATCGCAAGGTAGACTGAAGATCGGTGGACGAACATCACTTGAAGGGCAGACCAGGTTCTGGGTTTTTGCAGATTTCGTTACATTTCTGATTGAACTTTGCGTTGTTGTTGTAGTCGTAGTAGATGTAGTGGTTGTAGTCGTCGTTGTTGTCGAAGTCGTTGTAGGTTTCTTCGGTTTCGTCAAAGGATCTTGAATGGAATTGGAAATTCCTATAAAAAAAAAGTAATATATTTTTGTAAAACAAATATGATAGTAACCTTTTTATTACGAAATAACGACAGTGCAAGGAAAGAATATATCCTTGACTCTTTCCATTTTAGAATATCACTTATTTACACATTTAATTTGCGAATTTTTGTTCTGCTTTCTTTTAGTTTTAGTTAAAAATCCATCTTTTATATATAAAAAATAATAATTTTGTTTACTATTTTTTAGAATTGAGTACTGATCGAAGCTGCACTATGCGAGGTATTGATGTACAATTATTAATTATTACAAATTTATTATTTATTTTAGAAATTTTGAACACTTTATTTACAAACATTTGAAAATTGGATGAAATACTTTTCTATTGTTTTGTCACCAAGTCCAGACAATTCTGAGAAAAATTAAGAAAACATACGACTTGAACTAATTACGAGTAAAACGCTGATTGAAACATTGACTTTCAAAGTAAAACCAAATAATTGTTATCTCATTGTTGAACGTGTGATTGGGAACATGCGGATTAATCAATAGTTGTGTGCATAAATTAGAATGCACGCAAAAAGAATATATTGTATGTTGCAATAGACATTCAGATCTATGTCAAAGGCAAAGTAAATTAGCATTTAAGTTTTCAAATTATTGAATTATTAAAGAATATATTTATTATTTTTTGCTTATTTTATAAATTCTATAATTCAGAAGAGAGTACAAATTAAACGATTAATCAAAAAAGTTTATATTTTGAAAGTTGTGAAAATATGAAAGAAAATCTGTAATATTAGTAATGAATGCAAATGATTAGAAAGCTTCAAGTGTAATAGAAGCAAATAATAAACGTTTGTGTTCGAGATATTACGACATCTAATAATAATACACGACGTTCACTAGTCTAATCTAAGTAAATGTGCATTGACATTGACCAAGTATTATTATAATTGCATTTTTTTAACGTATTGTTTTATGTAATATTTTCTCACAGCACTCGCTTTTTTGTTTGCTATTACTTAGCCAAATCAGAAGTGTTGCAAAGAAATGTATTTTAATTGAATGAATCTTGAAATTAATTATTTTCCTTTTATTTTATTAGTAAATAATTCAAGAAATATGAAATACTACTTTCTTTTGCTGCATATCTATTTGTTTCTTTTACTATCATTCCGAAAAAGGCATTATTCAGTACTTCTTCTTGTACTTGCATAAAGAAGTATTTAATTTCACTCTATTTTTTCAAAACCAAAGACTCTGACGAATTTGTCTTGTGAATAAAGGTTTTATTCGTTTACGAACATTTTTTTTATTATAACTTCAGAAGTTTCGCTTGATCTACTAGATAATTATTTTTGTCTTTAAAATGTTACAGATTTAAAAATTTACTAGTTATTTTTTAAATGAAAATTCTAAAATAAACTTTACACATCTGGGATACGTCATTAAATTTTGTTCTATATACGTGAGGTGTTTATTATATTTAAAAAATAGTGAAATAAGGACTTACTTGCTTTACGTACACTAGACACTGGAACCAAAACTCCTTTGATGCATCTTTGCTTGCAACACGCCAATCCTCCACCAAATATTCTGCAATCCCTTTCGGTGTCGCAAGGAAGGCTGAAGATCGGAATGCGAATCGGATGTGGACACACTAATTTCTGTACAGGCACTTTTGTTCCTGATGGTTTTTTGGTTGATGTGCTTGGCAATTTAATTTCACTAACTGGGATAGTGTTAAAAAGACCTAAAACACCATTTGGTTAAAGACGGAAATTAAGGCAAGAACATGTGTTAAGATCTTGTTTCAAACACATTTTTTTTGCTAGAAGATAATACAAAAGTTAATTTATAAATCTATCAATACTAATGCGTAAAACACGAAAATGAATACAAGAATTATATTTTTTATGGAATTGAATCCAATTATTAGTTTGAATTTGAAAATAATGTAACTTGCTATAATAATATATAATATAAAAAGTATTATAATATTGAATTTTCTTTTGTTGCAGTGAAACATTTGCAAAAAACACAATTATCCTAAAGTGAATTAAAGTTTTGTTGTTGTTGTTCAATTAAAAACATTTAATAATGTTTGTTGTTACGATATGGATGAATACCTGGAGTACTGAGTGAAAACTTTTCTTGGCCTGTTGCGATCGGCGCGTGCAGACAAACCGTGACCAGAAGGCAGAGACCAAGTCTAAATGGATTGAACATATTTAACGCGATCACGCAACGCTTAGCACGGCCCCAAAGAAACGTATACTTTAGCCTCGCAGTTCGCGAGTCGACTGCCTCAAGATCTCTGGAGAAAGAGACTTTAAGAAACGTAAATTCAAGGCACTTTCAAAGATATCCAACTTGAGACATGAACGACTCTCGCATTTGGGTTTATTGCCGTTTACGATCATCGATTCTCAACTGACTCAAAATTATTTGATTGGTAATTTGTTTTGTACATATATTTTTTTTTATAAATATGAAATTGTATTGAAGAAAATCCGAAAATATGTGGTGCTCTTTTTTGTGCTTATTGGGTACGCTTTCACAATCTCGTTCTCTTACATCAGCAGTCGAAATTGTTATAATTTTTATTAAAGATATTAACGTTTGCGCTTGAGTGCGAACACTTGATCTTTAATACGTTGAACGCACTTTCATAAACTATAAATATTATTCATGTTTCCTGTAATAAAATATACCGTATAATGAGTACAAATGTGAGTACAAAATAATTACTACAATTGATAATAACTGTAGTACAAAATATAGTTTATAAAAGAGAAACAGTGGAGTTAAATTGTCTAATATTTGTAACTTTAACTATCCTTATACACAACAATATTCAAGGATTTGAAATATTTTTTTCAATTAACAAAATTATTATTAATACAATATTTACAAACTAATTTTGTTTGATATAAGATTACGCAAAAAAAAGCAATTTGTAAGTGGGAATAAAAACAAAAATTTCGCTGCTGCTCGAAAATGTATGAATTCTATATTGACTTAATCCTAATTGAATCGAAAATGGAACGTTTAAATATTGACTAATTTATATTGTTACTTGTAGGAACTATCATAATTAAATAATATAAAAAAAATGCGTTAAAAAATATACTATATTTATGAAAAAATTGTAGTTACAGTAACATATTTATTTACATACATTTAAATAATAAATCATGAGAAAATTAAAAAAAATTGGTTACATCGAATTATACTACGTTAATATTTAGTGTAACATATTTTCCAATCTCGTAACTTTAGTTATTTTATTTATATATGATATCACACTTGGGGAGTTACATTATCAAAAGATATTTTTTATATGTAATAACATCAGTTTCCAGAACTAGTCCTAGCTTGCAACTGAGCATTCAAAACCATCAGTTTCTCGCCCAATCTGGCGTTGTGGTCTTTCAGATGACGAATCATGTCGGCCTGAAATGAATAATGTTTTATGATGATGCATGATCAATGTAATTAATAGCGTTATTACCTGTTTCTCTATAAAATCATACATTTTGTCGCCCAATTGTCTATAGCCAATTTCACCCTGCGAGAATGCCTGATCACTGGAGCAAGCATTCCATTCCTCTCTTTGTACATCTGGTGGTGGCTTTTGATTGTTGAATGTATTCACTCGCACTATTAATTAAAGTATTTAGTAGTTGAAGTTTGAAATGTATATTGAATACTCACATATATAATTAATATTAACTCCAAATATTAAGCAAAATTCAAAAGTCATAAGGGCGCAAAAGTAATTGATTGGGGAAAGGAGACCACCTTCTAAACATTTCTCGGCGAAGTTGTCAGGATAGAAGTGTTGCATCAATGCTTGCAATAAAAGAATAACAGCATTCCATAAACTCACTATGTATAAAGGCAATCTATGGTGCACTTGAGTCTTCTTGTAGAAATCCAGGTAACCATTCATCCTCAAACTGTAATGTTTGGCCCTGGCAATTTGATCTAAAATCTAAGAATAAATCAATGAATGCAATTCTAACAACAATTATCCAAATAATTACTTACCAATGTTAAAAACCATAGTCCCACATGGGCATAAATCAAAATAAAATATTCTCTGCATTTAGCTGCCTCCTGTGGATGAAGTGCAGCAAACACTACAGCAGTAATTTCGATGGCCAGAGAGGCAATCAATTGGAAACTGAAGATTGGTATAGTTCTCAACGGCTTAAATATCCCGTAGGATTCCAAAATGGGCTGCAAAAATTCTCTGTCATCCATGTTATTTGATTCACTGAAGAAAGTTGCACCCTGAAATCAAATTACATACAATTGATTTAAATGAATCAAGTCTAATAGTTGAATGTAAACAAAGTCAACAAATGTTTTGTGATATGTCATATTGATTTGTTTTTTTTGTGTGTGTGTATAATCTAGAAAAATAAGCATTCAAGATTATGTAGCATTAATTGCTCATTAAGGACAAGTCTATTTATAAGTGTGAATCATTTATCTACCTACATAAGTTCTAGGTTAGACGTTGTTGTTGTTAATTAGGTTTTTGCTGTACTCACCCCAGAGTTTGTATTCATGCTTCTTGATAGACTAACCATAATACAGGCATATTATGAGCATTATCTCGTCATGTAGTTGCTTATCAATACGAAAACAACAGTTCGATAATTTTACTCTGAACCCACTGTTTACGTCCGTTGTATCTTCTTCGTTTTAGCTACTGACGTGCAAATCACAACAGTCGACCATAACCTTCAAATTGCAAATGCAACTATCGAGGTGTTATAGTTTGCTACTGTCAGTGGTCAGGACGACCAATGGATGAAGGGCATACGAAAAGTAGCCCAAATTTTCCATTGGTCGAGAGGTGTGGCAATGTTATTTTGTTATATGTCTGTGTTTCTTATCAATTGAAATGGAATGTAATCTCTTACGCCCAATACATCGGTGACTGCACCAAATGATTAACAGTATTCGTAATTGTTATTTTCATAAAGAAATTAATGCAAAAACATTATAATTTTTAAACGATAAAAGTTCTAGTTATAATTTAAATCGTTAATAGTCCTAAGCTTTTGTCTTCATGCATAAAATATAGTATGTAATTTGTAGATGTAGTGAAAGTCTTTAATAATTAAAATAAACATAAGAATTATGAAACAAATATTGGTAGCCGCGTGCAATTAAGTTAATTTAAAATAATTGAAATATTTTGTATGCAAGAAATTACCATTTATATAACAATACTAATTAAAAATATTGGGTATTATTTTGTAACAATAGAGTAGTTATATAATCACTTAATATATATGTTTTCAGCATATAATTTTCGTATTGTAGATTTTTGCTTTTGAATGTTAGTTCTAACGATTTTGATTATGTATTTTGTTTAGATTTAAATATGTTAAATTTGATTTTCAAAGATGAAACCATGCCCTTTACATCATGCTACAATAGTTTCAGGCATAGCAACGTTTCTCAACCTTTTTTGCCGCGCGACCCAACATATTTATTTGTTGTTGTACTGCGAACAATGGGTATTTCACCAGCTCCTCGCTTTGACACAGGGTGACAGCTGTGATTTAGCAAACTATTAAAAATTAACACAACCTTATTCATAGCTATTCTCAGCTGGTTTATAATTACATAAATTTCCAAAGAAGTTTGGAAGTGTACATATCAAAATTAAAATACCAGCATGGTTTAAGTGTGTCGTGGAAGTTTACTCAAGTCTCATGTGATTTGAGACAAAAAAAGGTTTAAAAGTATTGTAATAGTAGCGTTTCTAAGGTCGAGCGAATGCCTTCTTCTTTTTTTGTCCCTTCAATCTTGGAAGAATAGAGGTATACAACTTAGCTTGCAATTACAGGTAGAAATCGATGATAAACACTATATAACGAAAATAAACACAAGCATCAAATATAATAAATTAGTGTCAGTTAGATACAGGCTAATTAGATCAAGGGAGACAAAATCATCCATTAAGAAAATAAGAAATGTAATAAATAGACCTAAATAAATAAAAACAATACACAAATATTAAAAATATTAACATAAAAAATAAACAGAAGAAAAATATAAAATTGAACAAAAATGGAAGGATAAGTCACAAAAAATATGGTGAGCGCTGTAAGGCCCCCTTGATTTAAGATGCTCTAAAGGCGCGCCACTTAGGGAAGGCCTTGATGGTTAAAAGTGATTTGAGTTGAATGTCATTCAAATACACATCCCTTTTAGCTTCCTAAATTGAAAATAGACGAATACATTTTGGGACACTCTGTTGTTAACAGGAGAGCGAATGGCGGGCGTTCGTCAATGTTAAGGGCTCCAAACATTGTTAATTGGGTCCCCAAATCCGAATTCATTACATGAAAGTTTGAAGTTTTTATATAATTATACACTTATACCATATTAAAGATGAAGTTTATGTAAGTTTCATATTAGTAATGAACATATTACTGGTACTTACTTTACTCTCACTAAAATTATAAATCGTATGTAACCAATCTTATTAATCATTGTCAATATATAAGATATAAAATCCTTGCAATGCAAAAACTCCATTTCTAATACATCAAGAAGTTGATGAAAAAATATCAAAATTACTGACCTGTTTTAAATTTGAATTTTCTCTCGAATTTTCAATAAAATGGCAGCTGCAGTCTATTTGTATGATGAACTCTTTTTTCGAACTGAATCATTGTGAGCTGTACACTGTTATGATTGTTCTTTGTATCGTGTATCTTTTGTCGAGAGTCACTAAATAAAGCAAAACAACAAATTTAATAACGTATTAACTTATTTATAGTTGTTATCACTAACTCAGGAATTATAGTTGAGATTAAATGCATATAATAATCATTAAGATTCCGTCTTCTTTTAAAACTTTTTTCATCAATTCATTGCATTTATGCATTAAACAAAATCATTACACAATATTTAGTTTTATAAAACTTCTTTCATTATTCGATTCTTTCACAATAAAATAATGTTTACAACGCCCACTTTTTATTTGTTCTCGTAAAAAATTCACCACACTCTTATTGTGATTCACAGATGTTGATAACTTGGTGTTAAATACAAAAAAAACATATCAACAGTTGTGTTAATTTCTGTTATAATTAATAAGGAAATATAATTAATAAATAAATTTCGTACAATTCATACTTGGACACATTTTTTTTTTCATATTTATTTATATAAAAATGTTTTTTTTTAAATATACAAGTAATTTTTTTGATATTTTGTTGCGTTATGAGGGTGAAAAAAAAAATTAATTAAATTACAAAATCTACAATAATATTAATTGGAAGAGAGCAAAACAAATATTTCCCACATTTTTTTGTATGTTATTCGATACGCGATTTATCTGCGATTAACGAGGTCGTGAAAAAGGTACGAAAACAATTAGATAATGCTTTTCTCGTCTCTCTGTTTATATAAAACTTTTAATTAAATTAAATCGATACGACGTAATTCGCCTCGTATCAATTTCATAAAAAGGCTTTCTGAGCAAATTCGGTCCCTGCGTACCTCAAATTGACCATCCAATGCACGCAACGCCGTGAATTGTGCAAAACGAATCAATTTTATATGCTCGATTATAATACTTATTTTGAATAGATTGATTTTGATTCAAGTATGTTTTCATTTCATATAGAGAATAAAGTGCTGCATGTATTGTTTGTTTTGATACTAATTATAAAGCAGCGTTTCTCAAGCTATGAGTTGAAATTAAGTCTCGTTAAATTTTTGAGAAATCGCGAAATGACAGCTGTTACCTTGTCAGAGCGAGAAACTAGTGTAGATTTTGTAATTTAATTAATATATTTTTTTTCACCTTAATAACGCAACAAAATATCAAAAAAAAAATTGCTTTATGTATATTTAAAAAAAAACAATTTTATATAAATAAATATGAAAAAAATCATGTCCAAGTATGAATCGTCGCTGTACAACTACAAAAAATACTTTGGGTCGAAAAGTGCTAACAGTTTGAAACACATTGAGTTAATTACAAAGAGTGCAGAAATATATAATTAGAGTCAACATTATTTGATAAAAAATAGAATGAAAATTGCCAAAAAGGCTTCGGTCTATAGCCAATTGGATTAATAAGATACAGCAGCGTTTTTCAAACTTTTTCTGCGACACCATTTTACACTTCTTAAAAAAATTCTGTGACCCCCCCGAAGAATGTGTAGAAAAACATCCCAAATTGATCGGTCATCTGCGACCCCCCTACTTTGAGAAATACTGATTCATAGCATTTGATTTAGGCTTGGAGTAGACCGTACTATATAGTGCAGGGGTGGCCGTACCTAAAGTTTTTATTATGGAAATTTAAAAAAAATTGAATTATAATGTATAATATAATTTATTAGTTGAGCCACAACAAAACTTTAGAAGAGCCGCATGCGGCTCGCAAGCCACTGTTTGGCTACTCCTCCTTATATAGAATCAGCGTTAATCAAGGAAGCTCTAAACACGTGAGGAACGAATGACACAGAGATAACAAATCACGTTGGCGTTGATCATCATAAACATCTACTTGAATGCAATTTAACTTTAAACGCACAGCAAAACTGTAATTAACTTATGCAATTCACTTGTAAATAAATATAAATACATTCCCTTATGGAACGACATATCACATCAGCGATTAATATGTTTCGTGGTCGATAATTAATGTCGGGTGTATGTTTTCCACTTGTCTAAACTTCAGCGTTTGCATTATGTACCCCCTTTTGGGTATGCAAATTAACGAATGCAGTGCGATTTTTCATTTACATAACAAATTTTCATACCTTGCCTTTCTTTATGTTATCTGCAGTGCACTATTGCCCATGAAACAACAATTTGCATACGATTCATAGATAAATTCATTAAAAAAACATGATTGGTGCATTTTTTTTATAAAATTATATAACACATCTGAAATACTGTTCGATTTACCAGATTTTTATCAGTGGTAGAATAATAAGAATGTAAACATGCAGTCAACACGTGCAGAACCTTTCACTACCAGTTCATATATTTGTGTTTATACGGTTTTAGTATCAAGAATTAGAACAATATTCGTAACATGTAATAATTATGCTGTAATTTATAAATACATTATTTTTCTATTATTATAATCATTGATTTTAATTTAACGTTCGAATTTATATCAAGTATAACATTTTATTTTCTTTGATTAAATTGTTTTTGTTTAATACATCTTTGCTAATAAAAGTTTACTTTAGATGAAAATTTATTTGTAATTAGAATTTTATATTTTGTTTTATATATTTTCAAATGGAATAAAAATTAAACTATTGTGGTAAACATAATTCAATATACTAAAGTATTTTAACTGATTTGATGATATGGAAAACGAATTTTCGGTAAATATTTAAAAGTTATTAAATAATATTTTGTGTAAATTATTAATATATGTCCAGCCTAAATAATAAAATTCAGTATGAACTGAAGTAATTTACTACCAATGAACTAATTACTACTTATGAATGAAAACAAAATAATATTTATTGTATGAAACATCAATTAAGATTGTGTTATAAACATAAAGTACAAATCTACTGACGTCTAAAATGATTGAGATTCTTATTTACACGAAGCTCAAACCAATTTATTTATCTATGTTATTATGCATAATTTTAAATTATTTAAAATATTAAAAGTGTGATTTAAAAAAAAAACAATTAGTCATGTGTTTTTTTGATTGATTCAGTATTGTTTTAGTCGTATTATTTTATTTTTATGTGCAAAAAGTGTTAATAGTATTATATTAAAAATAATTAAGATTTTTAAATATTTCGTATATTTTAATGCAAGCTTAAGAATTACAACTTGTTGTTTATAGTAATTATACTGTAAAAGTTGATTGTGTTAAGTATAGCATTGTTTTAAGTATCTTTAGAATTTTTTTAAAATTATTATATAAAACGTTGACATAAAACATAAACATAGAATGTTTTATATAAACTGCTACAACGGGCTATCGACCATAGGTTTTTTTGCAATTTATGTATAAATTAATATGTTTTCTTATGTTATGTTAATGTGATATTGTCCAGAAACTTTAATTCTTCACGTGTGAAAATCGCGGCTCTAACACTTTTAATAAAAAGCGGAGACCACATATTCGCGCATGTCTTAAAAAACTTATATATTATATTTGACGCTCTCGTGTTTCATATTTGTTTGTCTGGCGTCGGGACGGACGTCCACACGGCTCTCATTGGAAGGCGCGAACCTCGTCCATCCATCCATAAATCCATCCATCCATATACGCATCGCATTTGTCCAGTCAACATCACCATGCATCAACGGCGTTGATGCGACGGCGGCATTCGAAGAATTCGTAAAGTTCGTGTTCGTGATTGATCGCTTTCGCTGCGGCGGTGCATTTTCATTTTCGAACGCGCTTGCAGAAAGTTTGAATATCCGTTGAAATGTCAGAGGAAGAAGGTCAAAGGGCGGACGCCGGCAATGACCTGGTTGGACCGAAGGGAAAACCGAAGATCATCAGGGTGCTAACAGTTCTTGCGTACGCGCTAAGCGTCTCCATGGCTGCGATTCTTCTCTCCATTTACTACGTCTTCGTATGGGACGGTCATCCGACATTGGCGCGAAAAGGTCCTGTCTCGAGTCCTCTGCAGTCCAACAATATGGAAATATACGTGGATATGATTAAAGAAAACAGCTATTTTCGGAATAACGCAAGTGAAATTGCCGCAAATCTGTCCATCGCCGATGGATACGTTAATGAGACGATCCGTTCGAAGGACGATGGCATGTCCAATCTGGATAACGAATGTCTCGGCTGCCGTGCAAACATCACGGACGCGCCAGGAACGAATGACACAGGGATAACAAATCCCGTTGACGTCGATCATCATGAACATCTACAACGCATCATTGAAATTGACGTGACAAAAGGTTAGTTCCATTAATTGTATAGAAATTTCCATCGCATATCAATAAGTAATAACTCATAAATATAAAAAAAATACATGTAATCAAAATTATTGTTGTATTATAAAAGTACAGTGCAACCTCGCTTAACGGAAATTTTGAAAAAAATAAAATTGTTAAGCGAGGTTCCACTGTAACATGTGATATGTATTTCATTAATATCCATCTAATCAAGAATAATTTGTCTTTTAACAATATTTTAAAGTTTGTTTTAAATAAAATTTTAAAAAATATATGAGAAGAAAAATGTCGGTCGTTAGAGCCAATCACAATTTGTAAATAAACTTTAGTCCGGTTTGGAAATTACAAAACAAACTAATATTTAATTGAACAAAATAAAAATAAATTCCAAAAATATTGTTTATTATTATTTTTTTAAGTTTTGTATGTATTTAGTTTCTCGCTTAGTCAAGTTTCAAACAGTCCGGGATTTTGCCAGAACCCGGACTTTGTGAATTATTGCTTTACTTTGAAAATCATTACATTCATTCAATGATAACTAAATAATAAGTTTATGTTCCCTAATATATTATTAAAAGGAATAAAAAAAAACATCTTTACAAATTCAATAACTAATTTAAGACCTTTACTTTTGGATAATCTTGATGATTTTTCAATTCTTTTATTCAACATTTTTTTTGATTTCGTTATAACAGCTTCGAGATTATCAGTTTCACATTTACAACAAAAAAATAAATATTTGTATATTCAATGAAAAGATAAAAATTCACCATAAAATTAGAACTATACATTATTATATCTATAGTAACTTTAACAATATAGCAGCTTTCTTAATATACATACAGCTTAGAGCAAGTGAACACAAATTTGCTATTTAAGTTAAGAGACTACTGCATTTAGAAAACTTGTTTTACAATATCGATATTTATAGATTATATTCGTTACGTTATAAGAGAAATAATATGATTTATCACTAATCTAAAATAAAATTTCGATCTCAATTATTTTGATTATATTAATATAAACAGATTCGTTCGGTGTTCCAAGGTTGACGTTTCCAAAAGAATGATAAATAGTTAGATCTAAATAAACCTTAATTTTTGCAATATTTAAACTGAAATTTCACCTACGAGCGGATAAAATAAAAATAAAGTTTTAATCCAAACGATTCAAGGATGTTGTTCTGTTTCTAGTAACGCTGAATATGTGACTGAATGATTTGATTATTTAAGTTATAATTGAATATAACATAATTTATAATCATTTTCAACGAAATCATATTAAAAATTATAATTATTGTATAATAATTGAGGTTTTGACTAACTTGTTGTGTTACTCAGGAAAACTAACTTGCATTAATCTGTAATTCCATTATATTTATACTAAATTTAATTAGAAACATACAATGCAAAACAAATTTGTTACTGAACTTTTATAATTATGTTAGTAAGCCTAATTCTACTACTGAATCAATAACATATGAAACATATGGTTATGAAAGTTAATCATTTGCAAATGGTATGTATACATATATTATTTGCACTTTTGTAATTAATTTACTTAATAGAAAATATTTCTTATACAGTTCTGTACTTACTCAGTTATGTAAAGAAGTTACGCGGTAGATGACACAACAGCTGGTAAGATTCTGGAACCTTCGTGAAACTGCAGCAAAAATATTTAAATTCTCCAATGTGAATTCGCACAGAAATTCTTTTGAACTGTTTGATATTAAAAAAATAAAACTGGTTTTAAACGGAATACATTCAATACAAAAAATTGTATTAGAATCTTTTTTGTTTTTTTTACATATGAAGATTAATAAATAAACATTGAATTTCTGATATATATTATAATTACAGAAATTTATAGCTAGAATAACTAAATTATTTATAATAAAAAAAAAGAATTTTAAAAGTTTGATGTAAATGTTTTTTTTTTTTTGGATTTACTTTAACAAATTGTCTCCTTTCTACAGGTGCATCATTCTATGTATGTTTGCAATCATTTAATTCATGTCAAATTAAGAAAGAAAACATTGAAACTTTTGTAGATAAATTAATAGGGTTTATTTATGAGATAATGCTCTCTATTTCATTCTTCTTAGTTAACTGCATTGATTTTTAAGATTTTATAAATATATACTCAAAATAAACTGCACAAAAAGAGACTTGACTGTATAAAGGAAAAACACATAGTGTAGAATTTAGTTGTATTTTACTCAATTGAAAATTGTATGCAATTTTCAGAAAACATTGATTTGTACTAAGTGAAGAAAATAATAGGTGAAGTAAAAAGTTTTTGAGCTTTAATGAGCCATATCTCACGATGTAGAAGTTACATCTTGTCATTCTTTACTGCGACTTAAAGGCGACATAACGCTTTAAAGAAATTACTGTGACAGTTTTGTGTTTAGTGAATCCAGTTATGTGTTAGAGCGTTCCAAAATGGAGGTAAAAAGAGAAAATTTGATAATTCTTCTGTACCACTACGACCGAGGGTAAAAGCGGAGCAGGTGGCCGAAAAATGTTGTGTTGTTTATGGACCCAATACAGTATCAAATGCAATAGCAAAGCGTTGGTTTCAACGCATCCGTTCTGGTAATATTGACGTCGTAGATGAGACATTTCTGGTAAGCCAACTGTCGAAAATGTTGATAAAATCATGGAAATCGTTGGATCGGCATGCGAGCACTTATTCCATTGCCCAAGAACTGAAGATTAGCCATTTGCATCGTTTAGAACCATTTGCATAAGGATGGTCTCACGAAATGCTCGATGTATGGGACAAAACACTCAGAACTTTGTACGTTACCCAATAATATCAAAGAATCTAAAACGTTCATTTATTAAAAGAAGAAATTGATGGTTTAAAATGAAGATGAAATTAAAGAATTTTCCGCCGAAAAAATGTTAACAACCTAAGATATAAAAAGGTGATCTTGATTTAGGGAGAATTATTATTGTTGGACTTGTTAGACATTAAAATGTGATTTCACTTTCTATTTAATAAAACTTTTCTTTGTCCGAAAAAAGCTTTTCAAAAGTTTCGCTTTAAGAAGTCCTATTACTTACGAAAGTCCAATTCAGACTAAAGATGTTTCTTGTTCATTTTATTATTATTATGCATAGAACATATTGGACATTAATTATGGAGAAATAAGTGATTTTTTTCGACATGTAACCGATAAATAAAAGGCGAAAGGCGATTAAATTAAAAATTAAAGAATGTTTCATCATAAAACCCAAACATTTACGTATAAACATGGAAGCTATAATTAACATTGCTATTAATTCAACCTGCTCTGGCGTCTCCGGTTAATGGAATTTAAGAATATTATCGCAAAGAGAAGATAAAATGTTACATCTATTATCAAATACAGAAATAGCTTATATTTTTTAATATAATTTCGATGTATAAAACAGAAAAATAGGTTTTCCATGAAGAATTTAAAGAATCATTTGCAAATTGGCCCATAAATAAATTTGAATGTTTTCAATTAGTATTTGAGCTTATTTTTATTGCGATCAGTTTTAATGGCCGGACGAGAATAAATGTACGTGTCGCATATACGAAGTTGCTGCTGTTGTTTTTCATTTCTTTCTTTCTTGTTGTTGCAGTGTTGTTTGCAAACAGTTTCCATACAGAAACTCGATGCGGATTTTTTTCCTCTTTCCCTCTTCCCTTGAACAGGAACGGTAATGAGACCGAGCTTCCCGTTTCCCGAGGCCCGTTCTAATTTACCTCCTCTTCTCACATTATTTGCTCCACTTTTTTTTATATATATATATATATATATTCCTTGTTTACAAGTGGCGAGAGAATAATTCTAAATATGGAACAACTTAAGTGCTCACATTCATATTACCACATGTATCTAAAATGTTATTATTTTTTTTGTGCCTTAACATTTACTTACATTTCAATTACACACATATTTGTTTTCTATCTTTTTTTGAATAACAAAACGTGAAATTACTACTTTTCCCCTTAAAAATTAATGAAATAACATGTATTTCTTTTAATTTCTTTTATTAATTGTAATTATTTGAATATTTGCACGTACAATTATTAATTTCAATTAGTAATGAGTAATTAAAGTGATTCTTCGCAATTTGTTTTTTTTTTGGTTTTGTAGAAATAAAGTAAACTATTATTATGTAATTTGCAAATATCAATAACAGAAAATACGATCAAACGTAAATAAATCCAATTGTTCGAATGAAACCTTTCAAAATCGTTAGTTTTTGTTAAATATAGACAAAATTAAAAATGTTAAAATTATGCATAGTTTAAATATAACAATTATTTCTTTGCTTACATTGAAATTACAAATACATATGCTTATTAATTATAATTATTTGAAGATCTGCACGTGAAAATTATTAATTTCAATTAATAATAAGTAATTAAATTGACTCTTCGTATTTTGGTTTTGTACCAATAAAGTAAACTTTTATTATGTAAGTTGCAAATATCAATAACAGAAAATACGTTCAAACGTAAATAAATTCAATTATTCGAATGAAACCTTTCAAAATCATTAGTTTTTGTTAAATATAGACCAAATCCTAAATGATTATTTGCTTATATTGAAATTATAGATACATATGCTTCTAAATAATAATAATAATAATAATTTATTGGCCAAAAATTAATACATAAGGAAAAACAAAAAGTACATTCTTTACATATAAATAAATTCTAACATAAAAAAAATTTAAATAAAAAATATAAATATATATCAATAGTATATGCTTCTATTATTTATAACTATTTGAATATTTGAACGCAAAAATTAAAAATTTCAATTAAAAATGAGTACAAGATTTTGCTAATATACTAGACTAATGGAATAACTAAATACATACAAAAATGTAAATAAAAAAATATAAATATTATAATTATGTACAGTTTAAAAATAATAAGTATTTTACTCTTGATATTAGTAAACATTTCGAAAAAACTTTCTAAAGAGTTTAATTTTTTTATTACTCATATTG